AGTCACCGTTAAGAAGACGCATCCAATGTGTCGGCCGTGTAGGACTGGCTGCATTCACCGATCTTTGGAAGCCCCTGGTTCTGGTTCTTTTTGGGGCTTCGCTGCACCTGGTTCTGTTAAGCTTGCAAACGTTCGTCGTTTCCAAGAGCTCCGAATTCTGTATGCTGGTGCTGGGATCTCGATCGGTTCTGTCGAGAATGTCGTGTTTCTCTCAAACACGACAGGGATCACAGGAGTTGCCACGAGGCAAGAAGTCCTTCTTGTTGTCCCCCGCAACTCAAACCGAAGAGCCTTTGACCATCCTGATTTCCGAAGGCTAGGCCCGCCAAGGCCAAGACAAAATCCTCGAAAAGTGAGGACAAGTTCTTTGGAACTCGTCTTTACGTTTTGGCTTCCAGCCATCAAGGTTACAAGCATCGTGGCCAGGGTTGGGGCAAGCACCTCTGAGGGTGAAAATGTTCATTCCAACGACACTCTTCGTGCTCTCGAAGGCACCATATTTGAAGGCGACCAGAGTCAGTAGTCCTCCCCCGGCACAGCTATGCATGCATGACGAGCTTCTCTGGCCCCGGCACGCGTTCCGCTTCAGAGCTAGCAAGCCCCACTCCTCCACCATACACGGAGAGGCGGTCGCCCATGTGGTCCTCCGGCACACACGTGCCAAAAAATCAAACTAAGATTTCGCTCCGTCTCCTCTGTCGGGGGCATCGCCAACGGAGAGCAAGAACTCAAGGTGATCCTCGACTCGTGTCGATGCCCACACTGCTGCTGGCATGTTGAGCTCACGACGCAAGACCTGGGAGGTCAGTAGAGCAGCTACCGAAATGCAGGCCCCGCGGCAGTGTGGAGATCACTAAGATTTGCCGAACCTTGACTGTGCAGCTGGACTGGTTGGCTCCTTTCTTGCGATGCTTCTGCGGGTGCAGTCTTGTCAGTGCGGCGGCTGAACAAGGTCGGCTTCCGACTGCCCCAAACATCGTCTGCGATTGCATGCCGGTGACGCTCAGGCCGGAGGGCACTTCACCATGCGGTTGCCAACTAGAGATTTTTGCTTGAAAGAAGTACTGAGATGCAGCTTCGACGCATAGAAGCCGTGCTTCCGCTCAATCCGCAGGCGAATTTGAAACTTTGACGCGAAGGGCAGATTGGCGCCTGAAACGAGAAACTGACAGTTCCCTGTTCATACCCCTGCGGAGGCGCTAAACCTTGCATCAACATATCGTGACGGCCTCTGCTGTCCGGAGGTGCAAGCTTGTCCCCGGTTGTCACAGGCTTGTCTGGATCATCGCAAGACTGCACAGTGGCAGGAAGCGGGGACCACTCCTTGTTCATAGGCCCACAAAAGACTATACTCGAAAAACTGCTGTTCAGATTTCTTTGCCTTATGGTGGCATTCCCGGTTCCGACTGAAGGTTCGAGAACAGGCTGGCCAAGGGTCTGCCAGGACAGATGATGTCTCAACGTCCAGCCTTGTATTCGGCTTCAAGATGCGGTCGCGCAGTGAATGCAGTTTGGGTGGGACTGCTTGCCTGAGCCTGCAGTGTGCATGTCGCGTTGAAGTGGTGTCAACATGTGAACTGTCCGAGCACGCGAGAATCAAGGTGCAGTCAGGAGGCCATGCGACCTTCCTTATCTCTGCCGATGCTGAGCCGTCCATCGTGCGTGAGAGCAGGCAGTGTTGTGAAAAGGGAAAGCAGCTTAGGCTTGCCGACTTGCCGACGCGAAACATCGAATCGTAGAAGGTATCATCATCACGGTGGACCCGCCACACAAAGTCTATTTGCTGCCTCCGACAGGCGCTTGTCTTAGTCCAAGCCGGTTTTCATCCACAGGATATACGGGCTAGACTGAGACGTAGGCAAGCAGATGACATGTCTGTCGAAAGGAAAATCGCTGACCGGGTACTTCTTGAACCCAGTCCTTAGCATGGTCGCACAAGGCGCAGCGTGGCAATGTGCCAACTGCTGTCAGTGCACACTTGATATCCGACGGCAGCCTCACATAATCAAGGCAACAACTCCAACTTAATGCCCAGGTCTAAGCACATCCAGAATATAGAGCTGCCGCGCCAGAAGATGGTTCTATTCCTTGGGTCATGTGCAGACCATCGCACAAAACTTAAAGAAGCAAAGCATGGCACCAACATGACTCGTGCCCTGTGCCCAAGCCTTCCAATGGACACATGATGAAGCCAAGAATCTTGCTGCTAGTTTCCGTGTCGTTCAAGTCTTTCCAAACACGGGACTCCTGAACCTCTGTCTGGAGACCTGGAATACGACGGGGCAGCCCAGGCTCCCTGACAGCCCGATTCCAGCGTCGTTCCAGCCTGGGACTCGGATGCCTGGAACGCCTCGATAGCTAATCTCCGTGTCCTTGGTTGTATCTGCCTTCATCTGCCTTCGCAGCAAAATCCTCTCGCGTCAAGTGGCATTCTTTGGACTGGCAGTCCGGAAGGCCCACTGACAGAGCATGCGAACCTTGCCAACAGGTGACTCTCTGTTGGGAAAGAGTCAGTGGTTGCATGCACAATGGAAATGGGCTGCAACGAAGTGCCAATGCCGCGTTGGAAGCTTTCGCTACGCCCTCTGATGCTTGCTGCTCAAGGCGCTTGGAATTTGCCAGTCTTTACATCCACGTGGGTTACACCTTCGGCAGGATACTCGGGCCCAGAAGTTCGCGCGACATCCCAATCTAGGGACTAGGGGGTGCATCTGACGCTTCTGATAAGATGCGCTGTCTCTTGAAAGGCCCTGTTTCTCACGGCCGCTCGAACATCCGCAGATCATCAAGTAAAGCCCCCTGACAGAGGCAAGCTGCTGACCCGCGCTTTGCAAAACACACGATCGCGGGTTCGCGCAACCTTGGTGCATATGCAAAGTCGAGAAGGAGGCATTCACAGAGCTCCCAGCACAGCGCAGTGCAGATCGTTGCCTCTGGCTCAGGACTGTTGGAGCCTCTGGCCCTTGGCAACTTTGGGGCTCACAAGCTCCGAGCATTCAGCGCCAGTGCAGACCAGTCTCCCGTGCCAGCAGCGCTGGTTTTCCATGCCTTGAGTGCAAGGTCAAGCCTACGCCGCCATGAGACTAATTACATGCCCACATTGCCCAATGTCCTTTCTCCCATGGCCGCCTTGATCCAGCCATGACTCCCGGGAGTCAGTGTCTTGCAAAAGCGGGCATATGCTCCCGGATGCCTCCTGCTCCTCGGGTTGCAGATAACTTAACTCGGCTGCCATTGTGGCCGTCAGAGACAGTGGCCAGTGCCAAACAAGACTCGACGAGTTCAGGCGCCACATCCATGAGACATGTGGGTGCTAGCGGCAGGGCACCATCAGGCTTTGAACAAACGCAAGGCACACAGAAGCACGATATCGAAAGGGAAGTGTAAGTTGCATGCCGGCTTTGGGATTGTATGATTGGAGATATGCTGTTCTGTTGGCATTCCGATGAGCTATGATGAGCTACTATAACGATCATGACATGTTCTGGAGACTTGAGCACCCAAGCACGGCCGTCGTTTCCTGACCAGCAACCAGCGCACTGTCACAGAGAGACCTAGGTAAGTCCTTGACCGGAGGCACTGCTCGCATCCCCAGAGCTGGCGGCTGCCTGAATCTAGAGTGCAATCAAGCAAACATTGCTAAAGACACTAAGAACCGCTCTTCAACCGTCCTGGCGACGTGACACAGCCCTGGGCCCTGGGGTTCGAATTCCACGAAGCCATCACTCGCTTCGGAATGTGAAAGGTCCGATCAGTATCAAAAAGGGTGCGACGCTTCCTCCGTTCAGCAGTTTCGTAGAGTCGGGAAGCTGGTTGCTTTAACCAACTAAGTTTGAACAAAAGATCTTTGCCCGTTCGCCAAGTCTAGGAGAGGCTTTGAGCTCGAACGCAGGATTTTGAAATGAAGGCTCGAAAATGGAAAGAACATTCGGTGTGCAGTGCTTGCTGTCACGAACCCCACCAGCATCTGCCTTCTGGGAGGCATTATGCCCGAACAGGATTATGCAAATAGCGACCACGAAATCTGCTTCCCATATGTAGGGACTAACTATGCGAACGGGAGTTTCCTGGAGGGAGATACTTTCAGGAAAAAATTGTAAATTGTAAGAGCTACCTTGCAGTCGCGATCGTTCAAGGAAGTTTTGAGAATTGCACTTTGGAAGTCTTGCATAGAGTTGTGCTTCATGCTTGGTCTTTCGGCTGCTGCCTGTTCCTGCTTGCACCTGAAGCAAAATTGAATTGTGCGTCAATACCTGGAGCTGGGACAGAACAGCTGAGATCTTGGCAACGTCGGAGGATCCACAAGCTGACGGTTCTGCTTCAACACCAAAGTGTGTGCAAGGTCCTTAGCATCTCCATCACTCGCCGAGCTTCCTCATGCTCTTCCAGTCACGCCGTGCTCTTGCTGTCAACAGCGCCGAGGCGGCGACCAAAGAACTTGGTGGTGGCATCCACGGCTCCTTACATATCTCAAGATCAAGTCAAAGCTGAACCAGGGAAGTCAGTGCTATTCCGGCTGTCGGCCAGCTCTCGACCATGTGCTACACGCAGTCCTCGGACCGAAGGATGCTTGCGATCCTCTGCGCGCTGGGAGCCTCCAAGGGCTCAAACTACGGTACAAGTGCCTGATTTTCTGACGGATTGTTCGACTGCGTCTTAACCCAAAGCTTCTCAGCATCCACATGCCAGGCAACTGACACAAACTTACATCAAAGCTAGTTTGCTGCCTGCATCTGCACGCTTCTTCGCCACTGCCCGCTCTCAGGCTTCACACAGTCGCCATGTAGTTACCCTCACGTTGAAGTGCTCAGATGCATCTGGAATGTGTGAGCCATTTCGGGGGGCACTGAGTGCATCCACTGACATAGTGAAACTGATCATGATGCAAGTGGATGAAGCCAAAACGGCTTGGGGTCAGGATGAACAGATCCGCAGACATTGCTCCAAAAAGTCGCAGCTGCTGGACATTGATAGACTGGCTGATACTAGCTGCGACGGACCTCTGTGCCCACCTTCACAGAGCCCTCGCCCTTGATCTGGCACCTATGAACTATTGTGTGCTGCTAACAATCACATCACGTCAGTTCCTTACAGGTACTGGGTCTCGCACATGTGTTCCAGGCCAAGCTTCCGCATTTTCCCGCAAAGGTCCACCATGCGCTTCTTCTCCACATCCAACCTAGCAAGAAGCTGGAAAGCTTCTGCAGCAGAGGGCTCTTCTTTGGCTTTTTAGATGTGGGTACAGGGATGCCTGTGTTCGGAACTGAAATATGCCATGCACTTGCACATAACGCTTTCGTGCAGGTGGCGCTTGGCATCCCATCGCCAGCCCTTCCAGTCATTATAGTCATTTCCTACCCAGTACCAGTGGAACACAGGAGGATGGTGCGATACGTCATGCTAGTCTTGTCTTGTATTGGCCCGGCCCGGCCTGTCTCCAACGACCAACTCCACAAAACGCAACCTTGGCATGTCAACGGATGCTGATGTGTTGTGATTTGTCAGTGCCGTGCGCACTGCGCAACGAAAGAAGTATGAAAAATTGGTGATGCTACCGTGATCCAGAGTCGCTGCCAAAGTACAAAAGACCCTTCAGAACAGACACCAAGGAGATCCAAGGAGTGCGTGGGACAGATTCCCTGGCAATTGGTAAGCCCTAAGTGTCACACTCTTAGACAGGAAGGCAATCAACAGCTCACCATCGCCTGGCCCCCTTCAACACCGTATCAGTGGCCAATCATCGGCCAATCACGTAAATTGCAATTCTAACTACGTGCATGTGGTGGGGGAGTGGTCGGATGGACTTCGTTACCAGAGCGTCCTCTCTTCGACATCCGTGCCACACTGTGCAGCAGCAGGTAATTGCCAAGCCCAGCCACAGAAGCACAGGCGCACAATGATCGACCAAACCGTACATGGCGGGCTATGAGAAATCAAACATGCTTCCTGCAAACCCAGCCCAAATCTGGTCGAAATGCTTGTTTGAAAGCACAGCAAGTTCTCGCTCCAGTTTGTCCACCAGGTAGGCCTGAGCTGACAGAGTTTCCTCAGCGTTTTGTGAAATTAAATGCACAACAAACTTACCCAAGCCTTCCTTCGCTCGTAGATCTGGTAGCGGACAGGGAAAAAGGCTTGGATGATGTCCTGCATGCGGCAAGCTGGCTCACAACGGCACGACCGGCTTCGTGGCGATACGGTCATCAGTGAGACCTTGTTGGCAATTCCTAGCGCGTATGAAACCAGCATCGTCCGCCGAGGTGGCAGTCCGAACTGCTTGCTAAGACAGCAAAAGCCAAAACCTAATGTTATGGCCGTGGTAAGCCGCAGTGGCAGCAATCAATGACTTGGCGAGAAGCAGCAGCAGCAGCATTCGTGTTAGGCAACAAGGGTGCTGGCTGTATGCTGATGCTGCTGCTGCTACTGCTACTGGTACTCGCACATGCTAAAAATTCTACTGCTGCTACTTCTACTACTACTGCGACGACGACGGCTAATTACCAGAGCCGGCTGCTACTACTTTATTGCTAGTACTAGTACTAGTACTAGTACTACTACTACTACTACTACTACTACAACTACTACTACTACTACTACTACTACTACGACTACTACTACTACTACTACTACAACTACGACTACTACTACTACTACTACTACAACTACTACTACTGCTACTACTACTACTGCTGCTACTACTACCACTACCACTACCACTACCACTACCACTACCACTACCACTACCACTACCACTACCACTACCACTACCACTACCACTACCACTACCACTACTACTACTACTACTACTACTACTACTACTACTACTACTCCTACTACTACTACTGCTACTACTTCTGCTACTACTACTACTACTACCACTACTACTACCACTGCTGCTACTACTACTACTACGACTACGACTACGACTACGACTATTACGACTACTACTACTGCTACTACTACTACTGCTACTACTACTACTGCTACTGATACCACTACTACTACTACTACTACTACTACTACTACTACTACTACTACTACTACTACTACTACTACTACTACTACTACTGCCCTTGAGCTCGTCGGACTCCTTGCGCCAGCCATCGGGGTGCGTCCAACCGCCCACGGCCTGCCATCTGCTGAACCAAGGAGGCCACGTAGCACAAGTCGTAAGTCGTAACGGCTCTGCCTTGCTGCCCAGTTCAGCCAGCTGCCCGACGATGGATCCGATGAGTTCATCGGTCTCCCCCTCCTGGCTTGCGCGCTCCTCCAAATAGCGGATCACCTCCTCGGAATCGACCTTCGCCTCGCTGACACACAGTAGACGACCCAGCTGACGTCGATGAGGATCCCATCGTCCCTGGTGGCGTGCTCGTGGATGTAGTCGACGCTGCCTCTGCCAGCTGATGTCGTTGAGGATCCCGCAATCCTTGATGGCGTGCAGGCGGATGTAGTTGAGGCCCGCGAAGGTCCAGCTGCGCCGCGCACATTCGGCATTGGGATCGCTTTGGTGTACTCGGTCATGGAGTACTTGAACAGAACTTTTGCCAACCTCCAGATCTCACCGCTGGTCTCATCCCCGGCGTACATGGTGTCATCCACATGTATGCTAGCCATCGCCTTTAGCTCCCCAGCTTGTCTTGAAGGCTCGGAAAAGCCCGGGCACCAGCACGAGCTCCAAAGCCCCAAGCCATGATCACGACATTCCAGGCACCGCCTTCGTCAGCTCGACCAAGTCGCCCCTCATGTTCTTGCCCAGGCCTGCCAGCTCTGGCACTCGGCACCTTTACGAAGATTTTCTCGGCATTTGGCATTTCTTTCCCCTGCAACAAAGTGTCACTCACGTCCTCTTAGTGCAGTGTCCAGCACATCTGCACGGCAATGAAGTTCAGCAGGTTGCGTCCCAGCACACTAGCCGCAGGCGACGAGGTCGGATAAAGACCCGCATCAGGGTCTTTGGAGCCTCCGAAGATCCGGGTCCACCGAACCTTCAACTCGGCATCCCCCAGCTCGATGCTTTGTTCGCCAGGACGAAGCGTGAGGTGAGGACGCGGGTTGGGTCGGTCCACCATCACGTCCTTGAGGGCCTGGTTCACATAGTCCGCGCTGACCATCTCCTCCGTGGTGGAGAGGCGAATCTTTTCTAAGTGGTAAGCTTTGACTTTTCCAGCAATCTCACGTGGGCACTTTGGGGGATCGGCTTGCCACGCTCGACGCACGCCTCTCGGTCAAGCCACCGACGTGATAGTCAGTATAAGACCGTCAACGATGTGGGTCACGGAATACTTCTTCCCGGCGTTGTCCCAGATGTAGAAGGAGTCCTCCAGTCTGCCTCGGGACATCCGTTCCACGGCACCAGCGCAAGCAGAGAGCACACCCACCACAGTGAACAACTCTCGTGTTTCTGCGGCCATGACCTCCACGGCTGCAGGTGCCTGCCTTGAGCTCCGTGTTGAGGCGGCTCGTAGCTCCAAGCATGGCTGAAACTCGGACAAAGTCGGCGCGGCCCTTCACTGTTGAGGTAGAGGGCGACCTCGGTCTGCGTCAGGTCGTGCATCTCGGCACCTTCTTGCACTCTCGTTGCACAATCGGCACAGGGCAGGGCCGCTCGAGGCCATGATCACCGCCCGCAAGCCGCAAGGTTCACCTACTTGCTTGGCTTGAAAGCTGCATCGGCTCACGGCATGGCATCCAAGATGGGTGCAACTGAAAAGTCCACAGGTAGCTGCACACTGCCGACGTCACACTCATCCACGGCTACCGTGTAATGCCCGCTCTCTCTGCCGACACCGAAGTTGCGCACACAGCTTACGGGAGGACACTGCACGCCGTTCACAGTCGATCAGCGCACCCAACCGAGAACATCCCGAACCTGAAAAGAGCGGTGGACACATGCCCTCCCCTATGCTGAATCTGTACTGTAGATCACCGGCTTGCCTGCAAAGCTCCCCACAAAGGAAAGCCTGTATCTGCTGAACAAGACCTCCCCGCCTCCAAACGTGCTTGAAAGCTTCCGACTCCTTCTCAATTTGGTACCGACGGATGGCCCTCAGCATGCCAATGTCGCAGAACCTCATTGGCCCACTGAACACCCATCACCGACCCCATGCAACCCAAATCGAGGATCACCTTGAAATCTGGCATCGACCACATGACCTCCTTTAGATCCAAGTCAAGTCCCTAAGAAAACCCAGTGCACAGCCCCCTTGTGTGCCACCACATCGGAAGCCGCTCGCTGCCCAAAAGTGGCTCCCTGTGGGAGAGCGCTGCGAGCAAGAGCTGGACACAGCCTTCAACGACCTCGTCGCCAAAACAGCTTGTGGTGGCTTGGAGTTCGCGCATTCACGCGACCACTGGCCCAATTGGCCACACGCGTGGCATGGCCACGTCTTCATCTACTCGGCCAACAATCGCTGGCGCTCCGCCTTGTCGCCGGCCCCGCTCTCTCCCTTCTTGAAGAACTGCCTCATTTTCTTCACTTCGGCTATGCGCTGCTTGGCCTTGTACTGCACGCCAAACGCTTCAAGCGCATGAGCTCCGGCCGTGTCGCCATCATCTGGATATTCAACGGTAGCTGCTCGCCTTCTCCCCCAATCCAGAACTCCACGCTCCTCTTCCATTCCAACGCCCAAAAACCTGGGCGGATATAGGTCTTGCTCACTTTCCCTCCCTTCCGCGCTTCACCGGCGACCTTCACCTGGCCCTTGTCGTCCTCCTGGTGCTTGTCGGTGCTGTTCGGGTAGTCGCCGTATCATTCTCGGAGAAGAGGCGCCGGTTCGCGCTGGCGCCCAGCGTAGTCCACGGCTGCTCCGGTCCTGGCTCTGAAGGCAATTTTCATCCAATTGCTGCCGTCCTTCAGCTCCAGCCCTGTGGTGCCGCCGCAAAAAAGGTACAGGTACCAGGCTCCACCAGCAAAGTGTCGTTGACCAAGACATCCTGAGCGTCTCCGTCAATCGTCAGCCAGGGCGTCGGGTCGCAGCGCACCAGCGACGGCTCGAGCGGAGGTTGCTGGCGATCTCCAGACTGTTGCTGTTGCGTGTCCGTGGCAGCAGTGGAGCCCACGAAGAGCTGGGCGAAGCCGGCGGTCATGGCATGTCATGGCGTTCAGGGTGCTGGCTTTCTCCATCGGCCATGCCGCGGGTGCCAACCACTGGCTGCTCGGCTGGAGAAAAGCCCTGCCAAGAACCGTCCTCCCGCCATCCATCCCACTTCTCACTGAGCTGCTGCGAAGCACTACACCATCTCGAATCGTCGGCGCTGGTCTCCCTCCCAGTCTCTTGGTCACTTGCGCGCTCCTGCACCTTCCAGTCGTCTGGCCGAAGGCTTCATAAAAGGACCAGGACCACATGCTGGCTTAGCGAGCCCTGGCTTCAAGCCGCTCCTCCCACTCACAGCTCGCAGGCGGCCAGTCCACTAACTTCACACTCAGCACGCAAGAACACCTTCAACAAAGTCCGGAATCGACCGGTTCCCCACGAACTGGCCGCCGCTCGCCGAGCAGCTGAACTCGGCTCCGCACAGCTGCCCTGGATCGTTGCACAGGCTCCGATGCCAGAGAAATCTGACAGCGATCACAAAATGCGAGGGCACTCGCACAGACGGTTTGCGGCTTCGATCAAGACAAAGTATCACGGCTGCAACAAAATCCTACGGTGGCAAGAGACAGGAAAAGGCTCGCTTTCAGTGTAAGATGGATGTGCTCTTCAAATGTACAATGTACGTCCTCATGGCCACCCCCTACGCCCCGACCACCCCGGAAGCAGCAACGGTGCTGAAAAGCGGTAGTTAACAGTGAAATACAACATGACGAAAGTATGGTAAAAACTGTGTAAAACGGATGCGCTGTAAGCGAGTGTTTATGAGGGGTGGTTGATAGGGGGCGCGACTATTTCCATTCCAATCGCAGCCGGTCGCTCAGCTCAGCGTCAGGTACGTGGCAGTGCATTGCACCGGTGCTTCAAGAGCACTAGAACCACATGGGCAAGTCCCGCTTCGAATAGCTGCAAACTTGCGACCTACTCAACTTGTCAAGAGAATGGTGCACCAGTGCACCCTTCACTCGATCAAAAGAGTGCAAAATCAGGTAAATAGAAAGCGAAGACGTAAAACGTGAAAAAGTCGTCGAGCTATTGACATCGCGACAGCCATCTGTTATGGCATCTTGCGTTGAACATTATGTTTCTCTGTACAAAAGTGTAGTCATAGTCCTGCGAAGTGCAGTGGCCCCAAGCGGGCACACTGAGGACCACGTTCAGCACCCTGTAGTCCTGTGAACTGCAAGTGGCCTTTGGAGGGCACACTGAGAACCGTGTAGTTCAGTACCCAAGGAAGGTCTGGCCGCAGAGCATCCTCGCACATACTTACTAACTGTGACCTGGAGGGGCGTAGCCAGAACCCAGACCACATCTCGAAGCATACGTGGGGCCATTTCTCGGTTATCTGAAGGAAACGAAAAGTGCACAGGTATACAAAGGTTGCGCTTGGCCATGTCGAATAGCTCTATTGCAAGCTCGCACAAAAGATCTCTTGACACATCGATTCCACTGATGAGTAGGTTCCTGCTTCCCATCTGTGACTTGTGCTCCGTTTAGCTTCGGCACTTGAGGTCGTCGCGGATAGGCAAGGAAGTTGCCTTCCCCAGCTCCAACGGAGAGAGCTGGAACCCTCACACTGTGGGACACCTGACAATGTAGCAATATAAGTAGAGTCGTCCGTCGGCATCCCACCCCGGACTTGGGACCGGGCCGGCTATCTATAAGGAGGTGCGGCGCTGGGCACCGAGACTGACGCGTTGGCAGGCCAGGGGCAAAGGCATTCAGTCGACCCATGCACCCTTTGTTGGGGCCAAGAGGCACCCAGCTGGCGAGTGTCAACAGTAGCGCCAGCGCGGCTCGCTGCACTAGGAATGTGATCATCATGTTTCGGAGCCGGACTCCACCGCAAGGTTTGCTCCATGGCATAGATGCTACCACCTCGACAACTATGAGTCCCGCTGCTGGGACACAGCTGAGCCGGAGTGCTTGGGGGCGCGACTACTACTACTACTACTACTACTGCTACTACTTCTACTACTACCACCACTACAAATACTACGACTACTACTACTAATAATAATAATAATACCACGACTACTACTAGTACTACTAGTACTACTAGTACGACTAGTACTACGACCACTACTACTACTACTACTACTACTACTACTACTACTACTACTACTACTACTACTACTACTATTACTGCTACTGCTACTACTACTACTACTACTACTACTGCTACTGCTACTGCTACTGCTATTACTCCTACTTCTAGTACTACTACTATTGCTACTACTACTACTACTACTACTACTACTACTACTACTACTACTACTGCTACCACTACTGCTACTACTACTACTGCTACTACTTCTACTACTACCACCACTACAAATACTACGACTACTACTACTACTACTACTACTACTACTCTACTACTATTACTACTGCTACTACTACTACTACTACTACTACTAATACCACGACTACTACTAGTACTAGTCTACGACCACGACTACTACTACTACTACTACTACTACTACTACGACTACTGCTACTAGTACTACTACTGCTACTGCTATTACTCCTACTTCTAGTACTACTACTATTACTACTACTACGACTACTACTACTACTACTACTACTACTACTACTACTACTACTACTACTACTCCTGCTGCTGCTGTTACGACTTGCACTACTACCACTACCACCACCGACCAGTACCACTACCTCGATTACCACAATTACTATTGTTACTGCTTAGCTACAGGCCTCGGGATTGTCGTATTTCTGGATCTTGCCATCGACGTCAAAGAGCCACATGTTGGTGGTGCTGATGTCTGGCACAGGTGCAGGACAGCATCACTAGACTGGTTGAGGGCTGTCCGACTACCTGGCGAACTTATCGCAGCACAAACATTCACGAAGAACAACTGCAAAGACGCCTCTTTGCTGGGAGAAATCAGCGTGCAGCGTCTGAAGGTGACTCTGTGCCCGGCAGGCGGCCAGTCAAACAGAGGTGGTCCCAAACCGCGCACAGTTGATTACAGGACGTGCCGCTGCCTGGAGCTGGGTCACTCTTTCTGCTTTACATCGCGGCAGCGCTGCCGCAGGCACTGGTAAATCGTGGCAACGAGCCCCAATGATGCGAGCAGCGCAGGTAGTTTGGAAACTGGCCCGTCTTCCTGCAAAGTACGACAAGAGTCAGCAAATTGGTTGCCACAGAGAATGTAAAATGCGTGATTTTGTTCAATGACTTGGTGGACCTGGATGCCTGTCCTCATCTCGCTCTGGCGGCGGAGTCACTGCCTCCCAAGTCGGAACCGGCAATACCAAAAATGCAGACAATTGGACGTGCAGACGAATTGTTGAGTGCTGCGTGTCCTTGTCTAGCGCTTCGGCTTCTTCCATGACGACCTCTCCGACGACGCTTGGCGCCCGCAACTTTGGCGACGCCACAGCACGCTCAGCAGACACGCGAACCTGACACTCCAAGTGAAACTCCCCAGAAACCGCTTCCCGAGCCATCTCGCTTGGCCCAGAACTTGCCGTGCAGCTTGATGGATGGCTCCGCGCACATTGGAAACCTTGGCGTAGACGGTAGTGTCTGTCTGGATTGGGCTGAAGGCTCAAAACAACGCAACAAGATCCAAATCATGTGTTGCATAACCGAACTAAACCAGGCGCGATCGTTCCAAGATTTGCGTCACCAGGGGAGACGAAGCGAAGCACGCCTCCGGAACCTTGAGAGGTACACAAGCAGCTGAGCAAGGCTCCAACATGCTCCAAGTGGCCGAATTCCAACCACAAAATCACGCTCGAGAGCCAGTCTACAGCCATGGGCCATCGCATTGCGAGTGGCTCAGTTCGGAGTAGGCGATGCTTCCAGGCAGCAGCCGGGAATGCCAGAGAACTTCCTGAGAGCAAAAATCAAGATATCGGCAGGTGAACATGGCTTAGGCACTGCAGACAAAGGATCCTTGACCACCGGCGCAGCCTCGACTGCGCTCGGGGCCTCGATAGTGATGTCCAGCTCATGGAGCCTCCATGGAGCAGGATCGGAGCATCCAGAAATTTCTCCAGAGGGACAGTCTCTGGCTCGAACCTCACTCGCTTGAAGAGTGGAACTGCGCCCAGCACGTAGTTCTCCGTGACGCCAGGGGCCTCAGATAGCGGGATTTCCATTGCCATCCGATGCAGAAGCCCTGCTTTCGTAGTAGCATGACGGTGAACTCTTCCCAAGATAAAAGGTGGCCCACAAATCAAAATGCCAGCTGTGACAAGACGGAGCATGGTAGCGATGTTGGTAAAAACCTTTGGCGCCTGACAGGCTCGTATTCCCTACATGGTGTCAAAGCAGGTCTTTCCAGAAAAGCAGTCGGAGCAGAGAAACTCAGCGGGAGGGCTTCGACAGGATCATGGAATGCTGGCGTTGAGTTGTTGAGACATGTGCTTCTGTTGGGAAGTGCTTCAATGTCATTTTGCTTGTGCAGAGCTTTGCAAGTCTCGAAAACGGAGCTGGGAACGACACACACCATTCGTGGAAAAGCTGATCTGTGCCCCGACTTGAGATGCCCCCAAGGTGGTCAAACATCCACGTACCAAGTTCTGATCCCGTGATTAGCGGCCAATGCACTCTGGCGGGTTTAAATTTCTGCAAGCCTTGGCAGTCATGGTCACCCAGCCCACAACCATTTTACGAATGTTCCGGCCATCTAGGTGCGCATTTCAGGAACAACTTTTCGGGTCACATACTCCTCAAAACCTGAGGTTCAGCGGATCATTAATCGCGGGATCGGCAGTCAGCAAGAAAGCTACATGCAGCTACATAAACGCCATCAAGTGTCCGGGTGGTACAGCCCCAGCGCGCTCAGCACATACCAGGATCCCATCTCTCCATTGTCTTCATCACCCGCATAGCCTTCTGGCGAGTACGCACGCGTGAGGATCTGCCGGACCTTACACGCATGGAGGAGCACAACACTAGGTCACTAGGTAGCGGACTCAGTATTTAGTATGCCAGCAATGACACTGTGCAAGGTGATTCGATCCGACTTGCGGCTCGAACACGAGTTTCGCGGTGGTGTTGTGGTCACCGAGCATAGCGAAAAGATACCTTGATTGCATATTCTGTGCTGCCTCGCCCTCGGAACCATCACCTTCTGGTCAAGGATCGGCAAATGGTGAGCTGGCTGGTTGTTGTGGGCATACTGACCTGGCTCATGCTGGGAGTGTTGCAAGCATCAGGAAAAAGGCACTCCACATGCGCCAAGCCACCCATGCCAAGCATTCGCATCTCCCGCATCTCATGGATTTCGTTCTCACAGGGTTCTGATTTCCAGCTCGGGTGAGTATGAAGGCAGAACGATAACGGCTAAGGGCTTGTAACGCTCCTAGCTGCACAGATACACATCGTGACAGCCAACAGCATTTTCTGCAGCTTAAGCCAAAGCCGCCGCGTCCTTGTAGGAACCGGTTTTGAAGTTGGATGGGACCGTGAAAAGCTCATCTAACTTTTGGATGAGCTTTTCTCGACCGCCGTGCAACTCCTTGCCAAATCGATGCCACAAGAAGTCAAGTTGACTGCAAGGTCCCACGAAGTTGCGCGAAATGCCTTCGCCTCCAACTTCAAGTCAAGATGCCATCAGCGTGTCAAGGTCGAACGGCGGAAACGAATGATGCCACGCCGACCCCTCGCAGCACCACGCAAACACCGAGGGCTCGAAAGTCTGCAAAACGCCGAGACGTGCAGCACATGCACAACCGACCATAAGTGCATGCAGTCAGGCAAGCAAACACGCGTGCAATCATGAATACTGCATAGTTTCACGATGCATTCATTCCCTGCATGCCTACATTGACAGCATCTAGCAAACATGCTCGGTGATCAACAGGCAGACTTAGCGACAGATTTTGCACTTACGCACACACACACACACAAATAAAAAAATTCCTCCTCCTCCTCCTCCTCCTCCTCCTCCTGCTCCTGCTCCTGCTCCTGCTCGTGCCCCTGCCCCTGCACTTGCTCCTGCTTTTATAACAACCGGTTGTGTTTGCGTGCCCCCACCCATCCGCCCTGGCACGCAGCGACACTCTTTTTTCTTTTGAAGCGGCTGGTGCGAGCTTTCTGTTGCTCGAAAAGTCGCCTAACCCCAGGTCCCCTCAGGGGCCCGGGGTCAGGACTTACCACTTCCTCTACCTGTCCGCCCCAAGTGCCTGCCAGAAGCTTTCCTTGGGCCGAGTTTGAAGCGCCGAATTTGAAGCCCTGATCCGTCCCAAGTGCTTGCGGGCCGAGTTTGAGGCCTGGATCCGTTACAGATGCCTGCCAGAAGCTTTCTTCGGGCTGAGTTTGAAGTCCCAAGTGCCTGCCATAAGATTTCTTTGAAACCGGGATCGTCCCACGTGCCTGCCAGAAGTTTTCCTTGGGCCGAGTTTGAAGCCCTGATCCATCCCAAGTGCCTGCCAGAAGCTTTCCTTGGGCCGAGTTTGAAGCCCTGATCCGTCCCAAGTTCCAGAAACTTTCCTTGATTTGAAGCCCGGACCCGGCCCAAGTGCTGCCAGCGCGAAGTTTGAAGTCCGGATCCGTCCCAAGTGCCTGCCAGAAGCTTTCCTTTCCTAGGGCCGAGTTTGAAGGTCGCATCCTTCCCAAGTGCTTGCCAGAAGCTTTCCTTAGGCCGAATTTGAAGTTCCGAGCCTGCGGCTGCTGCTCCTGCTGCTGCTGCTGCCGCTGCTGCTGCTGCTGCTGCCGCTGCTGCTGCTGCTGCTGCTCCTCCTGCTGCTGCTCCTCGTGCGGCTGCTCCTCCTGCTGCCGCTCCTCTTGCTGCTGCTCCTCCTGCTGCTGCTCATGCTGCTGCTCCTGCTTCTGCTCCTCCTGCTGCTCCTCTTGAGGAGCAAACAGAAGGAGCAAGCAGGAGGAGGAGGAGGAGAAGGCAAAAGCAGGAGGAGCAGGAGGAGCACGAGGAGCAGGAGCCGGGGAGCAGGAGGGAGCAGCAGGAGGACCAGCAGGAGGAGCAGCAGGAGGAGGAACAGGAGGAGCAGCGCGAGGAATAGCCTGAGGATGTCTCCATCTGGCTTTGGCAAAAACAACCTGAGGCCAGGGCAAGTCTCTGGGCGTCTCCTTGAAGGCACCCTACCAGTAGAGGGCCCACCCTGGAATCATCTCCTTCGTAGACTTGATACCACAGCTTGAGGTGTTCGAAAAACACACGTAATGGGTAATCCGGACCCCGGACTTCACGTCGGAATTCGTGAAGTGGAATGCCTCCAGCTCCCGGTGCCGAACCCGCCGACTGCGAAGACGAAGGGGTGCAAGGTGCAATCGGCGATGTCCAGGTCCTGGTCCTCGAGTAGGGGAGAAACTCGAAGACGATGGCATGGATCTCAATGAAGAGCCGCCGTGGTCCTCACGATGTCGCAGGCTCTGAAATGCCGCGCTCCGGCGGCCGATAAGGGTTCTCGCTGCTCAGCTCACTGCCGCTGTTCTTGTAGTGGTAGTTGTGGAGGATCCAGTAATCCACGAGGAAGTCGCGGTGCTCAGTCCGAATTTTCAGAAACCTAGAGCCCTAGTGAAACTCTTGGATCGGCCCTCAGCAAAGGCGTGGGCAGCTGGGCAAAGGAATGTGCGTCTTCAGTAACGGCAACCAACACACCAGACGATGTTTTGGAAAAAGGTGCCGCCGTGGATATCGGGAAGGGGCACCGCGGAAGTGCAGCGCGAGCATGTGCGAACAGATATCCTCCCGCAGCCCAGATGGCGTTTGGATCGACGCTGAGCCCGGAGGCTCTACTACCAAACTTGCAAAGCACTCCTTTCTGAGAGCCCAAGTGCGCTCAGGAGTAAGTTGTGCGCAATGCAAGGAGTTCACAGATGTTACTCCTTCGGATTTTGAGAACTGTGCCTGGCATCAACCGCCATCGCTTTACAACTTTACAGCAATGAGAGATCGGAGTTGCGACCGGGATTACCAGTGCCTTTACAAGGTTGAGGAACTTGTCCTGGGATGAACCGTCGTTGCCTTAAGAAACTGTGCCCGGGATCAAGCACCATCGCCTTTTGGAGGGGGTCAGATTTTGAGGCACTACCGATATCAACCACAAGCGGCTCAAGAAGAGCAACCGCAATCGCCTTGAGGAGGGGTTGGATTTTGAGGAGCTGTGCCCGGGATGAACCACCTTGGTTGCTGACGCAGGGAGTTCAGTTGCCGCGTTACCGATGCAGGGATCGCGGTTGCTGACGCGTAGTTGCTGATTCTGTATTTGTTTAACCAACCACTTGTGCCTCGGGTGATGTACTATCCCCTGCTGCAATTCCGAACCAGCGAGGATCCCAAACCACCTAACGTGTCAGCATGACTCCATTTATGTTCCATAATTTTCGCTTGTGATTGCCTGGGGCAAAGGCCCCAACACATCACAAGTTCCCGTGTGGCTCGCCAAGCACTGCTTGCGGTTGTTATGACCGACTGAGCCAGTCCGAGAAACGGCAGGTGCCTGTACCAAACAATGCTGGCATTACATCACTCATACATCCACGAATCCAATCCAAGCCTCCGTGTAGCAGTCACCCCAGGTTTCGGGAGCCTCCTGCACGAAGTCCTGCAAGAGCTGTGAAGTAGGTAATGACTGCGTAACGCCGTCGCAAAGGGGTCATTCCCTGCCTGATTCTTTTTCCTGTGGCCCATAAGCCCGCTTTGGGGCCTAGGGAGCTTGCAGAAGGCATTGTCCACAAGAACCCGCGCATCACAGGAGCATGCGATACCAGAGTCACAGAATTTAGTCTGGGCAAAAGACAAAGTGAATTGCTAAGCCAAGGGCTCATAGAGCTCACGGAGAGCCTGCTGCTTCACCACTGAGGATTCTACTCTGGAGCGTATGCACATAGACGTGGGAGAAACACGCAGGAAGTCGTTGCAGCTCATCAAATCCAGTTCAGCGTGCGGCAAAGGAACTTGCTTCAGCCGACAAAAAAGTTCCAACGAGTTTCTCAGTCCGGCGAGTACATCTCTTGCAATTTCAGACAATACCAATCATTTTAACATGCCGGCCATTGCGAGTACCTTATCAGCGGCGCGTAGGCTTTGAACATCTCTGTCCCATGCCAAGCTCTTCCATCCTCAAAGCTTAGCAAAACCTTCACATATTCCAGAGTCCCGGCCCCCTTGCCGCCTGCTGGCTCCGGGCTTTCAATTCTTGGGCCTAGGCAGCAGCTAATCATACTCCAAATTGAAGACTTGTAGAACGTCTTGTCAGAAGCTGACCTCGCGGCTTTTCCCCAGTCGATGTGCGGCTGCTGCGCAAGCTGCATCAGCGAAAGCAAAATCCAGTGTCCGCGAGCAAGCCTGCATTCAAGGTTGGGTTTTCCGTACAATGGCGGCCAGATAGCAGTAGCGCTGTGAGATCACTGGCCTCCGAAACACCGACATCGATCGGAACGAACCCTTTCTCCTACCGTGGGGATCGCATTGAAGGTATTGCAGCATTACAACACAAAACCCCGCCGGAAATGTCCTGGTAGTGCTTCAGTCCCGTCTTGCCACGCGAGGAATCGACTGTGAATGCCTGTGCGGTATCGCCAGAATCTTGACAAAAACACGACAAGTGGAAACACGGCCGATAACGGCGTTGCCAGCACTTGCATTGACAGCATCCGCAGATGAAGCCTGCACGACTCGCATCTTGCTACCCGGCCTCGTAAGAGTCTTTGTACAATGCTTTCCAAGCCAATTCCCTGTCAAAGCCTGGCACGAGCACGAGACGCTGGTGGCGCCGGTGGTTGACTCTATGTCCCTGCCTGAGATGTTCTTGACGATGGCATCGGCAAGTACGACGTCAGCAAAGGTACCTACCTTGAGGAGGTCTACAACAGAATCCGGTGTTTGCCTGGGATTCCAGGTGCTCTTCTAGTTTAAGTGCTTTTTGACGGGCCGGGGCGGCACTGCGAGCCCCTGCGATAATTACTTGTGGACCACATGCACTGCAGCTTGTCGCCTCAGGAATCTTGTGCTGATTGAAACTGACTCTCAAATTTTCAGGTACAGTCTACATTCAGCTACTCGGTGGGTCCATCTTCGCTGCGCAGACAAAACTCGAAGATCAACTACATAAAAGCCGAGTTCTGCCTTCGGTGTCGGCTGAAGGTCCTTCACTGAGCTTGCCCAATCGTTCCAAGCACCAGTACATACCAGTACTGCAGCCTTCCTTCTGCAGCCCCACGCGAGTCAAAGTAAGTGCGGGCTGGCATTCCTGTTCGAACTGGCACCCGCTGCCAAGCTGCCATCATGTCCCGGTAGCCTGGTGATGCCCATTTCGGCAACCAACCGCCAGCCTGCAAAGTGGACACACAGAACGACAGCCATGGGCAGCCGTCGCGCAGCAGCATCCACCTTGAAGGCATTCAACCAACCAGTGAGGATGATAGACAACGTCTTGGGATATGCGATGGACAAGAACGGATAGACCTTGGCGGCGACAGGTGGGCAACTTGCTTGCATCGACTTCTAACCTGGCGGTCACGGCGCCGTTCGGAAGGTGTCCCAGAAGCCATTGTCGCTGACACCAACTCCACTGACCACCTGCCCACTGTATGGGCTCCAGTGCTGCAAACCTGCAAAACAGGCCGCGGGCACAGACAGTGCCGAGACTCCAGCGAACTACCACCCTGGCCATGTCTGGCCGCTGGCCTGCTGGAGTCTCCTCGTCCAGCCGTCGCGGAAACAGCAAGGCCCGATAGAGGGAAGTGTAAAAGATCTCCAATCGCCTGGCCGTGACATGCAGACTAACGCAGACAGCAGGTAGGAGAAGGGTAGGAAGTTCAAGTTCAAGGCTTCAATGTACCCCCGCCTGAAGGTAGCCGCTGTAGGCGGCCCTGCCTCCAGCACCTCTCTGGAGAAAAGAAAAAACTCCACCCCTATCTCTCTCTCGCTCTCTGATACTTGGAGACTTCCTTGGCCTCGACCTTTCGTAGCTCGGCTCGCCAGATGCCGCGAGCGGCCGTCGCAAGAAAGTCGAAGGAACGGCCACTGACCTGTGAACTCTGACAAGATTCGCTCATTCGCTGATTTTCACTGCGCTGCATCGAACGTTCTCGACTCTCACGGGTCTGCATCACGAAACAGATCGAAACAAGTATGTGCACACGGAGCGTAAAGCATCGTACAATTACCCCATGCATTTGCCAACGTCGCGCTGCCATGCGCTGGCCCACCCCAACCTCCTTTCCTCCACCGGAGTCCATGCCCTCCTACGTCCTACGTCCCATCACCTCGGCATCCAGCGCCCGCAGCGCTTGGGCCGCCGAGATGAAGCCTCAGTCGCTCTGCTCTGGAGAAGCCAAGCTCGTCTGAGATTTCAGCCCAGCGGCTGGTCCCGATCTTAACCTCCACCACCTGCAAGTAATGCGCAAGCACATCTAGTCTGCTTTCACTGCATGTATGATTTTGGTCATGCACGTTCACGCGAACTGTGCTTTTTTGTTTCTGCTGCTTCGGAAGGCAAGGTGTGGCTGAGGCGGCGGCTGAGAGGGATGAATGGGGATTGTGGCTACTTCAGTCCCCGGAACCCTCATAGGTCTTTTCCCTCCTGCTGTACCGCGCCAAATCCAAAAAGTAGCCAGGCTTGTCAGGCTGCCGCTTGTGCGAGTTGAGGCGTGAGAGTAACCCTGGGGTGATGCGTAAGTGTATTTTCACGGACAGATGTGTCATAAACTCGCAAATGCTGCAGTCAGCAGCAACATGCCATCCCACAACATTTGGGTTTACAGTATGCCTCTTTGCAAACGACGGGTAAATGCACACAATCCCAAAGCGACCCTGCTGTCGGGGGATTCTGCACTTTGTTTACAATCTTGCTACAAGCATGAACCTACTGGCCTGCTGGGTCTGGCTGATGAAGCAGCATTCGCGCTGAGTCGACTCAGCACACTGGGGCGGTCCACTCTGCACACCACCTTGCCGCTTCTTCTTGGCCCTGGCATCCTCTCAGGCCATCATTGGATCTTGCAGTGTCCCTGTCACACTGTGTCACCGTGTGTCACAGTGTGTCACACCTGTTACCCTTCTAACATTGAATTCTCACTTTAGGCTCAATCTCTGGGCCTGCTTGGGATTTGTTCACGAAACCGGAATCGTTCAAAGTGAGTGTCATGAAACCTGGAACACGGACAACCATCAGACACTGACTGCGCATGTGCGGCGGAATATAAAACACACAGCATGCTGCGGCCCATTCGAGGCCACCCAACACAATAGCGGCAGCACGTGTGTCCTGCAGATGGCAGCCGCCATCATCATAGAAGGTGAAATGCCTTGCTACACAACCACGCACAACCTATGTAGCACGCTTGATCTCTTTGACTTCTTCGGACTGCTTGGCGACTCGGCTCTGTCTGCGACTCCTCTCGGCCACTCTTACCACTACTTATTATTCACTATTTGTCGCTGCCACCACCGAAACTACCCTCAAACGCTCACTTCTCTCGCAACTCTGCACTGGTACTCTTTACAAATCTCCGAGCATGGTTCATGCTGGACGTCCTGCACGTAGCTCGCCTGCTTCAAGCGATGCAACGGCACACCATCCACCATTTATCCGGAAAGAAATGACTTCCAAGTTCGGATTGGCAAGTGCAGCCAGCAGCCAAGGCACGCACAACTTGCAGTGCTTTTGCAGCGCATCTGGCATTGCGACGCGGAGTCCAGCGCCGATCGCTCTTGGCCTCAAAGGACGAGAGCGACCTTCAAAATGCCACTGAGAGCTGCCGGGAGCTGCCGAACAACGCAGCGGGCTCCTTGCCTGGCATGTTCAAGGGATCCCACTGCTGGTCCTCTCGGGGAGTCGCGGAGGCTCACGTCAGTGCAGGCATTTCTTCCCACCACACATAGACCACCAGAACTCCATGCTGTTTGGACTTTGGACACTCGCGAGATCGTCTTTGGTGTTGACAAAACCATATCCCGAAGGGGGAGGTACATGGGATTTGTCGAGGCATTTCGTTTTTCTGATCGAAGGGGCAGGGGACGACATCGTGAGTCCGAAGGGCGGCCGAACCAATAGAAGATGAATATCGAGACGCGCGTGCAAGACCAGCAAACTGGCACCTCGGGCCCTTGAGAAGGAGCGGAAATGCAAGGGCTAAGTCACGTCCTTCTCGAAGCAATCAGCGATGGGAGCCGTTTCGACTCGGAGGCCTGGTATGGGCTAGGCCGATAAGCGGATTCTAAGAAAAAACGCTTTCTCTCATCTCTCTCCTGGAGACTCCAAGCGCCCGAAAAGGGCGAAGCTCTCCGGTGTCCCATCGGCAAAGCGCCGGGACTCCACGTTGATACCACCACCGCTTTCGAGGCCTCAGCAAGTCGCTTGCTTCAGAAATCCGGAACGAAGCTTCGTGCCTTTTCTGAGCTCAACACACGAGCCCGAGGGAACTTTTCTCGCAGTGCTGCGCTTTTCATCCTTGTCCTGCAAAGCCGAAAGTAGACACAGCCGCAGGCCGAGGCGTCGCCTCTTTTTCGACTGTGCCTTCAGATCCCCTTTCGGCACCATCACACAAAGCCTGACAGACGATGCCGAGGTGAAAGAAACGGAAGCACGAAACCACGCATGGAGATGCCTTCTATGCTGCGGCTGCGCAGACTCTGGGAAAGTTACCTGACATGATGCAGCGATGTTCAATCCGAGTCCATTTCAACGGCACCTACAATATTCGGTAACATCGGCGCTTATCACCAGAATCAACCAGATGCGAGCATGTGTAGCAAGACTAGCTAAGGCAGGTCGGGCTTCGCATGATTTCGCTTCGTGCCAAGCGGCTCGCAGCAAGCCTCCGTGGCTCGTGGGCGTGAGCTGCAGCCTGTGCCTTTAGAAACCGATTCACGTGAGCCTATAAAGTACAGCGAGCGACACGTAGCCAGGACACCCAAAGGGCCCCAGAGTCAGGTCGATCAAGTGTGGCCTCACATGAGACATCTCAGTCTGCTGCGTGGCATTTTCTCAAAACTCTCCTTGCCTGAGGGCTCCTTCGGCGTGATAGGACGTGAACCCCATCTTGGAGTTCCCCGCATAGCCCGTGTGAAGGACGAGCAGGAACCACCTTGCTCTTCAAACAAACTATGAAGCGAAGCTTGGGCAAGTTGGCAAGCTGTGTCAGCTTCGGTGGGTTCTGCGCGATCCAGACACTATTCTTCACGGCGTGCGGCCCGTAGTCGCCCATCCAGGGGGAAGGCTGATGAGTGCATCGTAGACCATAAAAAGTGTCCGCATTGGCGTCGAACCTCGAATCGAAGGTGCCAACTGCGCCAAGAACGCCACAGCTCCTCCCCTTCCAGCCGAGATGCCACCAGCTCGTCTTGCGTGCTGCAGGATCTGCAGTTTGGGGTGCCCAGTGATTGAAACCCCATGGCATCGCAACCAAGGGCAGAGTGTTTCCTTAGTTTGCAATCGCAGCACCTCGAATGTGCATGGAGAAAGCGGACAAAACGAGCATGTGTCACTCACTTGCATTGCGGTTTGCTTTGAGCATGGCCTGCCTGACATGAGACCAGTTGCCGGTACTGTGGTGCATGCCAGCCTTCTCGCCACCCACTGTTCCGGCGAGAACATTGACGAAGTCCTGCTCCACAAGCTCTACAGACGGTTTATCGAGGTGTTGCAGCGTGACTGCATATGATGCACGTTACTACCCGCAGATCCTCTGGATCCGGAACCTTGACAGTGTCTGTGGATGCCAAGCCGCCATGAAACAGCAGCACGGAGCATCTGAGCATATCACAAGGACCGTAAAGTCCCGACATGCATGTAGTTTCAAACAGAACAGCCATAAACGCAACTGCAGAGCCTGATCTTTAGGGCTACAAGAAGCTAGAAACAGCGATGGGGTGTAACGGATGCCCACCTACCCTTGCATTGCCGCGCAGGACTATTCATGTGCAAAGCCTGCTTGAGAAACCAGATTCAGAAAAGCCTAGCAAAGAGTACAAAGATGTCCAGAGATGTGTGGAGATGTCCAGAGTCCATTCGAAGCATGGAGCACAGACGATTACGGACATGCCTGGCTCTCACCAATGGTGCTGCCACCGAGGACAACCCAGCCATTGGCTTCGCCAATCAGGGCCGCCTCTGACCGTTCCTATAAAGCGCCACGTTCTAAGACTGAGACCGTAAAACTGGCCGCGCAGCCGCTGCAGAGCTTTCTGCTTCTGCAACATAGCTCTAGGCCGGGGAAAGGCGCCAGGCAAAGCTCTCCGTTCTCTTTGAGAACTCAAACCTCACAAGGGCCTCAGCTTTGGTGCCGCTGCCAGCTCCGTTGTTCGGAGATTCAGGCAACCACTGGCCGACCCTTTGAAGAGGGCACAGGCAACGGCAGATCTCTCGAGGACACGCCCAGAGCAGGGCCGGCGACCTCGAAAGCAGCAAAAAAGCGCATCCGACACTAATGTCAGCACTGATCCCTGCTAGGTCCCCCACTTCCGCATCAAGATCCAAAGCAAAAGCATTGTAGACCTGTAGTCCACATCGTGTATGCTGCTGGCAGGATGCATGCGGCTTTCGCAGTCAGTTGGATCAGTGCCGTGCATCCTCAGGAATTGCATAATCGCGCAGTCGTCTCGCCAGAGCCCTTCTGTACACGTCACTGTAATGGAACCTGGGCCAGGAAATGAAAAGTCCATGCTCGAGCTTCGTCCCGAGAGTCAGCCTGAGGAACTGATGGTGCGTCAGCCAAGCAGCAGCCGCCCGCTGCTTACGAAAGCTGGCGATAGGACATGCCTTCGCATTGCGAGGGAGGTCTTTCTGCACTTACCAGTCGGGCAGCTGCACAGTGATCAGAAGTCAAGGCTCATGAAGAACACCCAGTCAACCTGCAACGGCTCACTATACGGCTCACTTCCTGTTCTCGAAGACAAGTGTCGACGCAAGGCCCAGGCCCCGAAGGGCCCAGACTCGGAGGCCTCCTCATCTTCTTGCAGCATCAACTCTGGCAAGCGCAAGCCGGCTCCCCCCAGGGGTGCCAGATAGACATCCAGGAGCTCCTCGAAACAGGAAGCTTCCGCATGAGAAGCTCAGAAAAGACATGACATGACGTGTGAGAAAGCTTTCGACACAAGGTTTGACTGATGACAGGCTGGTGTGGTGCACGGTGCGTTATGGCCATCTTTGGGTAAAGCAGACATCTGAAGGTGGAGTCCCACAACTGCAGAAAGCGTCCCGCTCGTGCCCCCTTGTCACCGACACATCGAATGGCCCCTTTTACTGAACAAGATGAGCCCTTGGTATCAACATCTGGCTTTAGACCGCAAGAGTGATGTCCATGTATACCAGGATTTGACTTGGCGGCATCATTGTTGGGTTGGAACCGTTATAAGTTGAATGCAAAAGCACGTTTTCCGGGCACCATGTGGTACCCTACCTAGCACCCACGTATTTCAGTAACGGCCAAAGTCTTTAAAGTGGTCTCACCCTCCGCACAATCCCCGCAAGTCAAAAGCCTGGAAGCAAGTACCGCTGCTATTTCAAACCCCCCACTCCACCCGCTGCCGCTGCTCCTGTCCTGCTCCTGCTCCTACTCCTACTCCTACTCCTACTCCTACTCCTGCTCCTACTCCTACTCCTTCTGCCACTGCCACTGCTACCGCGGCTGCTGCTGCTGCTGCTGCTGCTACTGCTGCCACTGCTGCCACTGCTGCCACTGCAGCCACTGCTGCCACTGCCACCACTGCCACCACTACCACCACTGCCACCGCTGCCACCACTTCCTGCTCCTGCTCCTGCTCCTGCTCCTGCTCCTACTCCTACTCCTACTCCTACTCCTACTCCTACTCCGACTCCGACTCCGACTCCGACTACTCTTCTTCTTCCATCGCAGCGGAATCCGACAGCCGCTAAGCGTCCCTGAACAGCAGCGATACATCGCCGGTGCTTGGTGCACACTCTTTGAGTCTGTATGCCTCGGCACTAATGCCAGCAGGCTTTGTCCTAGCCAAAAGTCCTCCGACATTTATCGGAGGGTACAGTGGAGCGAAGCTCCAAGTACAAGAGATAATAATAATGTTTGGCAGAAAACCCCAACTCAGCGTAGAAGATGCGACCTCACGAGGGCAAGAATGTGAAGTTGGTCGTAGGCTTGCTCAGGTGGAGCACTGAGGTGCACGGCTGATTGTCCATCACGCAGTTCCCAGCAGCTGCCCCTGTCGATATCCCGTCTGGATCGGAGTAGGGCTGTGTAGGATGCATGAGCTTCGGTGGAGGACCGAAGGATGATCGCAGTGACTTGATATACCCCTCTAAAGCATCTACCTTTGAGTCCAAAAATCGGCATTGTAAGCGTGCTCGGGAGTACCATAGGCTGTGACTGGACAGCCTTGTCCCCATGAGCATGCCTGCCAAGCTGCACATAGAGGTAGGCAGATGCTTGGGTGAGGGCCGAGACTGACTGGTCGGCCTTCGCATGCCAGCAATCCACACAGTCCTGCACACTGCGATGCTGGGGCCGGAGAGGCATGCTGATAGGCGAATGCAATGTTCCTGCTGCCACCTGTGCCGTTGCTTCCCCCGTTCCCAATCGTGTCTCCCAGCCGCCCTCAAGGACAGGGGGACGCATTAAGCCGAGGATATGTCGCATGAATGGAGCTATGTCTGTCTGAGAGGCTGGCCGTTGCCAACCCTTAAGCAGACTTGTCCAGGATCGGAGCCTGCTGATCGTAACAGAGCCCGCGGTTGCACCCGAGTAGAGCACATCACGCCACGCCTGAATCTTGGAACCGAAGCATTGGAACTCAGGCACCTCCATGAGTCCAAAGCACCATAAGTGTGCCATGACAAATGCGTTTATGTAGCTGTGACATGAAGGGTCACGCAGCACAAGCCTGTGTAGGAGGCCAGCAATTTCTGCACTTCGTCCGCCAGATTGCTCCGGCGCAAGCTCTCTCGTTTCACCTGCATCCCAATCAGCTGGAGTGCTGCCAGGTTCGTCATGATTTCCAGGCATTCCCATGCCTCCATCACACCTTTGGCTCTCAGTCCAATTTCGAGGAAGAAGACTGCTGTGCCTTCCTTGTCCGAAATCGGATGTGTCGCGTTGAACCGGTGTACCACGTCCCTGGTCATTACCAGTCCTGCCAACTTCTGGGCAAGGTTCACAACGTCTTGGTGAGGGATCGGGGTGTGATCCTCGTCCACTTGCAGTACTTGGTTTGCTGCATCCCACCGTTGATAGTACCAGTGGCCCTCGTCTGTCATCCACCCTTTGTCCTTGGCAGCCTTCTGTTGCTCGACATCCGTGCTGAGTGATTGCAGGCAGTGAACAAACGTCTGGATAAGAGTTCCCAGGATGACTGCTCGCACCGGCGCCTCCATGAACTTTGTCTTGGCCTGCTCCTTGTACTTTTCCGCTGCCTGGAAGAGAACAGGGATCGGTCCATTGGCCCCCGGCTTGAGATAAACCATCCATGCTGAGTTCTGCTTCAGCACTTGGAGCTGTGTCTCCTGGCGAATGATCAGTCTGCCCATGGCTCTGACGAGAGCCACAGTCTGCGTCGAGGGTTTCCCCTTCCCCTTGCCTTTGCCCTTCCCCTGGGTGTTGGGATGTCCATGGAAGCCTGAGCTGTCGACCGGACGGCCTCGCTTGCCTTGCCCTGGATTTTGCCCCGGATTCTGGCCTGTCTTGGCCGCCTTGGGTGGCCTCTCCTCTTCTGCTGTCTCCTGCTGAGACTGGTTGAGGAGCAGGGATTTGAAGCCGCTGGCACTGTTCTTGGCAAGGTTGCCAAAGACTTGTGATATATCCAGATCCAGCTCCGTTGTCAGGTCCATGTTCCGTTGGAGGCAGGGGCTGTTCAGCAAGATTCAGACAGAACTGCCACAGGACTGAGCAGGCAGGTTTATGAAGCCTAGGATGCACTAGTGGGACTCCACAATACAGGCAGGGGGTGCCTCCTGTGGTGTACGTGTGACAAAGTGCAGTGGCTTTACTCCCGAGCCTAGTGTACAAGTCAGAGTGGCTATTCTTATAGTGAAGCTTCATCACTTTGGAGGACGCTACCCACTGTCCACACTTCATGCAATGTTGAAGATAGCGATGTCTGTGTGGGATGTGGTAGATGGCGTTTGCTCTGTAGGTGGTGAGGCTGGCTTGCATGGTGGGCTCGTCAAACAGCGGGGGCCGATCACTGGTCAAATCAGCCTGCTGAGATGCTGCACGGACCACTGGTGGGGGCTGCGGCAGAAAGGAGTGACGAACAGCACAGTAGTTGTGTTCCACATGTCTTCGGAGCAACTAACAAGTCGAGAAATTTTTCCGACAGTGGCTGCATTGGGGTAGTCCTCCAACAGAGTCAGTGTGCTTATTGAAGGGCTCTGGCGGACGATCGTGAGAGTACTCAGGGTGCTGCTTAGCCACATGCGTGAGCAGAGTGGTGCGACTACTATACAAGAGACCACAGACTGGGCAGGGATGCGGGGTGGCTTCCGTGGGAGCAATCTGGAGCTTAGCTGATTCCTGATGGTTACTAAGGCTGTCCCTTACCCGACGCCACCACGCACCTGTGGGCAGACTCACTTGGTGGTCCACACAGTCCTGGCGACGGGTGGCTTCATTATCAAGCAGCCTCTGAAGTACAGATCCCGGCTGAGCGAAGCCTGCCTTCGCAAGCACCTCCTGGTTGGTAGTGTGCGTAAGGTGGGCCGGCTGTCGGAGGATGGCCCTGAGCTGTTTCACCACCGTTGTTTCCAGTGTTTTGTGGCCCTCTGCAGTCAACCCACAGGCAATCAGACCATAGGAGATGGTGGACCAAACACAAGCTCTCCACAGATTGAGCCGTTGGCCGACAGTGAGATGGTGTCTACCCTTGAGGACAGTACCAAGTCGGCTGAAGGTGGTTTTTCCTTTGCTCAGCCTGTGGTGCAGCGTGGCATTTTCGAAAGCAGCGTAGCTGATGCGAGCACCCAGATAGGTGAACTCCGACACTAGTGGAATGCAGAGACTGCCTTGCTGTTGGGGTATGCGAAGCACTGGACCATTTGGTCCCTTCCTCACAAACTTTTTTCGAATGGATGTGCTTAAGGTGCCCCTGAGAGCAAGAATGGCCTTGGATTTTGCATCGCTCACAGCCATTCCAAAGTGGGGGAGTACCTTGAAGAGGACCGAGATACAGCTCAACAACTGCTCTAACTCATGCAGAGAGCTGAAGGTGCCTGCTGCACGATAGTCATCTGCAAAGATGGTGAGCAATTGGCACAAAGTGCGGTAGCCAATGGAAACCTCCAGTCGGCTACTGATCGCGTGCGAAAATATGAGCCAAAGGAGGGGAGAGGCTGAACAGCCTTGTCGCACTCCACGGGTCGCCTGGAAGCTCCGGCTTTCGCCTGCATGGTGCACGGTGTAAAAGATGCTTGAATGCCAGGCCATGATGATAGAGATCAAGTCTGATGGCAGCTGCATGTCACACATTCCTTGATAGAGCAGCTCTCTGGGGACTCTATCGAATGCTTGGGACAAGTCTAATGTGATCATGAGGCTTCCAAAGAGTGACTCACTCTTCTGTCCGGCATGCTGATGGTGGAGATTTTTGTGATGAGTGCTCAGCTCCGCTCTTGTGGCAGCACAGTGGGCGAAGACTTTACGGAGAGCATCATACTGTGATCGACCACTTTGGTATGCATACTGGGGGAAGCGAGTGACTGCCTCTAGAATTTGTGGTAGATGTGGTTCAAGGAGGCAACTTAGTATCTTTTTCCCCAGTGGACACGACAATCCGATCGGTCTGTAGCGTACCCGACTTGTCGGGTTTCAGGACCAGAGCCAGGTCCACGTCGGACCAGCTTTGCGGCACCTTCACAGGATGGTTGTGCCAATGCTGCTGGAGCTGGTCACACGTCCAGGCAGACACCATATCTGCACACAGGCGCCGACTACTACTACTACTACTACTACTACTACTACTACCACTACCACTACCACTACCACTACTACTACTACTACTACTACTACTACTACTACTACTACTACTACTACTACTACTCCTGCTGCTGCTGCTGCTGCTGCTGCTACTACTACTACTACTACTACTACTACTACTACTACTACTACTACTACTACTACTACTACTACTACTACTACTACTACTACTACTACTACTACTACTACTACTACTACTACTACTACTACTACTACTACTACTACTACTACTACTACTACTACTACTACTACTACTCCTACTGCTACTGCTACTGCTACTGCTACTGCTAACGCTACTGCTACTGCTACTGCTACTGCTCCTCCCCCTCTTCTCCTATCCAATTGAACGCTGCGCAAGCGTGCTCTGCGCTCAGCGGGTGCTGGAGTTCTCCAGCACTCGTGAACGCAACTATGATAGTCAGACTTCCTCTACCAGATTCAGCCTCAGCTCATCCTCCGACACCCTCAGGGTCAGTCACTGCGTCCAGTACTCACGCACCTGCAGCCAGTCAAGTCGTACTCCGCAGAGCCGTCTCCTTGAGTTCCTGTCTCGTGGCGTCCCACACCAGGTAAGTCCTCACTCAGGCAGTGGGCCGTAAGGGAAGGACACGAATGGGCCGACTGTTTTCATCAAGGCTTGCGTCAGTTCTATCAAGCGTCCATCTGACTTGCAAACGCGAGGAAAGACGCCTAAATTAATTGCCAGATCTGGCTGGTGCGATCATGCAACTCAAGCAAGCATTGCCACTGTTGCACAGCAACGAGGCTGTGCCATCGTTGGTAGTACATTCCTGGAAAGGAGGAGGCAATGCTCAGCATCGGGAACCCTGTTGGTGGCTCCAATCATGGCAAACTGCCGAGTTACTTTGCCAGTTCCAGGACTGCCATTGCCAATTCCAATCCGTTTGAGTGCAGGCCTGACCCGAAGAAGAGGCGGTAGGGGCTGTAGATTCGCGGGAGGGCTTGCCTTTTTGTCCACCATCTTTCTGTTGCTGCGGTGGTTTGGAGCTGGACGATGGATTGGATTTGTCTCCCATACTGTGATCAATTAGCATCCTTTTGGGAGGCTCCTCTCCAGGCTGCTGGGGAAAATTCGCGTAGTGAGGCCTGATCGCGCCGCCTCGTTGTACACTGTGCGTATGGTGGTGGCCACAAGGTCAAAGTCTGTGTAAGTGGGGAAGCGTCTTGCCAGCGAGGGCTCCAGCCAGATCTTGTTGAAACAACCTCCGACCAGGCCGTGTACCTTGGTTGATGTCGCCATTTCCCTATAAGTGTCACTTCGGCCTGTTGCTATAGTGACCTGGCCCTGCTTGTTGAGGACTCTGCGAACCGATGTGGCAGTCTTGACCGACTTGATAGCTTCGAACAAAGGTGGGACTTGACGCAACGCTTCCACGCGCGTAGCCCAAAGCGGCTGCTGCTCATGCGCGGAAAGACCACCCAGGATCACAGGTGAGCCCAGCACATTGAACCCTGCCAGTGCCAGAATCCATTCCTCTAGCGCAGGCGAACCGAGCATTTGCACCAAATCTCGTCTAGTGTAGGTCTTCACGGTTTCTGGCGGCGGTTGTGGCGTATACCCGATTTGGGGAGTAAGGTCTCTGGTCTGCATGGTGGATGGTCCACCGGTACAAGATGACGACGCTGGAAGTGGGCGGCAGCTAAGCATTGACTGCCGTCCACAGAAATCAGACTAAGGCCTCTCGGAATTAGCGCCATTATCCTGCTCCGTCAAGTCACCTTTGTAATACTGCGAGTTGGCCACCACTTCCATCATGTTGGAGAAGGTGTTTTCTCGGATGCCCTCCTCCACATAGGTTGTGATTTCCTCCATCGTGGGAGGATCTGGCTCGGTGAAAGCTTTGCTCGCCACCCATGTCTCCACCCTCAGACGCCTCAAGCACGACATCTGGCACGTGGAATTGTAGCATTTTGTCCGTTCGCTCTTTGGTCGAAGGGTCTCCCTGAAAGCCTTTCTGCCAGCGCCAGCATCGGGTGAACGCCACAACAGTACCATTGACAGTCACGAAATGATGTCCCTCGTTGTCGTCGGTCTTGGGGCGCTTCTTGGGGCCATCGTATTTCTCTTGGAAGAGATAGATCGGCCCATATGTCTTGCTGATGTTCCAGCCCACAACCGGGTCGTGACCCATATCTCTTTTCAAGACGTCCCACAAATACGTGCAGAAAATCCTATATTCCATGTTAGCCTTGGCCGTGAAGACCTGCCGGCCAAAGGCATGTTGAATGGCTTGTCGCAGCACGGGGTGGTTCGCTTTGCCGTAGATGATGCCCTGGAAGATACGATCCGCCTTCACCCCTATGGCCATCACCATGCGCTGGCGCGCAGGAGCAGGATTGTATCCTGCCCTTTGGGCCTCGGACGATTGGGCTGTGCCCCAGTCTGCTGCTAGCTGCAAGATGTCTTTCCATGGAGCCACAAATCCGCACGTGATGTCCACGTACAAGCCGCCTTTGTGAAATTGGTACACATAGCGAAAGATGTCTGCTCCGCGAGCCGGCTGCTTGAGCCTGTCAAGAAGGGCTGTGCCAAACTTGCCTGCAAGGTCTCGGAGAGTTTGCTTCAGCATGGTGGTCATCGCAGAATACGCCCTTGAACTCCGGGAACATGATGGCTGCAAGCTTGGCCGGCTCGGGCTTGTCGTGGACGTACGTCTGAAACAAGATGTTCGGCACCGGCTCCTTTTGAAGGTGGGGTAGGAGGCACCGAGGGCCCTGACCGAGTTGTGTAGGCACCTCCGACATCTCGCGGACGGTACGGTATCGCGCCAATGCCCGTGCCGCCAGCATCTCTATCTGCATGTCCTGGAGATAGCACGATCTACTATCGACGGCGCTGACTCCAGCGTCATGATCTCTTGGCCCTCCAAATTCAAGTGAGAGAAGCCGTACTGGTCCCTGCCCCAAAAATTTGAAACGGGCCTGGCGTTGCGGCAATAGACTGTCCGCCAGTGGGATGAACCTGAGGTTCAATGGTTCATGGCGATGCAGCATCTGTGCCACTGCCGGCCATTGGCAGGCCGCTTGGAAGCATTTGTCCCCCATGATCAACCCAAACTGCCAGTGGAGCAATTCCAAACACGACGGGTAGGAAGGCATTCCGTGTTGCTGTGATCGTATGGTGACAAAGCAACTGACAGCTCGGGCCAAGTCAGCTATGGGCGTCAGCCGCCGCAGCGGATGCTTTGCCTACTCGTGGATTGTACAAGAAGCGTCAGGCAGCGAGTGCGTTCTTGATCTTCACGTGCGATCCTACACCGCATGGTTGCATGCTGCCAACAGCGCATGACTTCTAGGATGACGGCGCCCACCAAATTAAAAAGCAATATCCTTCGGCCCGATAGCTCGCACCATCAACACCGAAGCCATGCAGGTCTCCGCCTCCAGCACCGATAATCACTGAGCCCCACTCAGCGGCGCAAAGGTCACATAAGGTCACATTCACCCCGTCACAGCACAACTCCTTCTGCGTCGATGTGAAATACAGAAAATCGCCGAAACTACTTCAATCATGTCAACAACCTCTCCTGCTTCACTGCCTTTACTAATACCAGATGTCTGGAATTGCCGTGAGCCAATCCTGCTCACGTGCGAACACAAGATGGCCTACCTCGTAGGGGCATGATAATCATGCCTTGGCCAGGAGGGGTGCAGGGGGATGGGAAGGCATCATCTAAGCGCAATGATGGTTTGGGATTAGCGGCCGATCATGCGACAACAACTAGGGGATAAAAAACAACACACACACACACAGATTTTTGACTGAGCCAAGCTAGTTCTCCACAAGAGAAAGACATGGAAAACGCATGTGAAGAAAGACCTCCAAAAAACTAAACAACAGACACTACTATCGCCTGCTTGTACTTGCCCGGCTGGACTGTAAGGAACCAGCCAAGTTGAAGGAGCAGCATCGGAACACAACACAAACTTCTTTCTTGCGCATGTTCTCAGGAGTACAGGCAGACGGATGAAATCTACAGGAATTTGCAGAGAACCCATGTACCGCATACTCATACTCCTTTTCAGACTATCACCAACACCGTACCATGCCCCAGGTCCTTTGCATTGCCATCTTTGGTTTCACATGAGAAACCTCAGGAAAAAAAAGAAAAGAACACCCTCACACGTGAGGCTTGAGCATCTTCGGTTTCAGGGCTCGGAACTGCCGTGGAAGGGCATTGACTGCCTCAAATGCTGTCTCAGGCACAGTGCCGTGGCTCGCCAACAGCTTCGGCATCTATTCCCAGCTCAACCAGACAACGCTCCGCCGCCTGGGTTGATACCTGTGACAACACAGCACGGAGACGAGATGAGATGCTTCCGCGTCTTTTACTCGAGACCTGGTATCAAGGTTGGGTGGAAGGACTAAGGCTTTGCATGGTCTAGCTGCTAGCTCTGACAACGCCCCCGGCGTGGCACCTCGACTGAGTGGTCACCCCAACACGCCTGTTCCAAGCTGTCCGTTGCGACGAGACATTCGCTTGCTGTTACTCATAGCTTGGTGACGAGCGAGTCGGCGGAAGACCAGGGGGCAAGCATTAAAACCAACGAAGTCTACAGGATCCCCTCTCCCGTCTCGCCTCGCTGGCATGACCATCGCGACCACCGTAGCAACGAACTTCTGAATGGCAACTAGGACCCCAACGTCCTGCTGGCGCTGCCGACTTCACGCACGTGGATTCCAATCGGCCAACCAGCAGGACAACACCAACAAAAAACGCAACTGCAACCACAGCCAGAACCACAACCAGAACCGTTTGAAATTTCATTATCTGAATGCTCTCTGCGAAGATACTTCGCGCAGCTACATTCGAATGCGTAGCAAGATGTGGCCAGCCGCTCCTGGATGCTTCGGCGCATGCTGGGACCAGCGCCGAAGAAGCAGGGCCCCTAGCCGAAACAGGCTTGAATGATTTGATAGGGCTTGCAGTGTGAAGGCTTCGGTCGCAATTCCGGGAGCTACCAGACACATCTGCAGTCCTGTTCGCGGCACACAGATCCAGACATGGACAGCTCGGTGAAGCCTGGAATGGTTATCTGGAATGACACAGCGGAGACTGTGTGGATGACTGGCTTTCGCCACAGAAGCAGCCGCAAGCCACGCAGGTGCCCAGCTCTGCCAGCACTATAAAGCTCTCAGACCAGTGATTATTCTACGCATTCCAGACCAGCTGTGTAAAACCCATGAAGATCTCGGAATCGCAAGCGCAAGCCCAGTCGCAGCTCACCATCCAAGCACTCGGCCAGCGAACGTGGCCCACAAAGGACCTGGGGACGTCAAAGCATCTCGTTGTTGCAGGTGACTGCTGTTGGTCCTGTTCTCGTTGCTCTGAATCCGCAACGAACTCGCCGTCTTCAAAAACAAGCACTAGCAGCAGCAACAGCACCAGCAGCAACAGCAACGCAACCACCACCGCTGCCGACTGGAGAATCAGCACAACGATCCTACCAAGACTTCTTTTCTTGGACTGAGAAACAAGAAACCTTTTCTTTCTCTCAAAACTGGAGGTGCCTACATGCCATGAAAACACATGAAAACCCTACAGTAAGAACCACCGGCGAACCATCGGCCGTACATGCAAGCAACACGGAAACGGGAGGGGCTTGATGCAACGATGAGATAGCCACCGAACAGTCCCTGCGAGCCTCGGGCTTGGGTTGTAGCTGTCGAGGAGGATCAGAACTTTGCAGCATCTTTCTGAAACAGCCCATGCATGGCGCTGGTAACCTGATGTTTACAACCCGTAAGCCTGCGAATATATATGTACCGGGAGAGCATGGCAGCTCTAAGCTTGCCTGTTGCAACTGAGGCGGATCAACTCAAGCCAGTGAAGAAGGAACCCAAGTTGCGCCTGCAACCTCCATGCTTAGAACACGGTTCCGGCCCCCTGGCAAAACCATGTTACATCAGTGTGATAGCCTGCCGACTCAGGGATGTTCACTTCACGACAAGCCAAGAAGACGCAACCGGAAAGTGCGGCTGATCGACATGGCCCTTCTTGTCAAGCACCTCCACCAGATGTTCTGTGGCTGGGATGCCACCTGAGCAAAGATAATTAAACAAGATGACGACAGCAACGAAGGCGGCCGAGCGGCGCTGCGGCTCGCGGGGTCTGGCTCCGGGAGGCGAGGTCATCCCGGTGAGGTCCGTACAGACGTCGAGCCTCTGCAAGATGCTGCACTGTCCAATGGAAGGGAGGCTTGTGCAAACAGATTTCTTGCTTCGTGCTTCACCAGGTCACCCACACGGCAGCGCGAAACTTCTCGCGGCAGGGAGCTTGCCTGAGATCGAGATAGAAGCCACATCAAGACTTTGGCCAAGCAGAAGGAGTCTCAAAGTGCACCTGTGTACAGATCTATGCACGGCGTGAATAGCGGAGTAATTCTTGTCCTGGATTCAGACGCTCTCTGTCGGAAAAATCTGATACAAGGGACACTTCCCTTTCTACCGGTCACTGTCTGTTCCAGGTGATACCCCTCCCATCACCTCGCTGCTCCGCAGCCGCGCGCTCCGCCAAGCGAGCCTGCAGTTCGGAATCGCGAAGGGCCAACTTGAGCCCAAGCTTCAGCCCCGCGCCGTCTCCGCATCCAGGGCAAGCCCGACCAGGGTCTGGAACGCCTCGTGAACTCCTGGGGCTATATAAAAGGCCAAGGTTCCAAAACCGCACCGAACGCCCATTTGCGGTAGAGTCCTTTGCCAGATCGAGCAGAGGTTTGCACAAGGGTCAATCCATTGGCTTCCGCAAAGGACGTGGCCTCCTCCTTCCGAGTCACGCGTAAACAAGCTGCTGAGAGATCTCTCACTCTGCGGCCTTGCTTTGTATCTGCTAGCAATGACATGACTGGCATTATCTAAGGGCTCATACTCCTCCGCATGCGCAGCAGCTGTTTTGCACCAGCAGCATGAACGTGTCACATTCCGGGCTGAGACTACTGCACTGTACCGGGTGCGGGAGTGGAGGGCGGGAGCCTTGAGCGGCGCCGGATCCATATTCGCCCTTACGTGTTCAAGGGCTCATACTCCTCCGCATGCGCAGCAGCTGTTTTGCACCAGCAGCATGAACGTGTGTCTCGCCCTCCGGGCTCAGACTACTGCACTGTACCACCCGTTTCCCACTCTTGCCGCTTAAGGCGTCATCCCTGTACAGATACAATTGTACCAAAGCTTGCAGGGCATCTCCATCTGAACCAGACCTGGCTCCTCAGCTCAGAGTAACCCGTAAGGGCCAGTTCGATGGCGGCCTTGGCCTCGGGCTGCAAGTTTTGATAGAAGTGCAGCGATTGCACTTCCTGGACGTAGATCTCCATGATCCTCGTCGTCAGCCACCTTCCGCGGCGCCTAGTCAGCTCAGCGTTCTCCGTAGATTGCATACGCCAAGTCGCTCCGCCAGCTCGTAAGGAAGCCAACTCAAGGTGAGGGGAGCTCGACGAGGGCGAGGCCGGAAGGTGGAGAGCACCGCACAGCTGTCGAAAGCGCGTGCGCAGTGCTTGTCCGGAGTAGTTCCATAGCCTTTCCCCAAAGCTAAGCGAAGCAAAGCCCAGCCGGACGATGGAGACAATGTCGGGTTGGTCAATCTTGACCGACTGGTGTCTGGCCGCCCTGTTTCGTGTCTTTGGCTCGTCAATGGTGAAGAGGATGTAGTCAATAGTGCTTGCAATATCCTCCGGAAAAAGCAAGTGCCGCCTGGTCGCTTGCAAAACCTCACCAATGTGGAGCAAGCCACCCCAAGCCAAAGCCAAAGCAGCAGCGACCCTCGGCCATCCCCAGGACCAGGCCACAGACACCAAACCCAGAAGCACCTGCCACGGCATTGCCGTATGATGAATGCCTGGTTCGGCCTGCTTCCAGGCAAAAGCCGTATCCCAAGCCGGCTGAAGCACCCTTCTGAGCTCAGGCATCCTCGAGGATAGGCTGTTGACCGTCTCACTGTAATGGGAGTAAGGTCTCCCCGCCTCGTAGAGCTCGCGGCCGTAGCGGGACAACACAGCATTTATGGAGTCTATGTCGACCTTTCAGTGACCAGTCTCGTGTCGATCCCCGCAGCCGACAGCCAGTCCAAAAACGCGGCCCACAAAGCTTCCCGCCTCTCTTGCGTCCTCCGTTCGACGGGGCGGCCAGCAGAAAGTGGGGCTGAAAGCCTCGCCTCCTGCCTGGCCGCATCCCCTGAGTTCCGCGGTCGCAGGCCATGGCTCGAGGAAGACAACGCCGGACCAACGACCCCGAAGCAGGGGGCCCTCCCCTGGGTATCCCAACGTGGTGTCAAAGTCCAGAGGAGGAGGCACGAAAGTACGGAAGGAGCGTGCCCGGTCCCGGGCTGCAGGGTTGCCAAAGTCGGGGCAGCACAGACCAAAGACCAGTCTTTGCCAGTTGGCGGCCCAGCGGCGCACGCGAGGCAGAGCTCCGAGAAGGGCTCGGGCGGAGCCGCGGCTCCAATCGCTGAAAACAGGGGAGAGAGGGCTTGCGAGTACGGCATCCCGGCTCGCACCTTTTTGCATGGCCTGAAGATGACCTGCCCTTTGAGACCGCACACCTGGCCACATTTGAGTCAATACGCGACAGGAACCGGAGGGGGCCAGGCGAGGTGCGAGCCTGATGGCACAGCAGCCTGTAGTAGCACGCCGTTTCCAGGAGATTTATATGCGTCCTGCGCCTCCACCTCCAGGCTTTCGTAACAGACCACGGGGCCGCCAGGGCAATGTCGTTGATCACTGAGTTTTCGAGCCCTTCGACCTCAGGCTCAAGCGCTCGCAAGCTTTCCAGGCGGCAGGAAATGGCGCGAGAAATCGAGGCCGCGAGCTTGCGGGCCCACCTAGGTAGCGATGGCCGTCGCTTGTGGGAGAGGTGCACGGGCTCCTGGAAGGCCTTAGTGTGCTCCAGCAGGGAGCGGTCGACGGGAGGGACCAAGAGAGACCGCATAGCCCGGCGGGGTGGCGCCCGCAGCTGATGGTAGTAGTCGCGTCGGTCTGTCATGTTGACCGAGATGGTCTCGACGGCCGGCCTTACGTAGAGACGAACCAGACCCGACCCAATAAAAAATCAGCCGTGATGGCCCGCCGATGACTCCTTCGCACAGGTTCCTGCCACGGCGGTCACATATCTGCCTGTCAGAAGCCAGGTCCTTCCTGGCGTTGAAGATCTTAACGGCTTCAAAGGGCCGCTCCGGTGGAAGCCCCTTTTCGAAAAGTCGCAGCAGGTCGTTGGCATCCCACCGCTCGGCAAGGGCCACCAGAGTGCTAGGGTCCTCCTTCAGCATCGGGACCTCATGGGGGAGCGGCTGCCTGATGCTGGCAGCGGTGGGGTCCCAATGCGCCCTGCCCGCTAGCTTCAACCGAGAAGGGTCAAGGTTCTGGTAGGGGCTCAGGGCCTGTTTGGCGTCCTGCTCTGTCATGTTGATCCCTGGGAAGGTCCGGCCGTAGGGATCACAGTGTGGGGCAAGACGGGTCACATGCAGGGAGACGTCGCCGAGGCGGGCGACCAATTCAGCAATTCGCCTGGTCGCCGAGACAACATCAACCGTCTCGACGGAACTACAGCCCCTCACTAGGTCCCCAATGTAGCTCAGAGCCCGTTGTTGGGCAGCGTTGGCCGTTGGGGACCCTCTGCATAGCAGCCCTGGCCGGGAAAGAGCATCCGGCATGCACAATTGAGGGCGGCAACGGTGAAGCAAGTCAACCGACGGAGGCCTACCCTAGCGCAGGCACGGGGGCTTTTATGCAGGCATGGCCGGAACACGTTGAAGTGTGGCAGTGGCAGTGGAAAAAGGGAGCCCCGTCGGGAGCGGGAGCCCGCCGGTTGCAGGTGCAAAAGGCTTGCGAGAAAAAAGGCGAAAAGAGTCCTATAGTCCTAAGCACCCGACCAACGCGTGAAAGAGAGGCCGTCTGGTGCAGGCCCCGCCTCGGGAGGAGAGGCTGGGGGAGCAGGGCACTTGGGGCCTCTCCCATTTTGGGAAGGCAGCTCAAAAAGGTACCAGAAACGGCGCGGCGCGGTCGTGAAGGGCGACCCGCAGGTCTCACGGAAGAAGGCGCCGGAGGCGCTGAATTCACATGGCAGGGGCTCGGCGAGCTCGTGGTGCTGGCCTGTGGCGGCCGAGCACCGCAAAGTGCTTGTGCCGGCTAACGCAAAAAAAAACCGCTAGGGACAAGAACCGTGGCCCTAGGAGGAAGGTCAGCAGGGCAGACAGGAGGGCCAGGCTGGACGGGAGACATTGCTTCCAAGCCAGGCGGCGAAAGGCTTTGCAAGACCAGTGCCCGGGGTCTCACGCGCCCTCGCCCTTGGGAGCTCTGGGAAACCGAGGCTTCCTCGGTGGCCGCTTCGGCTCCTCCTCCGTCGTCTTCTGGGGGCGCGACGATGCCATCTCGGACCTGCGGGCTATGATGGAGTCCGACTCCTTCAAGTAAGCCAGGGTGCAGGTCGCCCATGGTGCCGGGCACAGCGGCGCCCACGCTCTCATTCGCACGTTGTGGTGCGAGGGCTTGTTCTGCCATATCATGTCGAGGGACCCGTCGACCTCTCCTGCCAATAGTAGGTCTGCAATGAGGCTGGTCATGAAGAACAGCAGGCCCAAATCCTTTTGCTGTCCAAAGCCTCCGAATCTCTCTATGTAGGCCTGGAAGGAGAAGGGCAGCGGGGGCCACACGAAACTCCTCCAGGGTCCTTGGCAGAGGGCTCGCGGGAAACATTCGCCTGAAGCCGTTCTGGGCGACCGCCGTCATGAAGGAACCGTTCCGCTCTGCCAGGTCTGCTTGCAGCTTGTCCCGCCGGGCTGTGCCCCCAGACGAGAGACCTGTGAGCCTCCACCCACCCCGGCGCCGTAGTCGGCGGACGCATCGGAGGCCTGGCTTATCAGGTGATGCACCAGCTGTGTGAGGGCAGAGCTCTGCTGCATCAGGCGCCGGAGCATCTCCCAAAGGTGCGGCTGCGGCCTTCGGCTGGTTCGTCTTCGGAGGCGGCCCCAGCCGTCGTGCGAAAGCCTTGGCAGGATCCAGGCCTGGGCCCTTCGCCGTAGGAGCCACGAAGGGCTGCTGGTGACTGGGCTTTGGCAGGTCGCCGCTTCCAGCCGGAGCCGAGGCAAATTTCTCTAGCTGCTGTTGGCGGGCCCCAAGCTGCTCCAGCTGCCCGGTCAGCTTTGGCATCGCCTCCAGTAGGGCCCCGATCTGGGACGCCAAATGCGCCGTTGTAACCCTCTTCGCCTTGCAAGGTGCTTTGGGGTCGCGGCGCTCCGGCACCTCCGCTTCCTCGGCCTCCTCCGGCAGGTCGGGAGGCCCTTCTTCCATAGCACTGTAAAAGGCGGCCCTTTCGGAAGACATAGTGCACACCCAGGCCCGGACCAGAACCATGAGCAGGCTCACCTCGGGGAAACGCTGTGGCGTTGTAGGGTCGAAGGGGGAAGGTCTCCGGAACTCTGCCGCGGTGTCTTCCACGTCAACCACCAACACCGACAAGGTGAAAGGGCTGGGCTCTTCCTCTCCATCCTCGGTCCTCCACGGCGGCCACCTCTATAACAGTGTGGGGCCCATGCATAGCCCCAGGCTGCTCAGCCTGAGTAAGCAGGTTCGGTGGCACGGAGCCGGTAGGAAGGGCCAGCAGAAAGCCTCCTTGCTGTTGCAACAGAGGCGCGCACAGAACATAAGCCGAGCGATCTCGCGGCACACCCGCCAAGGGAGCCTGGGCAACGTAGGGCACCAGGGCTCCTTGGGAAGCGAACACCAGCTCGCTGGAAGTCATCTCGCCTGGGCTGGGGCTGCTCAACAGTAGGTGCGAGCTTCTCCCTCGATCGGGAAGCCGTGGCACACTGTGCCCGGGACCAGCTTCCCCGTGTGAGCCTTGAACTCTGGGAAGGTGCGGAAGAAGGCGGGGACTGTGCTGGCAGGGGCCCGGAGGACCAGATAGACACGTGATTTAACTCCCAGCTCGGGCGTGGGAGCCACACAATCGGCTTCTCCTCGCAGGACCTTGCCGGCCTCCAGCCCAGCTGTCCAGGCACGTTGGGCCCGGGACAGACGCACGGCGGCACCCAAGCAAGAGCACAAGAAGAGGCAGTCAGAGGGGACCGTGGCCGGCCGCTCTGGTGCAGGCACAAGAACCCTAAGGGGCCTAGCAGCAGGGATCCTCCACAGTGGGAGGGACAAGCCAGACCCCACCAGCCGGACTGAGCACCCGAGGAGATTAAGGCCAACACCTGCGGGACGAAGCTCATGAGCCTTGAGCGGCGCCGGATCCATATTCGCCCTTACGTGTTCACTCTCTGGGTTCGAGGTCGGCCTACCGCGACGTAGACATGGGATTACTGTTCAAGGGCCGAGGCCACCTGCGTTGGATCGCTCCCCCGATGCTTAGTCAAACCCAAGTATCCTTAGGAAGTGGCCCGAGAAACCTGTGCCACGCAACGGGGGAGGGTGTTAGGAAATTGTCCGGGTAAGTGAGGTCTGGTCGCAGATGTGGCAAAGTCAGGCCTGTATGGCACTGCGGTTTCGGCTTTAGGAAAAAATAAGGTTTGGCATAGTTGAGGCCCGAAGTTGAACAAGCGGAATAGCGGAATCAATAAAATTCCGGCAAAAGCGGCTGATTTCGCCAACGGGTCCATAGTAACAGTTTCGTATATTCTCTGGCACGACCAGGCTCAGCTGTCAAATTCCATCGACACAAGATGAAACAAGGAAACCTGCGGTTCTGAAGCCAGCAGGAACACTACACCTACGTTGCTTCTTAGTAGAGCTCCCCTGTGCGACATAAAGCGCCGGACCCTGTTCATTCTTTAGCACTCCCCGCCCCCTCGCACCTTCGTTGTGACTCCGGGCGCTTCAAAGCTTGAAGATTTGGGCGGTGGTCTGGATTGGCCCCCGAGACCCGCAGGCCCAGCCCAGACCTTCAGACCCTGGACCTCGGACCCCCACGCCGTTAGCTGAACCTGTCGCTGCTCGACGGATTTCGGTTAGCATCCACATCAGGGCCCATAAACTGACCCGGGCTACCCCCTTGCGTCGACTTCTTCAAAATGGCCCGGGCAACCTCCACACCAGCAAAAAAACGGGCATGACGTTCCAAAGCTGTGTTTCCAATAAATGACCCGGGCCGGTATGGCCTGCCGAATCCCGGCTAAAAATAACCCTCTTAGGGCAGTTAAACCACGGGTTTCATGGGGCTGATATCGGAGGGGGGATGTCTTTTAGCCCTGCACGGTTCCCACTGCATTGCATCCGTCGCGAGCCGCGCCTTCGGCACCGCTGGCTCACCTGCATCGATCTTTGTCGCCTAAGTGCCAAACATGACAAAGAGACGTCGCATCGCGTCTCCGGCGTGATCCGCTGGTAAATCGGGTAGCGGGTTGCAGTCGAGCCTCGCAGAGGACACACGCAAGTGTCGCCTTGGAAGAAACATCTGAGCCAGAGATCCTGAGATCAAGGAGGGGTTTCCACTTTCAACGAGTGCATCCAACAGCCTCGAAGCTCCCAAAACCTGAAGATGTAGACTCCCCAAGCCGAGAACCCCAGCTGTGCCACGGATGCAAACCCAGAAATTCCGGGCGGGCTGAGTTCTGGATGTTTGGGTGTGGTCCGTGCTGGACACAGATCTGGACTTCTCGGAAGCATTCTTCTCAGGCCAGTCGCTCTATATGGCGATCCATACGATGACGGCAGAGTATATGCCAGCATCGCAGAAATGTCGTTCGATCCCTTGCGGATTGCGGCAGCTTGAATCTGTCACCAGTGCAAGGGACCCTGCAAAGATCTGCAGTGGCTGTTTCGCACAGAAAACTGTGGCGCCTGAGCTTGGTTCAACCGATGGATGGCAGGAAGGAGCACTGCGAAGCAGCACTAGCACTTGCACTCGTGTGATGCTCAGCATGCGATGCGCCTGGAGTCGTAGCAGAGGAGCAGTCCGCAGACATGCCTCCCAAAATCGAGGACTCACAACTGTGCGGGGCAAAAGAAAGGCACTATCGCTGCCAGTTCTTAGATTCCTGCCACCTACTCAGGCACCCTCCCGCCTTCCCCGCGGCATCTCGCCTTGCTGCACGTACTCAGCATCATCGTAGCACTTCCGAAGACCCAAGACAGTGTCGGGCAAGATCCAAATTTCTGACCGTTCTTCTCGGGTCTTCTCTGCATTCAAGAGTAAAGCTGAAGAGTTCGGTTCACGAGCCACGAGTCGCAAAAGCTAATGGTCAATCGCTAGGGAATCGGAGGCTGCGGCACGACTGCGGTCTGACATAATTTAGCGCAGCGGCGATGCACTGGCTCGCGGCCTGGAGACAGCTCGAAGAGATCGCAAACATCGAATTGAAAGCAATCTCTTAGAAGCGACAGACGCTGCATCTCGTAGTGTCATGTGGTGCCCAAACCAAGCACCTCCTATTTCGAGCAATTCGAACTCCAAGCCGTGTGGAGGAAGCAATTCTCCAAGACCTCAATAGCATCGGCGTTTACGTGACAGCCTTTGAGCTGGACATCCTCAAAGACCGTCTCCCATGCAAGCGAGAGTCTGGGCCTAAGTGCATCTTCTGGTTCCAGACGATATGTTCCTGCCATTTTCGTTCTTTTGTCCTTTCGACCCACGTCTTGATGAAAGACTTCGTCGGAACCCACGATCAGCGCAGTGAAGTCTAGAGTCTAGCTGATGTTTTCCCAGTGGGGTTAAGTAAGCAGTGGATCAATTGAGCCATACTGCTCCTGCCTGACACGGCACCAACTGTCGGAGGAGCGTCAAGCTCACCTCTGCTAGCAGCAGACAAACGCAACAATCTGAGTCCACGTTGCAAGGAGTTCGCGAGCTTCAAACTTCAAAACATCAGGCCCACACAAGTGTCTCGAAGCAATCGTTGGACGAGACAAGTCCTAGAGTGTTCGAGAATGTCAATGATGAAAGATGCTGCTGGGGCCAATGGCTTGCTCGGAACGGCAACCGTCACAATGCGTTCGCGGCTCTTCCCTGCCCCTGCTGACCCGACCACCAGCAGCACAGGCGGCTGGGCACCAACCATAGCAGACAAGTGCTGTGCTCTGGCAAACCTCTCGCCGCCCTAACATCGTAGCATCACAGTAGGGGACATGGTGATATGGCCTCTCTGCTGGCAGCCACCGTGACGAATGAAGATGACTTCCACCCGTACGAATGCAGTTTTCTGTCGGGCTACATCCGTGAATGGTTGACACAGGAGCATGCTGCAGCCAATGGCCTCAATCACGCAGTTCGTTGACGTGGGCCCGCAAGTTCGAAGTCGGACTGGGGAATCCCAACTCCGAGCCGGGTGGGCTCGAGCGCAGGTGAAAGACCTTCTCGAAGCCGCGGCGCTCTGCCTGGGCATCTGGACCCTCCGGATTCGGTTCGGCTTCCCTACAATCATGGCTGCAAATGCTTAACACTATGACTTAAATCTCACCCGTTCAATCATGCAGCACTGCAGAAACTGATGCTCTGCATCGTTATGCAGAGCCTCTCTGCAGAAGGCATGTTCTAAGTTGTCACCCAATGCGGTCAGACCCCATCTTTGCAGAATCCTGTCCAACCGCTGCCTGTGAACTGTAAAAGCGTTCAATCAACAGGTTCTCTTACTCCGTATCGCTCTCGCCCTCAGTAGCACAAGATGCTCAAACCCTCTCACCTACGTGTGCGCAGTTGTCATCACCATTCCCACATTCTCGAAACGAACAAACACTCAGCCCGAAAGCCAAGCTCGGAATGTTCGCCCAACGCAGGCTAGCTGAGTCCGCACAAAAAAACAGCGGGCAGAAAATGGGGACCTGTCGGATCCCGATAGTACATGTCGGCAGCAACGGGAGGGCTACCACAGCACAGCAAAGGGGAACAAAGTCATCAGAAATGGCGGCCTGAGTGGTTTTATTGCTTGTAGAGCTTGGAGCTGCGCAACGTCAAACAAAGACTTTGTTTTGAAGTGTGAGAAGCATTTGGCATGCCTGCCCAAAGCCCTGTGCTGCCTTCGAGGAACTGAAGAGGTCCCACCTCGGAGAGCTTGTCCGGCGTCATGGACAGGACAAAGTGCACCGAGTTCTGCCACGGCACACATCGCATTACAACCAGCGTTCAGGCTGCGTGGAGGATCTGGGTGTCGCCTCGGAGTGGTACTCCCGCAGCTCCGTGATGGATGCACGCCTCCCGGAAACAGAGGCATTCAACACCGAAGCCTCTGACCTCTGCCGCGACGAGGCGCCTTTCGTCCCCTGGCTTCGGGAGCTGCTCCACCAGCCAGTCTTTGTAGTCCTCGCAGTCACGGCGAGATCCCCGTGCCGCGACTCCTCTGCCTGTGTCCTGCGTCCAGCGTCTGGGCGGAAGCTCGGTGATCTCCAGGCGAACTCGACCCTTCCTGGCCCGTCTTGCAAGTGCGCATGGCCTAGCCTCGCCTCGCTACACTCGCCTTCAAATCCCCCGAGGCCCTGGCTGGGAGGCGACTCCCAGGGCTTCATACCTTGGAAGCCAAACCCAGCACGCTGATCACCGCCCGCAGCCCACAGCTGAGTGTAGCACTTGCCAGGTGAGCCTTCGATGCTCCTCACCTCTGCTTTCGACAGATGCCGAAGCCTTCCTTCGGCGCATCGTCCAAGGTACGCACATTCCCCTTGAAGCCACGGAACCAGGGTGCCATGGGCTGCATCGCTTCCCTTAGAGCACGAAGCCAGTTCCTACTGGAAGCCGATCTGACATCGAGACCATTCATGACCATTGCGCAGCATGCCGCGCCATGTTATGCCCTAATCGCACCGTCGCGTGCCATACCATTTACCCATATCCCCTGTTTTCCTGACAGACATGACCAGCCCTGCACAAAAGGAGAGCTGGAGAAGGGGGTCGACCCAGGGCAATGCCAACGACGACTAGCGATAGCAGCAGCACCAGTAGTCGCGGCACCAATAACTGTCACAGCAGCAGTAGGATTGGCAGCAGGACAGCAGCAGCACTGGGAGTAGTAGTGGAAACGAAGGGTGAGAGGTCTCAATAGGGGGCGGGGGAGGGGATGGGGGAGGTTGCCAAGCACACGAGTGTTCCGCCCGTCCTGTCATCCGAAGGCAAAGATCATCATCCACAGATGGGGGGCTGAGGTCTTGAGCTTTAGGTGTTTTGGATGGCTTTCTTTGACTTCATGAGTCCGAAAGCTCTACACTGCTGGGCATCTTTGCCTGCTGGGTTGGATACACAGGGAGAGGTACACGCTTATGACGACTTGAGAAAGGAAGCGTAGGCGCAAGCAACAGATTTCAAACAGAAGCTAACTGAGGGACCTTGCGGGGCGGCGGGAGGGGGAGAGAGTTGAGGGTAGGGAGGGCCAGGGCCCCCCCCCTCTACCCTATGCCACGTGCCGCATCCTTCAAGGAGCAAGGGGAGGGAGAAGGGAGCGCGCTGCACCTTGTCCTTCGAAGATACTTCATGAACGACGTGAAGGGGGGGGGGGGCACACCCTCCCCCCCCACCCCCGACCTTAACTCTTGGACGTCCCACCTGATAAGGTGCAAACCCTGTTTTGTCCCTAGTGCCTTAATACAAGGTGAGTTGCTAAAGGACAACTCCCGCAAGCTCAACAGAGCTAGCTTTCGTGATAAGTGGCTGCAGCGAGACTCGGTGCCGCACTTTCTGAGCAGGCATCGGATGTTGGCGATCACGTCCCGCCTCGACGTTCTTGCAGATGGCTGCAGTCCACATGACATCAGCTCGCTCCGAGATACCAGCGGATTGTGATTGGGAATGCTGGTGCTCCATCCCGTCCCAATACCTCCACCGGTCCGGTGCAACTCGGGCTTCTCGTGAGCGAGAAGCAGCTGTTTAACACATGGCGAGTTCGCGTTCAGCGCATTGCATCGCACCACAACGTGCTAAACTGTGAAGAATGCTTCTTTGCCAAGTACCTTCTCTAAACGAAGCGGCTCACCATCAGCACCGTTGACGAGCGCGAGGGGGATGACAGGACAGTAAAATCCTGGCACCAGGAAAGTGCTTCAACTAATACAGGCAAAGCCGCACAGTTTGCACGGTTCACCTCCACGCTGAGGTCTTGACTGGGCTCGATTTGGTGGCCTTCTTCGCTCAGATACCTTCAAGTGCAAGATGAGACGCCAAGACTTGCTCACACCTCAATTTTCGAGGCTCCAGCTCCAAGACAGCATCATCCTCTGCGGGGAAGAGACAGCGAGTCACCTGTCTGGAGAAGCGAGCAGATTGGCGAGCTGCTCGCGTACCAACTCGCAACACTGTTTTGAAGTTCTGTCTTTTTAAAGAGTCTTGTAAAGAGTCTTGTTTTTGACGTGGGTTTCAGTAGGCATGTGCCTGACACAAGCATCGTGGCACATGGCAGCTTGGCTTGACTTAGGCAGTCCGACAAACGAAGTACCATGAAAGCCAAAACACTGGCACCCCTCTGCCCGGCGTCCCGGCCAACGGCCTACGACCCTGACACCGGTGACCGGCCGGACGAAAGGTGCTCCTTTAGCCATGGCCGGCGCTGAGCTGTGGCTTCGATGGCTTGGCAAATTGCAGCCGCTGAGCCCCTGTCACTCTTGTTCCCCCCATCCCCGCTGTCTTGAACAGCTTGGTTTGGCCCCGTGTCTTCGACCGTTGACTGGCGCCACGGTGCTGATCACAGCTAGTGTTATGTGTACTATGGTTTTACTTGTTTTATCTCCGCATTTTGTAACATCGTTAAAGCCTGTGTTGCAGGGACAGGCCAATCTTCACTTTGGCCTGGCTTGGCTTGACTTCGTGCCAGTTTAGCTTGTGTTGATTGCTGTCCCCGAACAAAAACCAGCAAGGGCAGCACCTGCCAGCAAGTCTCGAACGCTTGGTCATGCCTTCAACACCGTTGTGATTATCACTTCTGCTGTTTGAAATTTATGTCCCTCTTACTCCTATTGCGAATGCTTGTAGCTGAAGCCCAAGCAGCAGCAATGGCAGGAACCAATGCGGCCCGGACTGGTTTCATCAAAGTGGGGGCGGTGCGGGGGCATGGGGCGGGGCGACACCCTCTAGAAAAGACTTGAACAGAGCTCTCTGATAGTTTGGCTTGATGTTGGCGTTTCTGGGCTTGGCCGATGAGTTTTAGACCAGTATCCCTGTGTGCGTAAAAAGAGAAGCGCTCAATGGTGCTATGATCAAGGGGGGCATCTGTGTTGGTAATTTTTGCGAGTCTGTCATTGGCAGGTGTGCATTGGGGAAGGCCCCTTGGAATGATGTAGTAAACGGAAAAACGGAATCGTGATGAACCTTACTTGCTTAAGCTTAAGCAACTATCAGCAGCTATCCTGTGGGCACAAGGGCCTAATGGCTGCAGTGTAAGTTTTGATTCTGTTCCTAATACAGCAGTAAATTCGAACATAAATAGGTTCCAAGAGGCTGAAATCAGTCCGTGGTCAAAAAAACGGATACGTCGACTATCTTGAGTCACATGCCATCAAGTCTTTGGCCGATGGTGACCTGTCAATTCCCAACAACTCTGGAGCGCAGCTTCTTTTAAAATCAGAAGTCTGCCGTTGCTCAGGTGCGGATGTGGTGTGCGTAGGCGGTCGCACAGCAAAGTCGCGAGGGATCACCATGTTGCATCGCACCAAATTGCTCGGTAGCGATATCTGGGCCGCTGCTGTTCTTTTTGTCATTCCGACAACAGCAGGAACATATAAGCAGATGTCTCGAAGATTGCAACCTGCGAATGCAGATACGAGCAAGAACACCATGCTGTGACCAATCCAAGCAACCCACAGTAACTCACAGCACATCAACGGCGATGGCCAGGATATAACAATTGCGAACATGCAATGCTTAAAACGTAGTAGCATGCGGAGTTGAAGGCACCTGCTGCTGCAAACAATGTGAACTATTGTCTCGGTGCTGAGCTTTATGGCTCGGGGCTCCCTTCCTGAGCATCTTGAATGAATACTCTCGGATAGTCGAGTAGCTGGACTCTACTGGACGCTCCACCCCGCGCGGCCGTAAGTCAACCCCAGCTGCCTGCATGCAGTTTTCACCGCTAATCAACCCAGGCATGGGAGTTGACCCAAGAATTGAAGTCCCCAAGGGCACACCGCATGCCGTGACAGCCGGTTTTGCCTTCCGACCATGTGAATCAACGGTGACTGTGCTGTGATAAACATTGAACTGACCATCGTGGACAACCAATTCCATGTGATGCACATGGTCCAAACGCTTGCATGGATCGTCAAGTTTAGTGCCTGGCACACCACAACAAACAACGACCAACAACAAAGGCAACATACCCAAGCAATGTACGGACTATACGAAAAGCATTCCCCGCTGCACAATCACCCCCTCCAGGACTTGCTTGAAGAGGCATCTTTGTTTGTGTCTTGCGTCGGGCATTGTCGATGCACGAAAGGTCATACCGGAGTTCGTTGGCTTGAACAAGCTTGCACATAGATTGGCTTTGGCAGCACCCACATTAGTTGTGCTGTCGCTCTAAAATGCTTGTCTGTTGAGCAATCGGAGCAGACGAGTCAACAGTTTTTTCCCTTTCCATGCTCAAGCATTAAATGCTGCTGGATCGGAGCAATCCTGGAACGTATCAGCAGTCGGGTGCATTGAGTCTCCATGATCCAGCACTTAAGCGTCATTGCCAGGGTTTCACTGGCATAACAAGCTGCGCAGTTTGGGACTCTGCATTGATGGTGAATCCCAGCCATCTGTGTCCTCATTTTTTTCGAATTGAAGGCACTGATAAAACTCTGGAGAACAGACGGACTTCAGCAGAATGCCCTCTGCCCGCAGAGGGAGCCTGTCGTCAACATACTTGAAAAAGCAGCGACTGCAAAGTCAGAAGAAGGGCGCGAGGATGCGATTCTGTGCTATCAGCAACGGTAGGCCTGACAGAATTGGGCGATATGTGGTTGCCTACGCGAGTACCTTCGAACTTCGGGCTGCTTGCGGCACCTGCATGTTGCTGTAAATATGCCTGCATCGAAAGTCAAACGAATATTTATGATTGGCACATCTCTTAGCCAGCATGTTTTGCGGGGTTTGGGCCCGTGTTGAACTCTTTCCTGGCACACACGAACCAGCCATTCGACTGACTCAAGAATGGCTGCTCTGGGCACTGCATTGAAGCATCCCACTCGGTCGCCATTCCACTCACACAGATTGGTGTCGAGTGCATGGTGCCGTAACCGTCATCAGCTCCCCGCGGGAAGTTCCGGAGGGGGTTGCCAAGGAAAGCAAAGGCAGCAGATCGCGGAAAACAACAAATGGAATTAATCGGACCTGCTTAACGAGGTCGTTTAGCCAGACCCTTCATCTCGGAGCGAGAAAGGAGGTCTGGAAGGAGGAACCCTGCTTGGTGGACGAAATGGAAAGAAGCGGACCTACAGCCTGACGATTGTCGTTCACCGGCGAAAAGGCGAGCCTGGAACGACATGAAGAGCTCTGCTAGGTGGAGTCAGTGGAAAGAAGCGGACCACGGCCTTGCGAGGGTCGTTCACCCAGACCCCCGATCTCGGGGCGAGAAGGTGGTCTGAAAGAAGCGAATATACGGAGAAACGGCGTTGCGCTTGGTGGACAAAGTAGAAAAAAGGGTCGTCTACCCAGACACCCAGACCCCCGATCTCAGGGCGAGCAGGCGTCTGGAACGAGAAGAGGAGCCCTACTTGGTGGACAACAGGAAAGAAGCGGACCTACGGCGTTATGAGGGTCGTTTACCCAGACTCCCGATCTCGGGGCGAGAAGCGGGGTCTGGAACGACATGAAGAGCCCTGCGTGGTGGACGCAGTGTAAAGAAGCCGACCTTCGACCTTGCGACGGTCGTTTACCCAAACCCCCGGACTCGGGCCAAGAAGGGCGCAGCCCCGGTGTCGGGGCGAGAAGGGGGCTTCGGAACGCCATGAAGAATCGTCTTCCACAACGTGTCCGAAAATTCGGTCGAGGAGGCAAGGATCCCAAACGTGAAAACTGAAAGCAGGAAGCTCCATGAATTCCCCGAGAAAGACACCCCGAAGCCATCCGAACCTGACTATCCGCGTCCTTATTGACGAAAAGCCAAGATGAAGCGCCCTGCGAGGAACTTGGAGAGCCTTCCATGTGAGCGGCAAGGTAGCGGGAGCATGTGGGAGCCGTTGTTGGCGTCTGACAAGTTTACTTCGAGGGGGGCTGTCAGCAGCTGAATCATGCAGTCAATGGGATGTCGCTGATCTACAAGCTGGGACCTGAAAGCAGCGAACAATTCCGCCTGCTAGTCCAAGGGTTGTGGGTTATCAGAACCGGACTCTCAAGCGAGCAACAGTCTCGGAGAAGGTTTCCTTCATCAAAGTAACGACTAAAGACCGAAGCTGAATGGCAACCCGTTCAAGCCCAGACTCCACTGAAGTGACCCTGTCAGCCAACTGGACCAGCCAGCCGCGGCCGTGAAGGACGTCGTCCTCTAAGTGGCGAAGTCGACCGCGAGGTCGGGCTATATCAACTCGCTCAGCTGCACACTCTGCCTCCAAGTCGTCCAAGCGGTGGCCCAGTACTGCGTTACGATCGGACAATTAAGCTTCCGTCAAGCATCAATCATATGGGTGTTTCATCGGGCTTGATCAAATGGGATGGCACTGGGAATCTTTGACCAATCATGGCCCCGAAGGACCGAACCCTGTCGCAACGTATCAAGACCTGCCAGGAATGTCAGCCAGGGCTACCCCAGCGGAGCTAGCGCGAACGAATGCAGAGATGAACCCTCCAACTACCTGGAACACATTTACGCATTCATCCACAGCCTCCGCGCCAAGCTTTATATTCGGTAACCAGGGTTCCGATGCCTCAACGAATGTCTTGCATCATCCACTTGTTTTCAACGTTTATGGCTTCGCATGGCTGCCATGTCCGATGCAGGTACGCCACTGCACGTCTGCAGTGGCATCACGGCAGACACGCAACGTCTTCGTTAGGAGCTGACGGCAACTCTCTCCAGCACCCACTTGCTTTGTATGGAAATTTCACTCAGTTGCCTTTGGTGACCGGGTGTTATTTACCGTTCTAATTGCTGGCTGATAGCTCTTATGCACCTTGCTGGTTGCACATGTGATATCAGTCCATCCTCTTTGTGCTCTGCAGAATCGGATCTGATCCAAGGGCAGTGAAACAAGACACTAGCTGAGCGCGTGACTGCAAAATACATTGTATTCACAAATTGCGGCGACAATGCTTATGCTGTTGCAAACAGAAGCTCTGCAGGACTGAGTGGTTCGCTGGATCTAATGCGTGCGAGCACTACCTGAAAACCTGCTTTGGAGGGATGAAAATAACGTCCATGGCGCACCGTTGCTTTGTGCAGGTACCGAGTCACTCGTCAGTGACCCTTTCCACTCCTGCTCCATAGCTTTGCTAGTGCCGCTAGGAGCAAGGATGCCGCAACCCCTGCACTAGCTTACGTTGAAAACCTGCAGAAGCAGTGAGAAGCAGAGGTGCTGCATGCCATGTCAATTGAGATGAAGAAAACCGGACGTGACTCCCCTGGGCTGATGCGCGAGAGCAGTTCACACACGCACACACTTCGGACACACACACACACACGCAGGGTTGAACAATCTTAAGTTTGATACTGCTTATATTGATGCCCTCATTATGGAGCTTGGGAAAGCCGAGGAAACAGTATAGCTCCTTGGGGAACCATTGCGAGCCTTGCAGAGGCACGTGAAGATGTAACGGGCTGCAGCATGGTCCTGTGAAACGCAGATATGCGGCCGCATGTCTGCAAAGATGTCCGGCAACGGTTGCAATCGCTGAGGTTTGTTCTTCCCGGTGCACTCCCGGTGCCTTTCCGCCTTGTAGCCTGGATCCAAACTGGCCCCGCGGCTCGAAGAGATTGATCTCATCAAAACCATGCGAAGCATACTTGCACATACTCACCAACAGCAGCTCGAAGCTGGGATCACCGACATTGTTGCTCCCGACGAATGTCTGGGCCATGGCGATGATGGTGCCCTTGCAAGCACATTGCAGCTCAGACCGATCGGCAGGCACATCCATGCTTCCAAAAGCATACCTGCTTGTTGCTCCAGAAGCAAACGATCTGGTACCACTGGTGCACAGTCGACACTGCCGGTGGTTGCAGACTCTAAAACAAATGCTTGTGCAGCACATTAGCTTCGTCAGGCTGCACTGACATCCACTCGCACGAGATTCCTCGTCTTGTCAAACCTGCCTGCAAAGAAGCCTCACCATGGTGGTATGCCGAGGTTTCGGCCACATAGCCTTCAATGCGGGGCGATGAGCGCGTCAGACCATGAAGGTTGAAGTACCAGGCACAAAACGTGTCACTCAGCAATGAGCTTGAATGACTTCACAGGCATAAACTAGGTGTAAAAAGGTACAAGAAAGTCGAACGACGAACTTTGCCTGTCTGCCATGAACATGTCCACCAATCCCTTGTGCAGTCCAAGGTGTTGAAATGTGAAGGTGAGGGTGTCGCTCAAAACAACGAACCGCATGCCTGAAGCAAGTTGCACGGGAGGTGCAACAAGAACTCACATGATCTCTGCATATCTCTATCATATGAAGGTAGCAAGTTAGCCTCCTGATAAAGACTCCGAGAACAAGTGCTTCTTATCGCTACCAGGAGCCACCGAACTTCAGTTCCGCAGGATCGGAGTCTGTGCAGCTGGTCAGCTTCGCGCCTGAAAGCTGCGCCACTTTGATTTCGTTTGTGAGCTTCTTCTTGAAGGATCCATACAGCACCTGCCGCGGACGTGGACGCGGACTGCAGACCACGCTTCGGCTTTCTGGTTAACGCGCTTGCATTCTGCCCCGCAGTAATGGCAAAACTATACGAAAGCTTTGTAGCCCGAGGTTGCAAGCTTAGCTTAGCTTTCCAGGGCTTCCACCCGACAGGCTAAGGAAGGAATCTAAGGAAGCTGCAAGCTCCTCCGGATGACACGCGCTACCTGATTATGACTGCAACCGGGACGACGATTGGCAAACAGAACTCTAGAACAACGGCATTCCATTGCGAGCACTCCAACTCCGACATGTCACAGCACAGCCGTCACCTTGCGCTGCCCCGGCTTCAAACCGTCGACAAGGGAAGGCCTTGACAACACGCACACACACACACACGCGCACCACACTCACACACACACACACACACACACATGCAAGTGACTTTACATCTCGAGAACATTTGCGAGTTTTTGTGGGGCTTGTCTGGGGCGGAGCTCGAGGGTGCTGCACGGCACGCTCCACGTCGTACTTCGCAAACAGAGAAAGCTCCTGTCTCGTGCTGAGCAGAAAGGGGTCTGTGTAGTTTTTGTTCAGGAGATCCTTCTCGATGAAGTCGGAGTAACTCAAGGTGGGCTGCGAATGATCCACGAAAGTGCCTTCCTGTGACGCGTCCACCACTTGACAATTTGCCAGATGCGGCAAAATTTGGAGGCCTCCACGCTTGAGATCCAAACCTTGCGGTCATCAGACCTCAACTCGTCAAAGTGGAGGACCCGGATCATCAGAAAAGAAGCTATGCCTCTTGCCTCTTGGCGGCGAAGGCCATATCGATGAGATCATCATCACGGCTTCCTACAGGGAGCTTTTGGATGCTTGTGGCATGTCTTGCTTGTGGCATGTCTGGTTGCAAAGCGAGCACACAGAGCCTGAATATGTGAACTGAAGCTCATGTTCTCCGAGATCTGCAAAATACCTCAATCGTCAGTCATGTTTCGGGCACTGACTGATTGCCCCGTGTTTCTCTGGGCACTCTTTGGCCTCTGAGCTTGTTGATGTGCCCAGACCTGCTTTTTTCGTGACGACTGACGACGGAAGACAAAGTCACCTCTTTCGGCTCTCTACTTTGTGCTCTCGTAACCTACCATGCTGTGTGGTGTGATGGCCTTTGTAGTATTTGCATTTCCATCCGCGCCCATCACCATTGGCCTTCATAAGTGGGAATGTGGGAAAACTTCATCGCGGCTTCTGAAAGCTACAAACACGAAGCACGGCACACACTTGGGCCGGCGCTCTCTTCCAAGATTCATATTCCGGCAAGGTGAAGAAAGTCAAGGTCTCGTCGCCTCTGGAGACCTGTCAAAACGTGACAGCTGCACTCGCATCATGCCCTGCTGATCACAAACCAACAACCGGTTGTAGATGTATCGAAGCTGTCATTGACCAAAGCTCTCTGCCAGCCTGTGCCCTGGGAGAAAATGAAGCGTGTGTGTGCGTGTGTGTGAATATATGTGTATGTATGTATGTATGTATGTATGTATCTATGTATGTATGTGTATGTATGTATGTATGCATGCATGTATGTATGTATGTATGTATGGATGCATGCATGGATGTATGTATGTATGTATGGATGCATGCATGGATGTATGTATGTATGTATGTATGTATATGTGTGTATGTGCGTATGTATGCATGTATGTACGTAGGTATGTGTATGTAATTGTATGTGTATATATATATATATATATGTGTACATATATATATATATATATATAACCTATATGCGAGAAACAACACCGTGATTTCGGAAGGGTGATCCGATTTGGAACGTCCCTTTCTCAGCTGCCTGTAACAAGGCACTTTAGAGTGACTTCCACTACTTCGATGGAAACTTTGAAAAATGAAAGGGCTACAGTATGGCAGACCTTGGGCTCGACAGGATAATCATCAGGAAATGGTTCTAGCGGTGTACAAGACCCACTGCTATGCAATCTAAAATGGAAGATCAGGATCTCAAGCCCAAACCTACCGAGGCGCCATCACGCAAAGTGAGCATCCTATACCCGCTGCCGGGCAGGAACTTAAACCTATTTTTAAGCCAACCTTCACAATCGGGGTCACGAACTCCTTCAGGAAGCCTGGCAACCTGCAACAGAGAGCAAACCTCACAGTTCACCTTTTCGTAGATGTAGGCCAAGCGTCGCTGAAGCCAAGCCTCAAAAGAGAAGGGAACCAGTGCTGAATGAAGTTGATGATGAGGCCCTGTCACACTTCAAGTACTGCAAGCAGCATCAAGCAGCTCGCAGTGGTCGCGGCAGCCTTGCCTTGATGTGGGATCCGTCGTGGTCCTGGTCCGTCATGATCATAATAGAACCTCGAGAGGTCGCCAACCCTCGGAGCGCCAAAGAGTCGCCAAAGACATCTCTGAGAGCAGTGACCATAACGGAGGCTTTTCGCATCGCGATACTCGTCCTGTGGTCTCGCAGCAAACGAAACGAGCAAGCTTAAGAGTTTCCTTGATGTGATCATTCTTCCCGCACCCCCCCCACCCCCTGCCCAAAGCAAGTCCAGAATCGGATGCTGGAGTTTGAAAACTCGTTGTTAGTAATGGAGTGTGACATGAGCATGGCATTTTGAAGACCGAGTAAAAAAGCTTTCCCTCATCCAATTTCGAGATTTTCGCTGAAAACCCTCGCAAAGGCAAAAGACAACGTAGCAAAGTCCAGAGGTAGGCTTGGCGACTATATAAGATATCAGACGTCGCGAAAGTACTGTAAATACCGAGTAAAATGGCTCTTCCGGAGATGATGTCCGGGGTGTCGGCTTAACAATGTCGTCATCATTCTTCCCGCACCCTCCCACCCCCCAAAACAAAAAGTCAAAAAAAAAGATCCCCGAGTTTCAAAACTCCGAGGTGATTTTTGAGGCTTCATAAGATGTTGCTACATGCCAAAAGTGCTGTAAATACCGAGTAAAACGGATGTGTGCGACAAGCGTATGTAACACGAGGTAGTGGGTAGGGGGGGGTGGCTAGTAGTAGTAGTAGTAGTAGTAGTAGTAGTAGTAGTAGTAGTAGCAGTTGTAGTAGTAGTAGTAGTAGTAGTAGTAGTAGTAGTAGGTAGTAGTAGGTAGTAGTAGTAGTAGTAGTAGTAGTAGTAGTAGTAGTAGTAGTAGTAGTAGTAGTAGTAGTAGTAGTAGTAGTAGTAGTAGTAGTAGTAGTAGTATTGTAGTAGTAGTAGTAGTAGTAGTAGTAGTAGTAGTAGTGGTAGTGGTAGTGGTAGTAGTAGTAGTAGTAGTAGTAGACGACTAAGAGTAATAATGATATAGTAGTATTCGCAACAGTCATAATAATCGCAATAGCCATGGTCACAGTAAGTGATCGTAGTAGTACTGGTAATAGTAGTGGTAGTAGTAGTAGTAGTAGTAGCAGTAGCAGTAGTACTCGTAGCAGTAGTAGTAGTAGTAGTAGTAGTAATAGTAGTAGTAGTAGTAGTAGAAAGAATAAGACTGAGACTAAGAGTAAGGGTAAGAGTAAGAGCAAGAGCATGAGTAAGAGTGATAGTAAGAGTACAAGTAAGAGCACGAGTCAGAGTAAGAGTGATAGTAATAGCAATGGTGCTTGTTTTTATACCAGTACGAGTAAATGGTGGTAGTACTAGTAGTAGCACTGGCAATAGCAACACTGCTGGCAGCACGAGTAATAGCAATGATAAAAGCAATGCTAACAGTACTAGTCACAGAACAGGCAATAGTTCTACTAATAGTCCTCGCAAAAGTAATAGCAGCAGAAACAGTACCAGAAAGGTAACATCCATAGCAACAGTACTGGTAGTGGTGAAAGTAGTAGTTATCGCAATCGTCAAAGTAGTAATATTGATAGGAGCAGTATAATTTATGGTAGTGTTTGCTTGCTTGCACCATTTCCTGTATGTGTGCTCGTGTGAACACATGCTTCATCACTTGCTTGCTCGCTTTGCGTACTCCTTCTACAGCTTAACTGCTTCCTTGCTTTTTTTCTGCTTGTTTTCTTGTCTTGCTTGCTTGCTTGCGTGCTTGCCTGCGTGCTTGCTTGCTTGCTTGCTTGGTTGCTTGCTGTCTCTGCTCGTTTCTTCTCTTGCTTGCTTGCTTGCTTGCTTCTGGCTGGCTTGATTTTCCTCTCTTGCTTGCTTACTTACTTGCTTGCCTGCCTGTCTGCCTGCCTGCGGCTTGCCTACTCTGCTTATGGTCTTGCTTGCTTGCTTGCTTGATTGCTTGCTTGCTTGCCTGCTTGCCTGCTTGCCTGCTTGCCCACTCTGCTGATTTTCTGGTTTGCCTGCTTGCTTGCCTGCTTGCCTGCTCGCCTGCTTGCCTGCTACCACGCACCGCCGGGAACAAATGGAAAAAAACTCCCGAACCAAATGGGAAAAACTCCTGCAAAAAGAGGGACACCGCTCGCTGGCAGGCTGGAACCCTGCCAAGAACCATACCCATTCCGAAGGGAAATCGTCTCAGAAACCGTATTTTCTCTCGCGGTGCACGAAAGAGGATGGGAGGAAACCGTATCCAAACCCGTATCGAACCGCCCTCGGGCTGGGGATCGTGGGTGGGGAGGGAAATCGTGTCCGAACCCGTATGGGAACGTGTATTATACCTACAAACCAGGCTCGTATCGGCCCCGACATCTGGATGGATCGTATCCCCAGATCACGTCCAAATCGTACTGCAATCATATCAGGAATTTCTGAAGTAGGAAACCACACCTATGTAGAAACTCTTGCAGTTAGAGCAGAGACTAGGAGACACACTAATGCACTGGATGCGAACTGGGGGTAAAGTAACCTGAGAAAGCCTTGTGCAGGCCATGCAGGCGCGAACAACGATGGTCTGTCAAGTGTTGGTGAAGATGTCGTGCGGCGAGAAGAAAGCAAGAACAAAAAAACATGCCTTCTGAGCTACGCTTGAGAACATGTTTGAGTCAAACCATGCGATTGGTGTCCAGATAATCCCGTGACCGGGATATGACAAGGTTCCTAGGCTCCTGTGGCACACATTGGAAAAAAACGTCGGAACAAGTCTGAGCAAGCCTTGCTCGCATCCAAAGCCATGATTTTCAGTACCTGACAGAACGATGCGAGCACTGACACAACGCACGTCACGTAACATCAGTACCTGTTCGATCTCCTTGTTCTCCAGCATCTGCTTCACGGTCAACTCGCGGACCTCAATGGTTAGCAACTCGTCAAAGGCTTCTCAACCCATCTGAGAGTCGCAACCCATCTCAATGTCTCAACTCATCACCTGAAAAATACTGAGCACCACTACATTCCGAAGTTTGCCCCTCAGTGGGAAAACACCATAACGATCGCGGCCAAGAACGCCGAGACCAGCAACTGCCAGGGCCTTCGCACATTCAGAAGCTCTCTCGACAGCCATCGCGCCCTGTATGTACGCTGAAGGTTGCTCCCAAGCCTTGGCTGAATCGCCTTCAGTAAGGATGAGCGTGCAGGACTGGCCCTGACAAGCACAAATCAATCCAATTCCGAATCTTGCAACTGCGCCGCGGCCTTACTATAAAATGATACAGACATGCTCCTTCTTTTTCTTGCAGAAGAGTGAACCCCCGCACCCCCCGCGACTAGCGATCACAAGAAAGCACACTCGCCGCCGCCGCCGCCGGTCGGAACTATCTTAGATAAGATTAGAGATAAAGAACGTCTAGAAGAGTGATCCCCCCGAGCGAATGCGCAAACCTTCATTGGAGCTCATCTCACTCACTTCTCCTCCGCTTGAACGTTGCTCCGGGGGTACTCGCCGAGGCGGCTCATGCTGTTGGAAATTATTCACACCGAGAGCGTCAGCATCTTGCCCTGCTTCTCCCGCGGACCCCGAAGCGCCCGACACAGTAAGGCCGGTCCTTAGTACCTACAGCAACCGACATCCCCCGAGTAAGACCCGTGGTGGCAAGTGGGTTTCCCCAACGAAAGAACTATGCAGCTAAGCACAGAAACAGATATATTGTGTCCCCCCACTGTACAGTACCGGGTCAAGTCTACAGTACACGCAGCTTGGTGAAAGCGCCATCATGGAACACTGCAGCAGAAGTTTACAGTAACTCTCTCTTTCTTTCCCCAGGCTTGAGGGCGAGCCTCCGCGGAAGCTGCCCGTTGTGTTGGAGGCTTGCACGGTTTTACGTGCGACTACGGTTCAGGCTCTCCACGGGCTGAGCAAGTTTGTTAGATTGAGACACGCCCCTGAAGCAGCACACAACCAACCGGTATATACCCGTTGGAGAAGTTCACCGAGTTACTCTCTCTCTCTCTCTCTCTCTCTCTCTCTCTTTCTTTCTTTCTGCAGGGCGTAGGGACTGACTCTCTCTCTCTCTCTCTCTCTCTATCTTTCTCGCGCTTGCTCATGATTGCTGTCGCTCAAACCGCCTCCTTCGTTCCAGCCAGGTTGGCATCCTCAAGCTTCGGGACGCCGAAAAGACGCTTTTGCAAGCCTGCGAAGGGCCCGAGGGAGCGGGAGAGCGAGGGAGGAAAAGAGAGACGGATAGAGCAGTGTTGAGAGTGCTCGGGTGAACATGCAACATGACATTGCTACCGTTCCCACCCAAAATCGTTCAACCCAGCCTAGATCGCTTCGGTTCAAGTGCTGGGCCAACTCGTTTTTCCCCATGGCCTTGGACCACTCCTGTCACAGGCACAACAGAACTTCCGCAACCTGCTGCATCAGTGACATGCCACTCATGAGTTTCTCCTGCTGCTAGGACATCAAGTTAGAGTCAAGTTGGCAGTCGACTATGACATTTGCCACGATGCTCAGCTTGGCTGAGCAAACTGCCACTGCTGACTTGTGCAGCAGGTACAATCTTCTAAGTGCTACGTGCCACCGTTAAACGCACGAAGCGATACGATTAAGCCACCTCCCTAATTGCGATGGTCGGAGAGTCTACTTCACTGACTTCGTCGTCAACGTCGGTCTCCTGGAACAGTCCTGCTTGCGATGCTCCGCCTATTGGCTCAGTAAACTGAGTTGCTTCTCTGAGCGCCTGCTTCCATCTGGTACACATGTCTGCTTGAAGTGGGCTTTTACAGTTGTGCTACTGGACAGAGAACGATGTGGGGGTACAATGATAATGGCTCCTCGCATGGCACTGTTGTCGCCTCCAGAGCTTGGCCCACCCCATACGATGACGCCACCGTCATCTGCACAAGAGGACGGAGATTCGATCAATCAGCATGTCTAAGCAGAAGCACCAACACCCCGTCCTCGCAATGCCGCGAAAGCACCGCTCGAAGCGTGGAGACTTTGGATGCCGTAAAGTTCAGCCTAGAGGAAAAATGCAAACACCAACTCCCTCGTCTGTGTTCGCGCAGGGGCAGCCGCACCAAGCCGCATGTCCACGTGGTCCCACGTGCAGTAACATCAGGAGATGGCAGCTTCTGACACACTTAATCCTTCCCCTTGCCTGAACGTCCTTGCTGTTCCCACCAAGCACTGCAAAGCCCCAACTGACCACTCCTGTCCACTCGGAAGATGCAAGTTATGAACGTGTAGGGTATCCTGGACCGATCTGTTGCCTCCATCTCTGCGCAATGCGGCGAAAGCCCGGCGGCTGGCCACGATGTCCACCACCTCGGACTGGGATTGGCTTAGAACGTGCCGGGCACAGAAGCTGAGAGCACTGCGATCCCCGGCCTCGGTCAATTGATCACTAACCGCACTGCAGTCGCCGCCGAACGCATGGTTGCCCCAGGTCAACACACGGCCTTGCAAACTGTGAGCACAAAAGCCTGCTGATACTCGCAGAGTCGCAGGGTTCCTCCCTTCTGCCTTCCATCGTCAGGGCCGCAAAAGCACCCGCCGATCCGCGCAGCAGAGAGACTTGAGAAGCTGCAAGCACCTAAACACACCGACGCCGGCATGGCAAAAGACTAACCTGCTCTCGTTGCATTGGGGCAGGGGCGGAGCTGTCACCGCCCTGAGTCGAATCGCCCCATGTGAAGACACGGCCATCGCCTCACTGCAACATACAGATCCACTTCTGGGGGTGGAAAACAAAACCAGCAAGGGAGACGAACGGAATGGCCACACACCAGTCGAGCTAGAACACGCCGCAGGGCAGCAAATGCTCGTCCACAAGCAGTGATGGAAACGATCGAATGCAGGTCGGGGTTTTGAATCGCGGAATCCTTGGATACTGGAGTTCTCAGAGCCCAGAGATTAAAATGCATGGGAATGTTGAGTTGGCTGTTGCAGTTGAGCATCGCCGCCGAAATTACTGTTGCCCCACGTAACGACCTGGCACGGGATTGAAGACAGACTATGCAACAACTACAAGCTGCCAGGTCAACAAAATTGTGCTGTCAGGCACAGAGACAGGTTGATTCACGATACTTCCGGCATTGCGTCGTACCATCCCTACTTGAAGAAGCTTGCAAGCAGTTCTGACTGTTCTGCAAAAGGTTTATCAATTGCTGGAAGTTTTGCCACCTTGCCGCTCGGATCCTCATGCACGTGCAACCAGCGTCTCCAGCAACATGACATGTGGCTTGACTTGCCAGTAAGCCAGCTGTACGCTGCAGCTGCAGTGCCGTCACATGCCTTCCTGCAGGTTCGTGGTACTAAACCACCGCTAGAATCCAGAGGACTGCGCCACCGTCACCACACAGCTAAGCGAAACCCTCCAAACCCCGTGGTCTCGACCCATACAGTCTTTCCAAAAAGGCCACGGCTGCTTGCAGTCTGGCCATGGGTCAGCTCATGACCACAAGACAATGGAATCATAAAGAGGTTGCGTGTCCATGCGAGAAATGGAGGGAGCAAGACAACCTTCGGTCATTGCCACGAACATTGAAATTACAAGCTGGCACGACAGACACCGACAGAAGCTGAAACATGGTCCAGCATCGCACAAGCAAGACGTTGTTGTGGGCTACCGCAATTTTGCGGGATGGACCTGGATGTATGTTACGTCGTCACAAATTGTGTGCAGTTGCCAGGGATGGGAACATAGGCATGCTAGTCTCTGGAAATTGTGGAAATCTGAAAAATGCCACAAGCGCGAAGAACGTCTTCATGCGAAGGAGGGCCAAGACACATCGAATCCTCGTATTTTCAGCCTAAGACGCTTCACTACTCATGCTCCAGAAGTATGTAGGCAAGGCGGGTGGTTTTCCGAAACGAGTCCTACTCACCGGCCTCACCATCCTGCTTTACCGCAGCGAAAGCCCCATCGGAGGCAGCCAAAGAAGTGATGTCCACCAGACGATCAGCCACAGCACCTCGCTAAGCTTCTGTCCCGATTATCGGTTGAACCCCTTTCTTTGCCAAAGCTTGCAACGAGACACTGCAGCTGCCACCGTAGCCGGCGTTCCCCCAAGCAAAAGCTCGTCCATCAGCCGCAAGCGCAGCGAAAGCATCCTGCAGCTCTATGTTCACGTATACAGCTGCTTCCACACTAGCCTGTGCCATCCTGTGCCCTGTGCAGGAAGGCTCTGTCAAAAAAGCACCTCGCCTGCAGCTACTTATTTTGGACCAAAGCTCTCTTCGGAGTTTAAGCTCACTTCAACACTACGTGCGATAACGTCGATGATCGTCCACGTCCCCGACATGGTTATCCGATTTTCGACCACGATGCAAAGCGGACAGCACATTCCCGAGTGCGGCAATCATGCGAACGGACAAAACCCTAGTTCGCGCGGAAGTGCTTCGATGAACATGATCTCTTGATCTAAATCCGGCACGTCTTGAGTCTTGAGCAGCTACATTTCAACTGTAGACGCTGCTTCTTGCTTGATCGACCGACGGCTCTCCTCTTCACCACAGCACTCTGCCGCATCGGAAGATGCACCATCCGCCAGTCCGCCAAATTCCGCGAATCAGTCTATGTTATTTTGAACTCTCTCCCTAATCAGCCCTTCCACTTGGCCAGCCCTCCCATGCGAGCCGTCGAGGCGACGAGCTGCTTGACCTCCACTTTGATGCGCATGGCCACGACAGCATCGCTGCTTCCCCAGGTGACCTCATGCTGGGATGCTATGAGTGCACAACCTGTGCAGGGCTTCACTGCATTCACGCGGCGACATCACCTGCAGCAGTGACTGCAGAGAAGCCAATGGCAGATGCCTTCACAGCCTGAACGTTCACCAACCGATCTTGCCTCGAGTTCAGGCACAGGTGCTGCGCTGCTGGAAAAGGCACGTTCCGGATGAACCCCAAAGCTTGTGCATCACCGCAACACAGTGCTGCTGTCACCACCGAAGGCCGCCCCGCCCCAGGTGACAACTTGCCCTGAGGAGGAACTTATCAGCGCACGAACAAGTTTGCTCTGCAGCTCTCGGAAACGTCCGAGGCTCATGCCGTCTTTGCGCAAAGCCGCAAAGGCGCCTGCAGAAGCTTCCAAGGCGATGATAGGAACCTCCTCCAGCATAAGAGACTTCCGATCGAAGACATCAACGCTTTCTCGAGAATGCCATGAGACCTCTTTTCTGACTCGCGCAAACTCCGTGGCCTGCAGCTGTTCTCGCACCGCTCTGTTGTCTCCACCCCGCGCGGGGTCTCCCCACGCAACCACGCGGCCTCTGAACAGCTTTGAGCTCGTATGCCCAATACAATCTGAATTTGCTTCCCTGAACCGGCCGGCCTTCCGGCATCACAGCCGCAAAGGCATAGGCAAAGGGCCCTGAGAAGATTTGAGGACATGGTGGCCTGCGACATCCAGATGCTGATCTCCGCTGCTCGTGTTGCTAATGATTCTTCACCTTTCCTGCAGAACTGTAACTAACCCGTCTGATGCCTCACGAGCGCGCTGACTACATCTCCATGTTTGAGGCCAAGCTCGCTAACCCGCTCCGAGTCCTTCAGCGGCTCGCCTCCACCAGTTTCAAGGAGGCCCTATGACTACGATGGTCCAATGATGTCCCATGTGTCTGCAGGAACCACGCTGCCTCTCTCTCTGTCTCTGTGCCTCCCCTCACTTCTCCTGTCAGGCCTGAGGAAGAAACAAGCACGGAAAGACTTCTGTGCAGCCGGTCCTCGCAACCAAATCTCTGACTTCGATAAATATCGTGCAGTGCATTGTCCCTTCCTCTGCAAGCTCGCGCACGTCGCCCACGGAGACTCGCGTGGGGCTGACCTGCCGAAACGATTCTGAACCTGGCCCTCCACTATAGCTCAGCACGCCTCCAGTGCCACTGTCTCCCCGCTGAGGAGACCGACAGACAATGTTGCCGGCATGAGTCCATCATGACCGGCCGGGACGAACGGTGATGTGCGGCGCTAGGCACTGAATACGTGACCATATCCCAGAGATTTACCCCAAACGACGATAAGCACTACTACAATTACAATCAACGCAGCGCACTGTAGCACGTAGCACTTCGCGATATTTGTCTCTTTTGGAGCCAGAGACATGTCTGCAAGGGCACAGAGCAGATTGCAAAAGCGCGAGACGGCCGCTCGCTCAGCACTAGGGGCGCTCCTGGAGCGCTTCGATGATGCCGGAGCTCACCACGTCCTCCAAGAGCTCCTCCCCATGCGCCCAAAGCGCCACGGCGGGCCATGGTGCGCTCTTCTCAGCTTCTGCTTTGGGCGCTTTGCCTCTGGCAAGCGGCAGGCGGACCCAAACCTGAAGGCAGAAAACTCATCGCAGGTCGGATCCGCACCATCAGCAACGGGCCTCTCTCGCTTGCTCGTCAGCGTCTCCTCTCAATGCTGTCGGTTGACAACCGAACCACATGTATGTGCTTTTGCGTCATTATGCGTTCCCTGCATGCACTGTGTGCCCCGTGCGCCCTGTGCCTGTCCTTGGTCTGAGAGTCGAAGGCTGGGTTTTCGATCTGGCAATGCACTTTAAGACTTCCGGTTCGCCCTGCCCCGTTTCCGGTGGGATTGCAATGATCAATGATGCGGCTTCAGCTCGAAGCGCAATTTCAGTCTTTCCAGGTCTGAACATGCCCGAAGCCCTCGGAAATCTATCTGTGGCACACAGGTTCGCCCGGCCTAAGGGACAAGATTGCTAATCTGAAACCGCTACGCAGTCAGGCCGGTTCCACCAAGCAGTTGACGAAGATCCACAAGTAGCTTTTGACATGCTGGCTCTTCACCGCCAAAGTACCTGTCAAATTCGCACGGTTCGGCTCGAGAATGGCTCTGTGCTTCACTTCGCTTCGCTTCTTCCCTGCCTCCACCTTTCTGTTTCCCGATCTTATCCAGGATTGCGCTCACAACCTCCCGAAGCAAAGATCCAATCCTACTCCGAGATTACGGCTTCTTCCAATCACGGTACAACTCACAACATCCCACGACAGTTTTTTCAGGCATCCCTTTGTCGTTCAGGCTGACCTGGTCAGCAATGTAGGTCACATGAGTGCCACCACGAGAGGTGTTGATGGAATTCACGAAGCTCACCTCATTAAGGCAAAGCAGGATGGGACGGCAGTAGCTGAGCATGACGGCGCTGCGCACTGCTTTCTGTGTCCAAGCCTGCTGAAAGCCAGAGCCATCTGTCAGGCCAATCGCAATTTCCCAGCGATCATTCACCACCTGTGTTCTGTCGGACTCATGAGACACTGTACGAATCCCAGAAAATCGGGTGGTTGCACATACACACCTTGCACGTGCGAAACATCTCGGGCTTCACATGAAGATCCACGTAGTCCTGTCAAGACTCTCCGATGTTCGAAGTGTGGACGAGTCATTGCTTGCAGCAGGAATGCAGCAATCAATATCAATCCGCCGTTTCAATCCGCCGCCTGAAAGCTGGAGACGCCCAGGCACTGTCCGTCCAGGAAGACTTGACACCGTCCCTGCGTGGAAGCAGCCAGGTCGAAAGCCTCGCTTTTCAGGCACACGGATACACCTCGCAGTCGCTATGTGTAGCAAAGGGCCACTCTGAGATTCCGGCACGACGTCTCATCAGTGCAACAATGTCCTGCCGGATGGACTCTTGCACCATAGAAAACAAGTGCAGATGGATATTGCTGCATGGGAGACACGGTGCTTGATGGCACGATTGAACGCTGCTTCTCCTCCTCGAGATTGCGCATTCCAAAGCGGGCGAAGTCAGGAAAGAAGGTGACCTGCCGCACTGCCCCTGCTCTCGTGGGACAGAGCAGCATGTCGCCATCAGTCGCGTCCTAGCTTCCATACATTAAAACACTCACTCACTCACCCACTCACTCCAAAACAATCCGAAGAAGGGAGCGCAGAGGCTAGACAGACGTGGAACCAGTGAAGAGCTGGACCGGCTAATAAGCAGAGACGTACGACATTTCTTGATACGCGGTGCATTTACTCTCCAGGACATCTGCTTCGTGCAACACAGTTTCGGATGTTGTGTTCACATTAGTTAAATGTTTCTTTTTGGACGTGACCATATCGCGAGCTGCTGGATTCGCACAAAGTTTCGCAAGGCAACATTCCCCGCTTCCAGTCGGACATTAACTTCCAAGTTACTGTCTTCGTGCATCACCATGTCATGAGTTCGGGATCTGTTTATGTCAGAAGTGGGTACTTTGAGAATTCGGCTGATTATTCATTTCAAAGGCATCAACTGTTTTCAAGTCGTGTTGAAGGGAGGCCTGCATAAATTCAAGTCCGCGTGATGTCGGCGTTCACATTTGCATTGAAACTGCTATTCGGGACTGATGTTTGCTTTATCCAGCAGGTTTTCAATTACCTTGCTGGCTTCGTGGCCGTCGCCATCCGATTGTGTATTCCTGCCTCATCGTCAACGAAGTTCGTCTGATCTACACATTTTGGTAATGTACGGTGGATGTTTTGTTTTGGTTGCTGGTTCCTCCTCGGCTACCGCAGATGCTCATGTCATCTGCGACAAATTCCTGGAAATGGCTGCTTCTGTTGGAGAATGCTGAAGCTCCGATGAATTTCTGTAAAAATGTTTGACACTACCTTTACAATGTGAAATGCCACAGCGCCGTGTAAACACTTCGGATTCACCTTTTTGTGCACTGATCATGTCATTGCTGGTCGTAACTGGCTTTGACTTTTGTGCTGTGGAGCTCAGATTCACTGTACCCTTCCAGTGTGCGTGAGTGGTCGACCTTATCAAATGCTTGCCCCGGAATCTAGCAGGATGATTACCGTATTGTCACCACAACGTTTCGCAATGCGTTGCGATCTAGCAAAAACAAACATTGAGGGACCGGTCTGCGCTATTACTTGCTTAAAACATGCTGCCTGTCCGTTGTCCATTTATCTGGTTCCCGCACCCGCACATTCGGGGCTCAGTGACCAACCTGCAGAGACGGCGTTGGGTTTGTGATTTTACAGCTTACTGCAACCGACGATTTGCTACATTGATTTGAGAAACAAACGGCCACGAAAGCAAAGGCACAAGAACGAAACAAGAGTCGACAGAGCTGGGGCAGCGTGGATGCAAGCAACTTTGTAGTGAGGTGAAGCTTACGGCTTGCGCCTGCAAGATGATGGCAATATTCTGCTTTGCACTGGCCCACACTAAGATACACCCTTGTCGTATCGCAATGCCTTGACCGACCTCATTGCGAGTCGGAGCGTCGCTGCGTAAAGCAATCATCCGGCCATCTACGAGCAATTTCGATCTGCCTTTGTGGCAGCTTAGCGAATTACTGAGACTCAGACCAGGGGCCACGTAAGCACAAAACGCAAGTTGCCATGTTGTTTAAACATTGCTTAAGCAGATGAGCCATAATGGACCTTGTAGTGGGGGGGCCGCCCGACCTTCTGCAATGTTGCCGGGACCTTGTGGTGAGAGGGCCCCTCTAAGTCAATCATTTGAGCGGTGGCGCGGCGGGACCCCCTCCTTGAGACGTAACCACACAGATTGAAACCTCGCAAAGCGTACAATAACACCGGAATGTATTCTTACTACTGGCTCACAGCTGTAGATCCCACTTGGCTAGAACCTTGAGCAGCAAGGATGGATACATGCAAGTGTACGTGAAACAAACAGGCACCTGGATGTGTAACATTCCGTGTTTCAACCAGGCACAAATTTAAACAACCGCAGGACTGCATGGCCGTGTTATCAGCATTCTACTTTGCTTGCTATTCACTTGCAACTACGGAGTCCTGAACTATTGGCTTCGACACTGTGAGAATAAGTCTCAACCCGGAGACAGCCTTATAAGCGAGCAGAAAAACGCACACGAAACGCAAACGGATCTTCAGCATTAAGCTCTGTTGAAACATGCCCACACATGAACAACTACCTCTCCAAAGGAAAGCATACCGAACAACGGTGTGAAGCTCAGCTTCACATGATCACTGGTAATTGATATTCGGAAAGATGACAGTTGTCGGATTGTGACGTATTGTATCGAACCTTCCAGGATAGTGAGCAGGAGCTCGCGGAGCATCTTCCGGATTACGAGCTCGGAATCAGAATCTAGTCACGTCTTTCCTTTGGCTTGCCGCGACTTGCCCTCCCCAGAGTTGCCCAACCCAGATGTGCCTTTGTAAGAGCCTTTCTCCGGTGCCTTTCCACGGGGAGGTTGGGCAGGTTCGACGCTGAGATCCTGCGGCGGCTGTCGGCGGCGACGACGGATCGGCGGCATAACGTTGTCGATTTGCCTTCTGCCTGAGCTTCCTGTGAACTGCTGCCTCCTTGACCGTGTCAGGATTCCTGTCGAGAGTACTGAGTTGCGTTCACTTCGATGAAGAGGGGAGTACGCGAATCATAGTCTCTGTCAGGCAAGAGGCACGCCGCAACCATTCACTGATTGAGATCTTGTACTCGCACTGCGCTGCAGACAAGTCGCCCATTGCTCGTCATCCATCGAGTGCCCACGTTCCAAAAGTGGTGGGATCCATGCCCGGAAACGTGTTCCAGTCTGGGGCTGCACACCGCTTGTATGGTCTGCCGAACTACCTGCTTCTTCGACCTGTCGCTCTGCAGAGAGCCATGTTCGCATCGCCCGCTAAAATGTCAAATTGGGAAAAACAAGCAATCTGACACCACAGTAGGGAGCGCCTCAATCGCGAATCGCAAGCCGCACCTTCTTCCCTCCGACCTCATTGTTCATATGAGACATGCGCACGCGCATCATGTCAGGAAATCTCCTCTGTTACCCTGGCTTCCAATCGGGACGGTCTTCTCATGTACTATCTCGACGATCATGTACGTCAACGGAAGTTGGGCGCGCACTTCCTGGTCTCGCATACTGGAGTCGACATTGTTGGCACGGCGGCCGATGACGATCTCAAGGGTGGCCGCTCTGACATCGGAGGCTTTTCCAGAAGCCAAGAGTGCCACGAAGCTCACCTGCACGAAAAGCAACTGCATCAGACTTGGGAGCGCGATCGTAAATGGGATCCATCTTGCACATCTGCTGTATCAACGCTTTCTCTGAGACTCTGAAAAAGTGTATACTTTGCAAGCGGATGCGGGGCAGGTGTGACACGCTATGCCACGCGCTGCACTTTGAAAGCTTCGACCGGATTCCTACGGATACCGTAGCGGTAAAGCCCTGTTTGCCCATAGGTGTTTTTCTGCTGGGCTAAACTGCGCAGCGGAGATGACTGTTCGAGGACATCCCAAACTCCAAGAAGTCATTGAAGGCCTGGGTGTCCTCAAACTTGAGCTTCTCCTGAGCCATCGAGGCGCTTTTCATTAGTGTCCTCTGTCCGTGCGGCCGCTATGAAGCACTGTTCCCGTCTCTAGTGCACAACATGCCTGCATTCATCAATTTCGCATCTCACATATGTAGAAAATGCGCAAATATTTCTCAGGAGACAGCCTTCTGTGCCACAGTAGCGCCTTCATAATGCCTCGGTTGCATCCCCAGCTGGCGCCTGCTGTTGGGGGCCGCCTCGAAGTCTTCCTCTCCATACGCGCTTCGGTCTGGCTCCACGCACCCGATGGCGAAATTTAACCCCCTTACCCTGGCACTACTGAAAGGCTTGGTGGCAAGGTTCGCAGGAATTTCAGCACCGCCCACGCTGCCAATCGACAGGACTTTGTCGCGAAGGGCTTGCTGCACCCAAAGCACAGCGCACTCAAGATGTCTCACCCTGCCGGCGCCAAATCGCTGGCAGATTCCCCAGCAAGCTGCTGCATGTGATCTGGACCTCCGCTGAGACACCGACCAAGTTTATGAGAACGTCGGCGACATAAGCTTCACAAGCTCCAGCCACCAAAACCAAGTATTCTGACTCGGCCGAACTAAGCGCAAACGACCTCTGGGATTGACAATGCTCCCAACAGTAACAAAACCGCCTCTGATGCACATTTGGATTGATGTTCGGCTCCTTCTGCCTTTGCGGCAATCTGCCCAATCAGCACCTGTCACACTCTCCACCTCCTGAACAATGGCTCGGACACCAGTCCATTGAAGCCTGGACTTGAACACCACAGGCTTGATCAGACTTGATCAGGAACCCGATGTCAGGGACTGCCGCCAGGCATCCAACGACCGGTAGGCAGATCAAACCGCAGCCAGCGACGAAGGGCAGAAAAGAGATGGACAAGTGAAACTTAAAGAGCCTCTGGAGTCTCGAGCCTATCTATCCTCTAGAACCCTGGAACCCCTACGAGGCTCCGCTACCATGCAAATCGCTTCACGGATCCACTCAGGGCTGCAATGCATAGCACATGTTGTGTACAAAGGGCAGGATCTACTTGCTGCACGTTTCTGAAGGCGAGCGCACGGTGCAAGCGCTTCGGACTTCTGTGCAATCCAAGGACTCTTAACATTGCCACTTGCGGGATGCTGGAACCAGTTGAAATTCTGTGGGCCAAGCCGTTTTGTATATGTACCTAGCTTGATGTCATGACATTTTGGGCATGCCTTTGCATGCCTTCCTCCCCTCCCTGCTCTGACAGAGATGTTGATGACCATTTCTTCAACAAAAACACTCTTTGATCTGAAACCTTCTCTCCAAAAAACAAAACTTCTGCTGGACATGGAATTGCTGCTGCGGCGAGGACGTGCTCATAGTGCAGACGGCAGCACCCAACACATGTCCCCGCCTGAGTGTAGTCCTCAGACTTATTCTGAACAATGCTTGGTTTGTGGCAAACGGTCATGTTGTTCTCCCAGACCTCAGTCCCATGTGTGCGGATGACCCTAAGCGGATGACAGATGTCAGCAACCACGAACGATGCTGAACCATTTTCAGCTTTCGACTTGCTTGTACTTCTTGCCACTCCTGTCCAACTTGAGGCGGTGGAACAGCAATCGAGAATACAATCTCGCTGACATCCTCGAGTCTGCTGTCTCCAGAATGAACTTTGTCGAAAAAATGTTGGTCAACTTGGCGCCATAGCCTGCAGCTGAACACAGGCTTCTGCAGATCTCATCGTCATTCGCTTGGCTACTTACAAATGAACAGAGAGGCAACTGGTTTAAGGCCAATGTGCCGCAAACCTCGACACAACGAAGAGTGTCAGATCCCTGCACGCAACAACCCGCGCACACCTGTATATCCACGCATCCCAAAATGCCCCAAACCCATGCATAACCTGCTCCCCTACACCCAGTACAAATACGCATGACACAGCGAGGTGAGGCATCTACAAGTCAACCTCATGCCCACCCTTGAGGGCTGTGAGGGAAGGCAAGCATGCTGTAATTGTGCGGGAGCGTGGCAGCAGCAGCAGCAGCAACAGGGTTCTTGAACCAAACTGGCCCAGTTTGCCAACCAAACCGGAGACCGGGCGACGAGCCCGGTGCATGTATTCTGGGTCGTATGTTATGTCTCGATATGCTTTCACAGATATCCAACATTGACTTGTCCTCTCATCATTATGATCTTGGGCGCTGCACCGTTACGTCCGCCGACAACCTTTTTCTCACTGTCGTCATAGTTGTCGCTTGTGAGCAGATGACCTCATCCGACCACTTGCCACAAACCTGAACCATGCAGGAAGATCAACCCAAAGGCCCAGGCCGAAAACTAGTTCAGGGACGTAGCACTTGTGCTCCCGGTGCATCTGGCATGAAGGAGCAATGGACGTGCTGCATCCTCTGCATCCCATCAACAAAACCAAAGCTGATCAGCCTGAATCGGCAAGCCAGCACCATTGTTCCAAACGCTCAGAGAGCCCTCCTTGCGCTTGACCTTGGCGAGGGGGTCACGGCAAACGAACGGCCGCAAAATTATCAATCGAATGCCTCGACCCGGATGATGTTCTGGGTCGGATCTCGGATGAGGTTGTCTGCAGCATTTACCTGCTAAGTGTCAGCCGGCTAACAATGTGCTCCCGCGACTTGCAACAATCAATACCTACAATCAGGTATGACAAAGTCCGTCAGGCACCAAGATCTCGTCGAAAATCTTGTACAATGCAGGAACATACCTGGAACAAAGAGTTGGGCTGAAGCAGGAGCGGGCATGCCGCGGAGCTAGGTCCCGCAAGTATTCTGAGAAAGCTACAATCAGGGCTGAGGGTTTCGTGCCATCGCCAATCCCGCTCTGAGACTGGTGCTCAAGGCTTCTCTTTGACATCCTTTGGCTGGCATCCTTAACGTCGCTGCGACAGAACGCAAGTTGATTTTCAGGGTGAAGGCAAATTCACTGAGCATCTGCAGCAGATTTGACTTGAGTAAAAGACTCTTAATTTGACTCGGCTTCCTGGGTACCTTCAATAAAGCCCGAAAACTCTGTGCTTACTTTCATCCACCACGGATGCAGTGCCAGACCCTGATTTACTAGGCCAGGAATTGCTTGGCACCTGGCATCAAGCACCCAGTGCTCTTGTGTTTGTCGCTCGATGGATCCGACCTTGTTGTAAGGTGTTAAGCTCGCAGCCAACACATTGTATGGGAAAGGACTTTGAGGCTATCACATATGAGTCCGGCCTGAGCAGGATGTGCCTTGCGAAGTGAAGGCGGCAGACCGTTTGTAGCGAGCAACCTTCCTGCCAAATTCTGGAAAAAACTGGGTGAGCCGCTCCAGCTGGCTCTTTTTTTGGTAGATCTCTTCCACCGTCTTCCTTTAGAGAAGAAACAGTTTCTATTTTCAGACTGCGGCGCATCGGTGCACCAGCAAAGGAGAATGCCCATAGTTAGGCTTCGGCTGGGACTCAGATTCGCGATTGGTAAAGACTCCGCTTGAAAACAAAGTTGATGTGATGTCTTCTCGGGCTTGTGGTGATGGGGTTTGAGGTTTGTCGGCTCAGGGCTTCGGATTTGGCTTTGGGGCTTGGGGTTTAGAGCCAACTGTGCCGTCTTCTCAATGTTGGAGACTTGAGGTACGTGTGACAGACGTGGGTTTCGACACGCGAGCGGATTGGCTGCCCAACATCCGTGGACCTGGAGCTTCCGGTCGAGGACAAATGTAACAGCCGAGGAATAACTTGGATGCCCCACTCCCAAAAGTGCTCTGTGAGCCTGGGCCAAGGCTCAGGCTTAACCCCATCTTGCTGATCCCAACGTCAAAGTTTGCATTGTTCCACCCCTTGATGAATCTCGGGACTTCCTCCCCCCTTCCCCCCCCTCCCCCCGTGAGATGTAACCTGGGCGTGTATCCCCTCGCTAGGCGTACAGGAACACAGGCACACAGAAGTCTCTTTTTCCTACAGGCGCACAACTGTAGTCCACTGCACTAGAACCTTGAGCAACAGGCATGGATACATGCAAGTGATACGTGAAACAGACAGGCACCTGGATGTGTAACATTCAGTGTTTCACCCCCTCCCCCCTTCCCCCCTCCCCCCTCCCCCCTCTCCCCTCCCACTGCCACTGCCACTGCTCACTACTATTATTACTACTACTACTACTACTACTACTACTACTACTACTACTACTACTACTAGTACTAGTACTAGTACTAGTACTAGTACTACTACTACTACTACTACTACTACTACTACTACCACTACTACTCCTCCTCCTGCGGCTGCTACTACTACTACTACTACTACTACTACTACTACTACTACTCCTGCTGCTGCTGCTGCTACTACGACTACGATTACGACTACTACTCCTACTCCTGCTACTTCTCCTGCTACTACTCCTGCTGTTCCCACTACGACTACGAGTAGGACGACGACTACGAGTCTTGCTACTCTTCTACTACTACTATTACTGCTTCACACGGTCTGGTGAGCATCTTTGCCTAATCTGCATCGGATCAACTTCGTGAGACTTGCCCATCGCGGTGCTTTGTCTCGGCTTAGCTTCGTCCACTACGACACCTGCCGACGACAACAACTACCACTGCTACTAATAGCAGCACTACTACTACTACTACGACTACTACTGATCTCGTCAAACTTGCCGACTACTGCTAGTACTACCTTCGTCCACTTCGACACTACTACTACTACTACTACTACTACTACTACTACTACTACTACTACTACTACTACTACTACTACTACTACTACTACGACTACCACTACTACTACTACTACTACTACTTCTTCTTCCCTCGCAGCAAGAGTTTGGCGGTGCAATCGCAACATGCTCTAACAAAAGAGGGATGAGCAGCAAGCACATCCGTTCCCCGTTCCCCGTCTCACCCATGCCCCAAAACGATGCTGGGCATGTCAGCTTCAGCTGGAAGCGAGGCGTGGGCAACCAGACGACGATTGTCATCCGACGACCAGCAATGGCCCCTGTGCATTTCCGTGGCTGGATCCATGAGGGCAGCGGTGTAATGACCCGTGGCAGTATGGGGGCCATGATGCATGATGACTGCCACGACATAGTACTTAGCTCTGAAACTGGTGAGATGTCTCCCCCAGATCGGCACAAATACTGAATCGGGAACAGTGATGACCTGGCTGTTCTTGACAGCCACCCCATGGTCAAAATCATACCTGGCCAGCTGTACAAAGCAAAGTGGTGAGGCCTGGCAGAGTGCATGTGGCAGGACCTGATTGTGCCAGCCATCAATGCAGTCCTGCAACGTCCGATGCTGGGCTTGCATGTGTAGGATTACGGGGGAGTGCAAACTTCCCGAGTCCTCACGTTGTGTCGTGGCTCCAGCCAGAGTGCGAGACTCCCATGCACCTTGAAGCACAGGCGGCTGCATTTTCTCCAGCACATGGGTCATGAAGGCTGAGACATCGTGCTGCATGGATGGCCGCTCCCACCCACGCCACAAAGAGGCCCAGGAGTGCAGCCTGAAAAGGGCCACACTAGTCCGGTGGTAGAGAACATCTCTCCACGCCTGCACTTTAGTGCCAAAGAGTTGTGCTTCAGGCACCTGCAAGAGCTGATGGCACCACAGCAATGCGAAGGCAAACGAGTTTGCATAGCAGTGTTGGGAGCGGTTGATCAAACAGAGCCTGTGTAGTCCTGCAGCAATTTCTGCATGTCGTTCGCGAGCGAGCTCCGCTTGAGATTGTCCCGCTTGAGCTGCACTCCACATAGTTGGAGAGCCGTCAAGTTCGACAAGAACTCCAGCGATGCCCAAACCTTCTCGACTCCTGTGGCCCTCAGCCCCACCTCCAACAGAAAGGTCGTGATATGCTCCGGATTTGCCGGCAGGCCGTTCGTAGCATTGAACCTGTGAATCACATCCCTCACCGTTACCGCCGTCACCAGCATGGTCACCTGATTGATGACTTCCTGGTGTGTCACGGCAGCTCGGGTGTCGTCGGTTTTGAGGGCTTGGGCATCTGGGTCCCATCGTTGATACACCCATTTGCCTTCGGCATTCAGCCAGCCCTTGGCTTGTGCCTGGGCCTGCTGCTCCTGCTGCGCGGACATGGTCTGCAGACAGGTGAGTAGCGTCTGGAACAAAGTGCTCAGCAGGACCGCGCGAAGGGGGGCTTCCATGAACTTGGTCTTCGAGGCCTCGCGATAGGTGGAGGCAGTCTTGAACAGGATCGGCATTGCCCCACACTCCCCGGCTTCAGATAGAGAGCCCAGGCCGAGTTCTGCTTCAGCACTTGTAGCTGAGTCTCTTGGCGGATAACCAGCCTGCCCATGCCCTTGATTAAAGCCACCTCCTTGTCTTGACGGGCCGGTTGTGGAGGGCCCCGGTGTCTCGGACCGAACCCCCCGCTGGCAAAGGGCGCTCGCAGGCGCTTGTCTCGTTCTCGGACAGACCGTCCTCCATGAGGAGGTTGGCGAGCCTGCTGGCACCCTCCGCTGCTGCCGATCCGAAGATCTCGTGGATCTGTTGATCCGCCATGATGCGATGTGGCCCGGAGGTTGATGCAGAATTGCCACAGTACAGTGCACTGTGTGTTGTGTGCCCTCGGCTGTGCAAGGGTTGCTTGGCAGAAAAGACACGGAGAGCTACATCTAGGATACGATTGGCACATTTTGTGAGCTGCATCATGATGGCCCTGGAAGAGTTCAGCATGTGTTCGTCGAAAGTGCAGTTTCATGGCCTTATGCGAGGCTACCCACTGACCACAGACCATACAGTGTTGAAGGTAAGTCGCACTGTTCATGGAGTGAAAGATAGCGCGTGACCCGTACTGCTTAACGAGGTCCAACCAGGGTGGTTCGTGGAAGAGTGCAGGCCTCTGCGATGCTGGCACAATCGGCTGGGCAGGCGCGGCAGGCAACAGAGTATGCTTCGCCGCACAGTAATTGCCTTCCACATGTCTCTGCAAGAGCTGCCAAGTGGGAAACTGTTTTCCACATGCTGCACATTGAGGCATCCCTCCAACATCAACTGCCGGGTCGAAGGAAGGCTGTGCAAGGTTAGCCAGTATTTCCGGGTGTTGTTTAGCTATACGGGTCAGTAAGGCAGAGCGTAAAGTGTAGGTGACGCCACATACCGGACAGGTACATTTTGACATGGTCAAATCAGGCACCTGGAGCACAGCCGTCTCAGAGGGCGGCTGGAGGCTTTGTGCGACCTGCTGCCACCATGGGTCATCATCAGGGCCACAAATCAGGGGATCGCTCGGCTGCGGTGCAGCTGGTGCGCGCCTTGCCTCAGCCTGCTGGGCGATTTCCAAGTTGGTTGTGAAAGTGAGGTGGGCCGGGCTCCTGAGGATGGCTCGAAGCTGCTTAATCACTGCAGTCTCCAAGGTTTTGTGACCTGATGGCGTGAGGCCACAGGCTGGCAAGGCATAGGAGACGCTACTCCAAACGCAGCGCTGAGCCGCTGTCAAATCATGTCGTCCCTTGAGCACTGAACCCAGTCGATGATATGTGGCAGTGCCCTTCTCCAGTCGATACAGAAGGGTCTGATTCTCAAAAGCTTGGTAGCTGACCTGCGCACCAACATAGGTGAACTGAGAGACCAATGGGATAGCCAGGGCCCGATTGCGAAGCTGAATGTGAAGGACCTTGCCCCCCGGGATTTTGCGAACATACCGGCGGGTGATGGTGTTGCTTAGGGTGCCGCGGAGGACCAGGACAGCTTTGGACTTGGAGTCACTGACCTCCATGCCGAATGCTTCAAGGGTGCAAAATAGCGCAGCAATGCAATCAAGAAGGGCCTCAAATTCTGGGAGGCTGCCAAAACGGTCGGCCGCAAAGTGATCATCTGCAAAGACTGTCAGAAGTTGGCACACCTTATCATGGCCAATGCGAGCTGAAAGCTGAGAACATATAACATGCGAGATTACCAGCCAGAGTAGAGGCGAGGCTGAGCAGCCTTGCCTGATCCCGCGACTTGCTTCGAAGGATCGGTGCTGATCGGCATGATGCACAGTGTAACGAATCTGAGAGTGCCATTGCATGATGACAGCAATCAGGTTGTCAGGCAGCTGTAGGCTTTGCAGGCCTTGGAGAAGATGGTGGCGGGGCATTCGGTCGAACGCCTGCGACAAGTCCAACGTGACCATCAGTGCGCCGAATAGGGGGATCGGTTTATGTCCCGCCTTCCTGGCGTGAAGATCCCTGCGATGGCAGCCAAGCTCAGCCCTGACCGAGGCACAGTGCTTGAAGGCTCTGCGTAAGGCATCATACTGTGCCCGACCTTGTTGGTAGGCGTACTGCGGAAATTGTTGGATAGCAGCCAGCATCTGGGGAACCTTTGGGCCTACCAGACAGCTAAGAACCTTTTTTCCTAGAGGGCAGGAGAGTCCTATGGGTCTGTGATCTTCCGGCTTTGTGCCCGGTTTCCGTGGTTTGGGAACCAGGGCCAAATCAACATCTGCCCAACTATAGGAGGTACTGCGATCTCTGTGTGAGCCCAGGCTTGTGTAAGGCATGCACATAGCCATGGCGACACAAGATCCGCACAGCATCGCCAAACCGCACTCGGAGGATGCTCTTTCCCAGGTTGGGTCCAGGTCCGGGGCTGCCGTGGTGGACCACGGACCTCTAGTGGTTTCAATGACAGCAGCATTAGTTTTGCAGAATCGCTGCTGGAAGTGATTAGCTAAGAGGTCCACTTCTTGAGCTGCATCAAGCATCCGACCCTGGGCATCTCGTAGCTGCAGTCTATGTCTGGTCTGTTTGGGGGCGATTCTTTTCACAATTTGGAAGACACCTCGAGTGTCGTGCTTGTAGGCACAGTTGCGGGCATCGTCCATAGCAGTGAGGAGAACCTGTCGACGAGCAGCACGGCAGGCAATTTGATGTTGCTTGTGGTGAGCAATGAAGATACGCCAGGCCTTCCAGGCCGTGAACCACCCTCGCAGTCCATTCTTTCGTACTCTTTTGAAGGCCTTCCACTTGTCCCACATGCATTTTATTCCCGTCTGCACTTCTGCGGTTTGCCAAGGCTTGGTAGTAGTAGCTAAGGTCGGGGCGGCTGGGAAGACCTGTAGGCAGGCTTGGTACAGCACGGCATGTAGGCGTTCAATGCCTTCCAGGGTGGGGTTACTCTGCATATGGTGCAGGGCTACATCCCGGATGGATGCCAGTTGGAGGGCATGTGTGGGCTTAGTGGGATCATCGATGGCCGCCAAAAGAGCCTCACGGTCGATGGAGTGAGTGGCTCTGGCCGGCGTCCGGGTCCAATGCGGTCTGCGAAGGTTGAGACAGCAAATCAAGGGGAAATGATGAGCTCCACTCTGCCTGGAGGCTCCCACGTGGAAGCTGTGCATAGCATATGCTCGCTTGGCCTGTGATGTGGCATCGCGTCTGCGTACCCACAGGAAATCAATTTGGGATTCAACCTGCCCCCACTTGAAGGTTGAAGCAGTTCCGGAAGTCGGGTGCCTCCAGGTGTTCAAGGAGACCAGATCAAAGGTCTGGTAGAGACTGACTAGTTCCTGGATGTCCTCCGGGGGGTGTCCAGGCATAGGTAGCACGTGATGACCTACATGAGGCAGATTCGTGGCCACCGGGGTGTTAAAGTCACCAGCGAGCAGAATTGAGTCCCTGACTGGGACCTGTCCCAAGCTTTTATGCAGCGATTGCCAGACGTGCTGGCGTTGCTCAAAGCAGGTGGCAGCCTTCGGGTTGTGGACCTTTTGGTACACACCAAAGATGTGCAGGTGCCGAGCCTCTCGTCCCGGCAGAGGGAGTCGGACGTGCGTGATTCCTCCCTGCAAGGTGTGTTCATACCGGAGTTGGGACGGAGGCACGAGGGACTGTCTGATCAAGATTAAGACTCCGGCTTCTTCCTGGACCGACAACCTCCATGTATACATACCCTCCCGACGTAAATTCGTAGAGATCAGTCCAACGGCTCTCGACTACTATTGCGATGTCTATGGAGGACTGGGACAAATAAGTCATCAACTCTGGGTATAGGCCTGAGCCGAGTCCACCCGAGTTCCAAGATAGCACACGGAGTCCCCGGACACGTTCCTGTCGGAAGGATGGTCGGGTCTGGATGCCAGTTGGTGTCCCTCTGTGATGTAAGGGCATGCCCTGTGCCCAGAGCGTACGCCCGCGATAGCGGTATAGAGCCTTGTTGCATTGCACGGTTGCATGCCGGTCGGAAGGCACGCTTTACGCAGCGGCTGTAATCGCGCGAACTCAGACCCTGACTGGTAGGGAGGTCACTTGGCTTCGGCGCCGAAGCCAATGGAGGCATCAGTGAGAAAGCACCTCCAGCAGCTCTAGTGACAGGAGCTGCAACCCTCGCTTCTGATCCCACGGCGGTCACACATCGAAGTTGCAAGTAAAAGAGAAGAAGTCCGTGCAACCAGTAACCGTGGAATCCTCGGGACTTGGGACCCGAGCGGCTGATCAGAGGAGGCGAGGCAGATGCCGAAGCAGTGGCGAAAACACCTGCAAAGGTGTGACTTGAACGACGATCAACTGTAGCTAATTGGGAGGCGGCACAGGGTCGCGAGCCTTGCAGCTGACCAAAGGGTACCTGGAGGTAGGTCGGCATAGCTGCATGACTGCTATGGCAGAGCAGGCCCATGCTACAGCTTGGCACAGTGAAGTTGCACTTGCAATGGCATACGGCGGCGCTACTTTTTGATAGCGGCATGGAAGAGCCAGGCTCTTTGGCATTGGTGAGAGCCGGCTGCACTGGAAGACCCTTAGGAGGAGCCATAGGAGGAGCTTGCGGCTCACTGTTGTCGCGACGGTGCGGATTCCAGTCCACTGTGCTTCACCTGCTGGGCTACTGATAGAGCTACAGGTGGTAGCAGTAGCGGCCGTGGCAGGAATTAGGGTCTTAGGGCTGTATGGGTCCAGATAGGCCCACCTGGTGTGATGGTCAGGATCTGGAGCAGATGGCAGCGGAAGGTGCACCTGGTGGGAGTCTGGTCGGCCTGGTCGTGTCCACTCCAATAGAGGCCGAGGTCGATCCTGCACTGGGCTCCGTCCTCCTTGCCCTGATAAAGGCCATGTTGACTGGGCGCGTCTATTCGGTGGCATATTAGGCGGGAGCGTGACTGGTGGATGATCCCTCTCCGCCGCTGTCATCGGAGACGTGGGCACCGACTCTTGGTCGCTCTCGGCCCCTTCATCGGTAGCATTGGCCTCATCCAAAACGCTGTCATGCAAGGAATCGCGATCCATGGTGAGGGCTCCAGGACAGGCACAGCTAGCACAGGAGGGTTGCACCCCTATATGATCCGGCAACCATTCGGAAGGGAGGAGGAGACTGAGCCCTATGCAGAGTCCAGGCCTAAACCCTAAGACTAGGGGTCCAGGATAGCAGTGCGTGTGTTCCTGGGCTGTGTCAGTGCCACGGGCAGTCGAATGATCGCATGTGGCAGCTTCCCTCGACTGAACCAGCCGAGAACAACAGAGCAAGCACCATGCATGCATGCATGTACTGCAGGCTGATTCCATGACTTGAAGCAACTGAACTGCAGCGGCGCACGTGGTGCGCAGAGCAGCATCTGCCCTTGCCATCGGCGTCGCCAGTAGGCGGGGAAGAGTGCTGACCTGTCGCGAGGCTAGGCTTTTCCGTTTTCTCCGGCACCTCCTTTTATAGGCGGCCTTTGGCTTCAACCTCCATCGTCGTTGTGTGAGGCCTGGGCACTTCCGGAGACCTTGAGCCCAGCGGATGCTGGCTAGGGTGGTTTGGGCAGTAGGGCTTATGGAATGCATACTAGGGTTAGGGTTCCACTTGCAGGAAGAGGTACCTGAGGCCAGTCGAGCAGGCTGTTCGCAGCTAGTCCATGCAGGAGAGGGCTTCGGTGCAGCAGCAGAGTCTTCGCACCGTGCAGGGTGTCCATAATGATGGGCCAGTGCAGGATAGCAATAGCGACACCAGTGTTGGATCGGGGCCAGGTCCGGTGGGTACTTAGATACCCTGGCTGCCAGTAAGAGTTGTTCGGGTTCACATCCTGTCCAGCGAGCTTCAAAGGCATCAAAGTACCGGTGCTCTTGTCTGTACCCGCCTGCCGTTGCAAACATCGATAGCAAAAGCTCGTGTAGGAACTCTCGCCTGACTCTGGGGTCGGCTGCAAGCTCAGCCGCGCTGGCTCTGCATTTCGAACAAGCAGCTGGGGCAGATGGTATTCCCCAGTCATGTATCTTGTTACATCCATGTCGGTAGCCCACATAAAGCAAAGTATGATCATTTGCAGCAGGTGTTGCGTCCATGGCATGCCGGCTCCCCCCCCACGCCGGCAGAAAATTGTGATTGCGAGCCCGGAGCCAGCTAGGGAGCTTACGTTCAAGTCGAGGCGTCTGGTTTTTCGGCATTGCCCACTCGCTGTGAGCCGAGAAGCTTCTACTACTACTACTACTACTACTACTACTACTACTACTACTACTACTACTACTACTACTACTACTACTACTACTACTACTACTACTACTACTACTACTACTACTACTACTACTACTCTACGTCCTTTCCTCTCACTCCTGCGGGGTCGGCGGCTTGAGCCGGAGGCTCTTGATTCCAGCACATGCTGCATCACTTGGAATTCCAAATGCCAGGTTCAACATGATAAGGCACTGACACCTTCTGGTCACCAGCATGACCTGGAAGGAGCCGAAGCACTGCGACCGCTATCTAAAGGCACATGACTGCAGAGTCTGAAGGGTCCCTGCAGTGCTTGTTTCGCGGACAAACATTTCCAGGAAGGTTCTCTTTGTCCACCTTCAGATTTCGGGCGCACATCAAACTTCTGTTCCATAAGATGTGCGTGATTGCGGATCGCTACCTAAGTTTTCCTTCCTACAGCACGGCCACTGCCTCCGGAAGTCTTCTCCGCTTTGTAGCAGCCATCGGACGCACCCTGTAAGGACACGCAACAGGTGGAGGGTGGGCACATCAGAAGATATCAGAAGTAGACACAAATATACTTCGCTCTCGGCCAGAAGCTCTGTGAGCGAGGTGACGTCGAGCTGAGCATCAGGCCGATGCAGTGTCCGCAGAATCAAGGTCGGCGCGGCAGCAACTCCGTGATGAACAGCCAAAATGGCTGCAAGCAACACCTGCGTACGCTGCTGACTCCAAAGTCTGCGGAGGAAGGCCTAGCAGGGCAAGCGGAGAGGGCGTGAAAGTAATAGGCGGTTCGCAACTTGTTCGACAAGCCTCCAGGTTGTGCTGCTGAGCTGCTCGCTGGGTTCTCCGAGCTCCCAGCAATCCTTTGGATCGGAATCCGACGAGGTTAGCCGGTCACCGAAGTTCACCGACTCGAATCGCCGAAACAAACTTCGCCCATGAATTCGAGATTCGACGAGAGGAAATCCCCCGTCCACAACAGGGCTGTACAACTGCACTGTGAAGTGCGACATGAGATGCCCTGTGCAGCAGACATGTCTCATGCATACAGCTCCGGCGAGCTGAATAAAGAGCGCATGCTATACAAAGTGCCCTGGAAGCAAGTGCCAAGAAGCCCCCTGGCTAAAGACGGGGCAAACGTGAGGCTCCTGGCAACTATGACAACCGGCAACAGCTGGGATGCTGAAAAATTGAGTCAAAACCCAAAACTGCAGCCTTAAGAAGCTTAGGCCGCGAGAATTGGAGAGTTCTCTGGCAACACAGTTGTGGTCTTGTGCCGCCGCTGGTCTCTCCCCATCTTGTACTCATCCTCCTCCTCCAGCTCGAGAAAAGTACGCCGCACCAGCAGTTTTTGATGTGCGGTTTGCGATTTGCCGCGAAGGAGACGCTCTCTCCTCAATAGCAAAGTATGAGGGTACGGAGCTGGCTATGAGACGCTCGATTGCAATCCAAGCTTCAGCAACATCACGGAGGTGTCCGGACTGAACCGTGGTTCCACACCTTCATGCATGCTTGGAGCAGTGGACCCGCCATTGGCACGCCGGTAAGCCTTAAGTGAGCAAGGTCTTTGGCGCAAGGCACGCTGCCCGGACACCAGTTTACGCAACAAAACACCGAGGGCAGCTATCATTATGCTCTGTGCAATGATTCCTGACATGTTGCAATCCAAGTAGCAGTTTTCTGCAAGAGGAAGACTTCAACGAATCGTGTCCTCAAGGTTCGCGCAAAACATCGCCGTGCAACACCCCACTTCCCACTTCATTCTTCCGGAAACATGCGTTCCCGTGGACTTGTGCAAGAGCAGCACCGTCCGAGCCTCAACGAGATCCACTGCTCGCGGCGTACGGCACACTGATAGGGCATAAGAGTACGTCCATCCATGGAGTTGTAAGCGTCAATATTCTCCCCAACATTGGACAGCAGTACTTTGATGTACCTGTTTGGGTTTTCATGACGGATGCAAACGGCCTGAACATCTGCAGCACCAGTACAACAAGTACATCGCAACTCTGCAACTGTGCTGCTCCGACAGGTAGAACTTTGAGCTGCCAACCGACTCCGGGTTGAAACCTAGCAACGCAGCAGCAGGCAGTGACCCGCACTGCGAAGAATTCGCACAACAGCTTTCTCGTCACGTCACGGATCCAGCGATCCAGACCAAGGCGTTCTCCTGGAAACGATTCCAACATACGTCTCGGCAGTCGCACAGCAAAGGCCCCAGCTTCCTTTGCAGTCTACACTGATCACTGATGCGCCTGATGTCTCATCGGGTTCCCAAATTTGAAGCAGGGTTTCTTCCAGTCTACGCTGCCACGAACTAGACCCTGCAAAAGCTCCATCGGATCCCCTGCGATTTACGTAAATTCCCTCCCTATGCACCGATAGGAGCTGCTGTGTCTAGCGCAGCAGCCGAAAACGAGCGAAACGTGCGTGCAACTTGAGACTTACGAGTATCTGCTCGACTCAACTTATGCTCGCTGGCGTGTTCTCACAACTCCTGCAACGATTGTGGTCGTGGGCAGCTCGTCTGTAACCAATGGAACCAGAGGCAAGCCACGCTTGCAACTCTGTATCGTCAAAACCTGAAATCCAGCTGCTGTTGCCGAACTCTGCGGTGCCATCAAAACATAATCGAACTAATCGAGCTGGGGAGCAATGTAAAAACATTCATCACTCTCACGCATCGTGGAAATGGTCGGACCTCGATAAGCAAGCAAACCAACCCGGCTTCACTATGTGCTGAGACTGAAGAGGACTGTATCAGATGCACCACGAAGGATCGATACCGATTGCGGGAGAGAACAGAATTTGACCGACCCGTCTACCACAGCTTCCTCCGCTCCAGCTTTATGCATGCTTCCAATAAGCCCGCTGCCATTCAAGAATACGTCTGCGACTCTTTGCGCTGACTCCAAGACAAGATTGAAGTGAATTGCAGACCAATACTCAAACCTCGCTGACAACATTTTCAGAAGCAACATGCAAACCATGTCGTTCGCTTGCAACTTCTCACAAATATCAATAAGACACAGTCTCAGCGGCTTCTCATGCGGCACATTGAAAACACCAATCACATCAAACCTGCCATCCTCTTCACACGGATGGCATACCAACAGACCAGCACGACCCACTCCATCCTGGTAGAAAGATAACGAGCCTTAGCTGCAGTCCCTGAGAAGTTTTGGACCGAAACTGAGCTTGAGAAAAGCATTGAGCATGCACCACCAAGAAGCTGTCACCGAAATCCGGATAGTCACGCCGGAGGTTCTGATAGCTTGCGGCAGACGAGCACCGCAAATCACTCGAATTCTTCCGGAATGGTGCTTCTAGATCGGCAAAAAGTAGACCTGACCGATGCTCTTGACTGGCAGGCAAGCTATCTTTGCTCTGCTTTCTGATCGCACTGTGCGTGACAAATTTGAGAGCATTGCAAGCTCAGAGACTGCCCAGTCGAAGCAAGCCCCAGGAGGAAAACTGTTGCACAGTCGTAGTACCAGGATCATGCAGTTCCAGCAATTCGGGTGCGAAGCCAGCCTTGGTTGGCGTGTGCGCCGCAAATCTGACAAGCTTAGCGGGAACAGAAAGCCGAAGTTCCACAGAAGTGCACATAAACTAAACCCAAAGAATCACGAGTCACCTCCGACGTGTTCTGATGCAGGGCCCTGCCCGCTCACATCGTGAAACAGTTTGTCACACAACACAGCTGCGAAAAAACACGCATGAACCGCTCTACAAACCCGGGCCTGATTTCTGGCCGCACCAGGGCCTCTCGAGGATCACATGTTGCTGAAATTGGTGTCAAAAGGGTCAAAGATTCTCGGCTGCGATTGCACTTTGTCTTCGACCAAGACACATGGCTTTTAATCAGGGGTGGGTTGCGAACAACCACACCGCTCAGCACGAATTTGACCAAATGACCACCCCACTGGCATTCGCAATGGTATATGGCAGCTTTAGCCGAATGCCTGACGCGCGTTTCCAACAAGAAAGTGAAACAATGTTGGCATGTGGGGTATAATAAATGCAGATAAAGCACTCTGCAATGTCCACCTCCACCCAGCTGTCGTCCAACAACAAATCTGGAGTGAAATCGAACCATTCCTGACAATAAATAAAGCCGAAAACAGCTGGTTACCGTGATTCGAAGCACAGAAGGCAAATCTGAGGAAAACCATGTACGACAATGGACGATTACGCGAAAGTTCCTGTGTCACCTGTGTATGTTGTTTCGGAATTTGCACTTGCGCATCAAGCATCCGTATACTTACATAGGAGGTAAAGGTGGGGAAACCCTACAATAACTAACAATCACAAAACCCGAATGTTTCAAACTGTATTCAGCGAAAAAAATGTGCAAGTCACACGTATGTACATAAGGCAAGGCGTGATTCATGGAATGTTGCATGCATGTTACTACATGTACACAAGCACAGAATTGAATTGTAAACGCTCAAATATGTCCGCTGCAGCATATGCAGATACGGTCATACAAGCATGCGTGCACCATGTCTCTGTGTGTGCACGCTTTGCCTGCAAATTTCATAGACTTCTACATACAGTATACGGTCAGCATATCTTTGCAGCGGCGGCATACACACGAATGCACATGCATTATCTATACATGTATGTGGTGTGTGTCAACAAAAGATGGATGCTCTGCAAGCCGAAAGAAATCTCCTCCACGTTCCGTGGCTCCATGGTCGTTGCTATGCGAATGCCGGTTTGCTTGGATGCCGCTAACGGCTAACGCTCCTTTGAGCCAGCGCAGGTGCAGCCACCAATGACGACCCCGAATGCATTGTCATCGATGCACGCTTTGAACAACATGTCCAAACGGAAATTCGAACAACAGCAACCTTTGAGGCCAGGGTTTGGGTCATTGTTCCACGAACGTACTGAAGTTTGCATCGCTTGTGAAAGTACAGGCGATGATTCTCGCCTCCGTTTCGCATCTTTCACACAAATGTGCAGCTATGTGCAAGAAGCAGGCTGCGTTGGACGACATGTCATCAAGTGGTTTCTGCTGCAGCCACAAAAAGCGTCTTCACACCGTCTTCCACCCTGGGTCAACAGCACAAAATACGCTCGACATCTACAACCGGACATGTCCTAGATTAAGAGGTCTCATGGTCGGAAAGTGGTCTAGTGAAATCGGAACCAGAAAAATTCGACATCGCCAAACCCAGGACCTGGAACAGGCCCAGAGCTTCCAAAGATGTTTAAATAATTTTTAGATATCTTTAATTTCATCTTGATTAAGCACTATAGTGTCTATTTAAGCATGGTATGTAAATGACAAAAACAATGCTTAATTAAGAAATGTTATTTTCTGTATATGCATCCCAATTATATAAACGCATGCGGACGATCGACTGCACGTGTTTTTTCCTCCCAAGGATCACGTGCCGATCTCGAGTCGAGGAACTTTATTAGCTGCCAGGAATCGTCTGAGAACTTGACAAGAAACAGCATACATCGAAAACTTGCCACCACGCCGTCTGCCCAGCAATGCTAGGGTATGCCCATAGCTCTCATCCCTGTAGGTCCAGGTCTTGCTAGGGTTCACCTCGCCCCTGGCCAATTCGAACAGCTGATGGGCTTTAGGTTTAACCCTGAAGAGCTTGTCCACTTCGAAGTAAGTCTCGAGGCTGCCCCAGAGTAAAAGAAACTTCTGAGAAGAAACTCTGAAGACTTCCTTGTCCCAAGCTGCACTGCTGAGACAGGCATATATGCACTGCAAAGCTTCTGTGCCATGCAACATCGCCTGTTCAGCAGGATTTGCTGGCGATACTTTGTAGCCAATTCCATGGCAGCACCGACGAGTGCTCGAGCTTCCCCTGCTTTGGCTCTCAACTTGGGGGATTTGATCTTGCCTCGATCCTCTTCACGAAGCATGGTGGGAAGGAGCTTCGGCAATGGATCTTGGACCCCAGTTCTGTCGTAGTATGCCTTGATGTCTTGGTACAGCTTGGCACATCGGAGGAGTTTGCTCAAGCCTCGGATCTTCTCACTCTGTAAGTAAAACAGCAAAGACCCAAGCCAGTCGGATGTTACTCCGAGGTCGCAAGCGTGTAAAAAGTCCATCTTGCAGCAAGCCGTATTGAATCCTGGGCAAGAAAATAATCTCGACACCAATTGATTCTGCTGCCTCTGGCGCATGAAGAAGTCCATGCTGGAAATGACAGGGTACCTGAGGCAAAGGCAACTGCCAGGAATAACCGATCGACTTCAACTGTCTAGCATGCCTCACACGTCGAAATTAAAAGAAAAGTCTTTCCTGGTGGCGATATTTCGAACCGGTTAATTGACTCCTTCCCAGGAGTCGACTGTATCATGCTAGGGTATATATCTATGCATTCATTTGTTACGTGTGCCAAAAGATATAAAACTTTGAATCTATCAATCCCAGATGCTTGGCGAAATTCTGAGTATCAACTTTTTTCAAAGCAGCTCGGGGGCACATACACCGCCAACAGACAAACCCCTTCGAACTCCAAGAAGGGAAGCTCAAAACGTCCTTGTAACAGCTCCAATCAGCTCGAAATTCAGCCAGAGCAGCTCAGCTCTCAGTGGAAGCTTTTTGCCTGCCAAACGTTGTCGGTAACTATCGGTTCGATTGAAGGGCCGGCCATCGTGTCGGCAGCTTGGCATGCTCCCCGTCGCCAGCTGCTTAAAGGACCACTGGATGATTTCGAATACATCCTCAAAAGTTTGCGATTTGGATGCAAATTCTTTTGGAAAGGCCGCAACAGGCAGGCGAAGATTCTGCTGGCCAAAGATGTTCAAAGAAATAGTTTCCAAAGTCATGGATCGGTCGCTGTTGAAAGGCACACCATCGCACCACATGCCCATGAGGAGAGTGGATTCAGAATCCAAGCCCAACTCATCCTCCAAAAAATGCAAGTGGTTCTCCAGGTCAGGCCTGTCAGGCAGGATCTCGGCTTGCTGCTGAAGCAAGGCCTCTGGCGTGTTCACTTTGAGCAGTGAGTGCAAGGATTCGTGAGGCAGCAACATTGCCAAGGAATACTCTTCAGACGTGTTCTTCGCCTGATTCCAGCCACGAACCTTTGCACGATATAACGAAGGCCATTTCGTGTTTCTGAAACATTTCCGCAAAAGATCCCGATGGGTGTTGCGAGTCTCTGGGCGGACCTGCAAGTCTTCCACATGCAGTGCCCCGGCTTCCTGTGCTGACCGCAGTACTCGAGCGCTTCGCTCACAACTGAGCTCATTGTTTAAAAATATGTCGACCATCTCGGACCTGAATCGTTTTGCAGGAGCAACGGCCTGCACATCTTCTTTTGTCAAAGATCTTTGGTTGAACATTGCCGGCAAGTCTCGAAGCGAAGCGAACCCTACAGAACAATGCCTGGACAGTCAAGAATTAATCCAAAATACATGCGGAAATCACATATATACAGTATATATATATATATATATATATTATAAACATACACTGTCTTAGCATATGAATTTACTTAGATCGAAGTAGCTATGCGCACGTGTCTGTGCGACATGGGGCCGAGCCTGCAGAATGTAAGAAGCTACAGAAAGTCTGCAAGCACTCACGGGTCTCATAGCTGCAAACATGCGAGAATAAGCATTGCATGCACGCATTTTCTACCACTGCGAGGTCAGTGCAGCCTCTCCTGCCAAGGAGCTCCGTCTCAAGGCGAACTTGGAACAACGCCTGTACTCCTACCGGATAATATCATCGAGGGTGATGAATCTCAAGCCTAGGGCCGATCACTCCATCGAGCCATTGACTTTCCTGGTCGGGCCTTGCTGCCTTTGTCGTGGTTGCTAGCCTGGTCCACGACACTGTGAAAGGTGGCCACAAGCTCGGTGCAATCGGAAGTAACATCCTCCGGCACACTCTCGGCCTCGTGCTGGCGAAGAACACCCAAGAAGTCCTCCAGAGCTGCGATCGCCCGATCGACGTCGTCCTTGCGATTATCCCATGTTTTATCCCCACTGAACTTGGTGGAAATCTTGGTCTTCAAGGACTTCAGGTCCTCTTTGGCCTGGGTCAACTTTTTCTTCTCGCTCACGATCTTCTTCAAAAGCTCTTTCGCTCTGGCATAGCTCTCGCTGGGCTGCTTGGCCGGATCCTTGGAACTGCTGCTGCCCGCAGTATCGACCTTGCCCAACATGATGTCGATGGATCTCTTGTCCTTCAACTGCAAGTTCTTCATGCCGGCACACTGGCTTCCCAGCGACTCCTCCGTCTTGGTGGCCTGCCGGGCAACCTGTCCTTTCGAGCGCACGTAGAAGTACTTGCTGAGCACCTCGAACTTGGGGTGAATCTTGGTCGATCTTTCGTAGTTGTAGCGCTTTTCGGCTTCGGACATCAGCTCTTCGAGCAGCTCCTGCTTCGTAGCCTCCTCCAAGCCGGTTTCATCGATACCCTCGATCTTGAAAATCGCCGTCCTGCATGCACTGTGCATGCAGGCTGAATAATCATGAAAATACAAAAACAAAATCCAACAATAACAAAATCTTACAACAATGCCACCGAAAATCCGACCGAGTGTACCAATTTTTGACCGTACTTTCGGATTCACTGTTGGTCGTCACGGTCGACTTCTGCATCTGATGCACCCAGTTGCAATTCTTGACCCCGAACTGTTGGACCTTGGCAAGGGTCGTCCTTTTGGTCTCGACGTCTCCGGCTTCGTACTCCTGCCCAGGAGCATGAACGGAACGACAACAATGAGCTCAAAACAATAACATGGCACGGAATTCCTCGGCACATGATGCAGGCGGTCCTCGAGCACTTGCCGGGCATCTTCTTTCTCCTGATCCGTAGTTTTCTTTGCCTTGAGCTGATAGCGGAGCCCTGTCAAAGCAGCAGAGATGCTGCCCCGAGCATACCCCAAACCGGTCGTCGCGGTTTGCTCACACTCTTCCTGTTCGGGCTCCAGCTTCGCAGCCCTGGCTTTCTTTTTGGGCGTCGTCTTTTCGGCCTTAATCTTGCCGGTTTGCTTAGCCGGCTTAGCCTTGCTCTTGGCAGCCATGGCCTTGGCCAGCAATTTCTGATGACCTTTAGTCGTGGTCTTAGGAGCCATCAATCCGGAGCAAGCCACAGGAATGCCAACTCCTCACAATTCGTGAGCTAAGCTCGATCTATAGCAGACATTGCATCATCAGAACATTAAATTCATGCAAAGATTCGAGGACGGTGGCACACCAGGGCAACGGCATGATCATGGATGCATGCAGTGCTTGCAGTGCATGCAATTTCTTGTTTTTTTTTCAAAACACCAGCCATTCGCCGGCAGATCACAAATCGTCCAAATCATAGTCGCTTCCCACCAACGCATGTCAGCACCTAATCTCCTCGCCAAGGAGATGGAACTTCCAGAGACCGAGCGACACTTCAGAAAGTACGTATCATTCCAATAAGCAACATAACGAAGATGCCATTCATACAAAAACTTCTGGAAGCATTGCTCGGAACAATGAAACGTGTCGTTAAGAAACCACAGAGCAAATGCACTCAAGCGGGTCGAGAAAAGTCTTCTCATCAACTGCAAAGCCAGCAACGGCAAATGAAGCACAGGTCGCTGCCTCATGCCTCCCATGTGCCAGCTCAGTTGCTGTTTCATCCACAATCGGGCCTTGGCATCGCAGGGCCGGGCTGCACAAAGTCCAAGCACTGCTGCCGAACTTGAACCCCAAGGACCCGAGAACCTGGCTGGGTATAGCTGCCGATGCCAATGTGGAGGATCATGGTCGCTCTGCGGACGCAGACCTGGGCCCACTAAGTGCCCCCCAAAATGTTTAACAACCTTTTTTTTAACAAATTTTTGAACAGTTAAAAATTTTGGTTTTAAAAAGCTATTTCCTTTTAAAACCAAAATTTTTAACAGTTAAAAATTTTGTTAAAAAAAGGTTGTTAAAAATTTTTTGCTGCAGAACAGAATCTATATCTTCAGCCGTCACTCCCCACAACAAGCCTCACAGAAACAGCAGCGAATCACACATGGGGCTGGCCTGGGTTCTGCTCCTCCATGGTGCGAAGTCGACCTGGCGATCGGCAGTCACAGATGCATTTCGCAAAAGAAAAAACTCCTACCAAGGAGCCAAGCGGAAATTGCGACTCGTGCAAAAGGTACAACATTTGGAAATTGCGCTCCGCATACATCTCACGCAAACGGTAAATGCATATCCAGATCGGGCGCATGGAGATGCGGCATGAGTTCCGAGGATCTGAAAGGAATTTGAATGCCAGGGCCGAGTCCTGCGCCAAGAAGGCGTCAGCTTCAGCTTTTTCCAGCGTGCCAAGCCCAGGGGTCGCCTAGTCGACCAGGCACGGTTCCTATCAGGCATTGTTTTGTACCCGACTTGGGCCACAAGGTGATGAATGAGAACCTTGGCTCTGGTGTCCCACGCTTCAAGATGGGCGTAGCGCCATAAGTGCACCGGGAAGTAAAAGCCTTCTTCTGGGCCCTCAGCCAAAAGACCACAACAGCACTGAGATCCCAATGAATCGATGGCCATTCTGACAGACTGGAGAGATGCGCACGAATTGTAAAAGGCTGGCGGCGGGAGGGTGGGCCCCACTGTTTGCGTAAACCTCTAAAGGGGTAGCTCTAACAGGTACCTACAGCAATGGCTGCATGCTCATACATATACATTCCGCTGCCCATTGGCTCACAGTGGTTTTTACCATATTGAGACAAGACAAGCTCTCCTTGCGTAGCAAGACAAAACAACTACTGTCCGTGTGCAGGGCGCTGCCCTTTGATCCTTAGGGAATAAACTGGTCATACACCTCCTAACAAGGAGCATTTCCTTGTGGGTGTATCGGCTCAGTTTTCTGGTAGCGGAGCCCGGAAGGGCCGCCCGCCTCCCAAAGTCCGCTACAGCGGTCGGCCTCGCCGAACGCTTAACCAAGCGGATAAGAGGCAGCACAATGTCGAGCTCGCATAGCGAAGCCGACGACAGTTCCCAATCCTCCGGGGGATATGAGAACGAAGAGACCTCCCAAGGTCCAGCCCCTTATGTCGCACAGTCATATGCAACATCTGACCGCATGCTTGCATCATTAGGCATAACGCCCAAGATCGCGCCTGCCTATGATGGCACCACCTCGTGGTTTGAGTATGAACAGTTGATTGACGACGGGTGCGACATAACAACGCTGGATGACACCAAAAGAGGTCCGTCTCTCAAGACGAGGCTCTCCGGATTGGCCGCAGTACAAAAGGAATCACTGAACCGAGAAAGGCTTGCAGCCCCAGATGGAGTAGATTACTTCAAGAAGAAGATGCGTCCATTTTTCGTGAAAGGAGAACAGTACTTTTTCCTGTGGCGTTTCCTCGGCCTATTCAAGGCATGGAAGGGCAACCAAGACTTTGTGACTTGGATTGCCAAGTTTGAGATCGTGCTACAGCGCGTGAAAAACTCATGGATGGATCTCTTACCAGAGATAGCTCTGGAGGATGCCCATCCAGATTTCATGCAAGCTGTGCAGGCAGCCCAAACCTTCTTGCGCATGCAGGATGCAGCCGAGAGAGACACATATGCCGCACGCTATTTCGAAACATGGAACAAGGAACGCCTTGACAATCATCGAAGAGCGTTTCCTCTGAATGATAATCTCCTAGCTCTTCTCTTCCTAGTGCAGTCCGACCTAAATGAGATGCAACGTGAGAGGTTGGTAACACCATTGACCAACCAAGGTCACCGAATTGAGACCTATACGTACCCTGTGGTACGGCAGACCATGTTCGATCAGTTCTCAACGACCAGAACTGGTCTGCAGGATCCCAACATTCGGCACTCTTCTCACAAGAAGGACCGCCATGGAAGGAGAGACCAACGCCGTAAACGCGGAGGTCGAAACTTCCTCATCCTCGATCAGGGTGAATACGATGGAGTCGATGGATTCTGGCTCCAAGACGAAGACACCCTTGAGGAAGGCTTTCTTTCCGCCGAGGATGAAGAAGCTGTCTTCTGGACAGTTGATGACCATGAGGCCTTCGTTGCAAGGAGATTCAAAAAGGGAAGAAGACCAAGAATGCGTCCCGGATCACCGGGAAGAGCAAAGGGTGGCAAGCGAAAAGGACGTGGCCGTTTTAGGTCATACCGCGGAAAAGGGAGAGCCAACCAGGCAGAACATGATCAAACTGATTCCAGCTATTTCGGTAAAGGTAAAGGAAAGGAAAAAGGAAAAGGTGGAAAAGGCAAAGGAAAAGGAAAGGACAAAGGAGATAAAGGAAGCTCCTTCAAAGGCGCAAAGGCAAAAGGCAAAGGTAAGGATACAGCTAGGTCTGCCTCCTTACAAGGAGACCAAACTGGATCTCCACAGGCCTATGAGAGTTCCACCGCACCGAGCTGGGATTCATGGTATGAGGACAGTTATTATACTGACTCCAGTTGGAATTATGCCGCTTATGACGATCAAACGTCTTATACATACTATGCATCACAAGCCTCACGAAGAAAAACACGGAGCAAGAAGAGAAGAAATCAAGCAGGATCATCAGGTAGAGGCACAGATCCGAGCGCGCACCAAGAACCCGTGTTCAACTCATCAGTGAGTTACGTGCCCCAGGTCTTTGAACCATCCGAGGGGCAACGTGTTGAAACTGCAACAGCGGTGTTTCCGTTGCAGCACACCGTCCTATCTGCTCTCACAGAGCGGATCAATCTTGATAAGAACCCTACCTTTGTCATACTTGACTCAGGTTGTACTAGGGCTATGGGTTCCCGCTATGCGGTGAACATGCTTATCAAGGCCGTGAAGCAACGTGCCCCAGGCATGATTGATTTCACTTTCTCACCTTCGAACACGAAGTTCTCTTTCGCAGATAGTGAAACAGCTCTTATCAAGGAGCGTGTAACTCTATGGTGCAACACAACTCCAAGAAGAGATACAACCATAGAAGTTCTGGATCAGGGGAGAGTTCCCATTTTGTTCTCCATCGAACAGATGAGGAATCTAAGAATGACCCTCGAGTGTAGTCCCACAGCTGACCTAGCAACGTGTGAAGCTTTCGGTTTGTACAAAACCCCCCTTCCGATTAGCACCAATAACCATTTGGTATTGGACCTTCTAGGCTTCACTTCCACCAGGAAGTATCTCCCTAAGTCAGGTACGTCGTTCAGTGCGACGGAGACTGCCCTAGGAGCTAAGAAGCCAAAGGAAGAAAGAAGATCTTATACTAAGATCCCGGAAGGTCGCTGTCCAGCCTGCGCAGGACAGAAAAAGCCTCATACGTTCCTCAAAAGTTTGCGACAAAGCACCTGAAGGAGCAGCTGATCCACCACCGAAGGGCATTCCAGGTAAGAAGAAGCCTCTTCCATCTGATCCGGCAGAATCATCTGCCAAGAAACCTGATCCACCAGAACCATCTGGTGATGCTCCTGAGCCTTCCGAACCACCGGAACCATCATCAGGCTCTAGAGACAAACCTGCAGAATCATCTGCACCGCACGAACCTCCAGAAGAAGAAAGACTTGAGGTTCCACCTGCGAAGACAAAGACTCCAAAGGGTCTTAAAAACCTTCTGAAGCAAACCCGCAAATATGCGGTCAAACCTCCTGTTGAGGAGAAGTCTATGGTCCCAGGAGCTGATGACGGGACGGAGGTAAAGCCGCTTGAGTCAAGAGAATACCCCGCTCCTGGTACAGACTCACCTACAGGTGAAGAGATTGTCGCAGAACCATCGCCATCTCTTCCCATTGCTCTTCGCCGATTCATGAGAAGCTTAAGAACCGTAGAAAACTCATTAAGCTACTTAAGTACCGTCATATGAGTACGGATCAGTTCAAGCGACGCACGAAAGCCTTACAGACCCCAAAGGAGATATATGAGCTATATGACCAACTGGTCAAAAAGTGTTCAGCCTGTCAGGAACACGTGAGAGCTCCTTCAAGAGCGAAGATTTCCGGTTTAGAATCAGAGCGGACACTTTCGGGATTCCTAACATTCGTAGTCACGGTGAGCTTCAATTCCCGGCAAGAAATAGTACGCCTTAAGATTTCTATTCTCTATGACGGAGCAAAAAAAAAACTGTGGACTTCCGAAGTAGGCCAGATAAGGAAGAGCATATACAAT